AAAATTACGAACAAAACTAGTGTAATGAACTTCATGATTCATAATGGCATAAACACTTATAGCATGTTATGTTTATATATTGCAAGGAAAGGTGTTTTTTAATTCAATTTCCAAAATTGAGAAGAAGCAAACAAAGCTACATTTTTCCATATAAGACATTGCATTTTAGGATTGTTTTCATTATTATTTTCTTAATAATAATAATTTAACAGTAACAGTAACAGTAAAAAGCAACAGTAAAGTGTGGCCAGTTTAATGAATTTTTAGAGTGGGCATGCTCGCAATGCATGCAATTTAAACAGCGTAAATACTTATTTGATTTCATATTTCGTTCAGTGTTCTTTTGGAGCCAAGAAACTTGCGTTACCGGATTTCGGATGCTGCCCCTCTCTCTCTCTCTCTCTCAATCGCAAGCCATCCCGCTTGCACCTGCAGGCGATCCCATAGACGAATATTGAAAACTTAGGCTTTAGCTTTTAGTTTTAAGTTTCTTAGCTTCGCACCTCTTTTCCTCTGCCGGCAAACTCCTATTGATTTCGCTTTGAACAACAAATTCATTGCTTTGGAATGTATTCGGTGTTTTCAGTGTTTTTTTTTTGTGTGTTTTGTTTGTGTGTTAGCCGCCGTTGCAAACTGGAAATTCTTCGGGGTCCGTTGGAGTTGACCCAAAAATAAAAGCGGTTTCGAGGAGACTGCAACTGATTGCCGCCTTATCAGTGGACAAAAGGGAAGGCGGATACTGTGCAGGAGGGGGATTCTGGGATGCGTATACGCCCCTTGGAATGCGGCACAGTGCAGCCAAAACTGTAATTCAATTGGCTGCGGATTCTGTGATGTGTGCGCTCGAAATGGGTCAGCATCTGATTGATTTAGTATCCGCACAATAATGTTGCTTTTGTGCAGCAATTTTAGTTTACTTTCAACGCTGTAATTGGATTTACTTGAGAGCTATTAATGGAGGATACATGGTCGGTTTCATGGCTTAGACAATTATGAATTATTCCTCTCTTTTGTTTATTTATTTTTCAATTGGAATAGGTTGATTTTAAATTAATTGAATTTTTATTAGTTGAAACACAAGTACATTTATTCATCCGATATGCGCGCAATAAGAGCTGATTAGTCTGCATTAAACTGTATAAAATACAAATGTATGTATGCTAAAACGAATTGGTTTAAGATTTACTATAAACATTATTAGAGCAAGCTTTACATCCTTTATCGTCACGCTCCTAATTGAGGGATAAAGTATTATTTAGGTACTTTAATAATTTACCATGATTATATGATTAGTAAATTCAGATATAGCATGTTAATGCTTAAAATGTCTTTACAATTTATTGACTTAGTAAACACAAGAGAATATATTATATATTTTAATATCCATATTTTGAATAAAAATTTTAAAATTGTTTATAACAGTCCTTAAACTAACTAAACGTCCTTAGTGAAAATACGCTTGTAATCAGTTTCCGTAATAGGAAAACAGTTGCTCTGCCCGGTTTAAGATCATTCATAATGCTGCCAGTTTAATGAGTGGCATAGCATAATGAATGTAACTTTTGGTATGTGGGTCCCATAAAATGTGTATTTTTTGCCACTTTTATGTTTTTTTTTTTGACAGTTGATTTCCACTTTCGACAAAACTTGTTTCGTTTTGAGGTTAGTTTTCTTTGCTGTCCGTTTGGCTGTTTGTGAGTTTCTTGTTGTTGCTGCTGTTGTTGTTTCTTGTTTAGCCGCTTTTTACGGCAACAACAACACGTGGCCCACAACGCAGCCCAAACTGTAAGCAGCTTTTATTTCTATAGCCCATCTCCCTTGCTCTCCCATATCTCGGCATCTGAGCATCTCGCTCACGCTTTGTCTATTTTGCAGTAATTTCCAGTTGGCTGAATTCGGTGGGAGGCAAAAAGTTGAGGAGGCTGTGAAAGAGAGAGAGAGAGGGAGAGCGAGGAGGGGGAATGGGGAAGGGAGAAAGGGGGAAAGAGAGAGCCAGAGCTGGTCTTATAACTCCCACCATTTCCATTTCCAAATGCTTTTTGCTGGCCACTTTGATGGTTCATGGGGGATTTCGTATCTGTATCTACATGTGTCGGCCCTCCAAACTATTTGCCCTCACTTTTTGCACTCTCACGCCCACAAAACAAAAAAAAAAAAAAGGAAAACGGAAAAAATCGCAAAAAAGCGAGAATAATAAGAGCAAACACCGCACTCATCGCCGTGTTAATGGGTTAAACTGAAGTTTTGCCCATAATAATGAAGCGACAAAAAACTTTCCGTGCGGATACAGTCGAACATCCAGAACTCGAACCTCCTTAGGTCTTAATTTTCTGCAAACTGCTAGATTTTGCACCGGGAAAATGGCATTACGTGCTAATGGCATTCATGAAACTGATTTAGACTTGCTTTAATTTGCTTTAGAGATGCTTACTAGTTCTTATTGCTTTGCTTTAAAATTGGATTTGCTTTCTTTAAAGTTTGCCTCAATTTTGGTTTGGATTTACTTCGATTTTATTTGAAAGTCATTTTTAATTTACTTTTAGTTTACATTATATTTGCCACAGTTTTGATTTACATTTTTTGATTTAAATATATGATATGTTATTGATATAATATAATTTAAATGCTTCAACCCTAATTAAAATCAAAACACAGATTTTGTTTTCAAAATCACAAAACGTAAACAAAAACCAGAAAATATAAATTACAACACACATAACGAGTTTCAGTGACAAAATTGATTTATTTAACTTCAGTTGAATAAGAGCACTTGCAAAAAGCTAGCAATTTCAAAGTTTCTATTACATATAAACCATACAAATTGTTCACACGCCAAGAAAAATCTTTAGAGAAATATTTGCTCACATTCCTTTTGTGTATACAAAAAAAAATATCAATATTTTTATGATCAGTTGTGTAATTTCCATTTATTTAAAGGTTTTCAAATACCATTTATTTATTTAAGAAAAATGACAAACATTATAAAATAAATTGTTTAATATATTTTAAATTGAAAAATTCACTAGTCTAACAAAGACCTTCAAATTAAAACCAGTAATGTATACAAAGTTTTTAAAAAAATACGTACTCATTATTTATCATTATGAAAAGAAATGATTTTTTAAAATGGAGTCAGAAAAGTGGCATTTAAAATGAATAAAAAAACTAAAATAATTTAAAAATCGATGTAAAGCATTACAGCAAAAAAGAGTATATAAAATCGTATTATTTTTAAAAAGGAAAAGAAGCCAAAAAAAACTCGTTATGCAACATTGGTCCAAAATGACCTAACTCTTTTTTCCGTGTAGTCCGCATCATACGAGTTCGACTGTAGTAACTGTAGGTACATACAAGCAAACATACTCATGTATTTATGTGGCTGTGTATCTGTGGCCAGGTACGCCAAACTAAACACTAACAATGTTGATTCATGACTCTGCCTTAGATAGTTTGCCCAGTTTGGGAGCCACTGGCCACTCACCCTGCTGCTTTTTCTGCTGCTGCTGCTGGTGCTGTTGCTTTTCCTGCTGCCGCTGCTGCTACTGCTGCTGCACCACAATAAAACAACAACAAATCAAATTTGTTACACCGAAAAAAAAGACGAGAACGGAACAACGGCGAACCACGTACCAAAAAAGAGACGCCAACGCGTGCGCGCACTTCAAAACAAAAGGCGGAAAACCGAAAACCAAAAACCGAATAAAAAAAGAACACAACGAACGCAATCCGCTAGAGAGGGGAGATGGCGATAGATGGGCGGTATGGGCGGTACGGTCAAAGCGGCGACACTGCGGCGCTGACGCTACGGAAACGTCGACGGTCGCCTCGCAACTGAAACTGACGCGGCTCCACCGCCGAGCGGCCGGAGAGGCCCCAAAACCTGGCTAGAGAGAGCGGTACTAGCTCGGTGAGAGAGAGCGGGAGAATGGGAAATCGAAAGACTGAGACTGAGACTGAGAAGACTGGAGAACCATAAAGCCGGAGAGCCAAGAGCGAAGACTACAGAGCGCCAGAAGCTCCACTGACCGCAAAGTCAAATGCAAAAACACAAATGCCAAACGAGTAAGGCTCTCGTATTAGAAGTAATACGGACTTGATAATACCAATTGCCTCTCAACATCTCATGTGATCAACTTTTTGGTTAACAGTTAGAACTCCCATAGCTCAAGTTATAGAGATGTTTTAATTAAAAGTTTAAGAAGAATCCTAAACCAGTTAAATATATTGAAAAACGTGCTAAATCAATGTACAATGTATAAAGATTTCGATTCCGGAAATCTGTCCATAAGGTGTCAAGCAAGTCATCAGCGTACCGTTATAACTAAATTGGAGAATCTATTAAAAATAAAATTTCCAAACCAAGAAAAGAAACACATTACAAATGGTACTGCCTAAAGTAAAACCAATATGTATCTCAGACCTAAGAATTATACAAATTTGTACTCGATGTTTCTTATGAAAGTAGCACAATCATAGCCCCAAATCCCAATACACCTGAGTGATCAATACCTACAGGGTACGCAAATACAAATGCCAAAAAAGCATGGAGAGAAAAAGAAAGAGCGATCGAGTTAGACAGATATTAAATGAAATTCGAGAGCAGAGTTCCCAATCAGACAGTTAGATTCAACTTGTTGTTTTAACTGGGCTGCAGTGACTCTTAAACTGCACAGGTGATCGTGCGATTAGAGGTTTTTGAGCCACTGTAATCCGGTTGTTAAACGGTTATACTTGATGAGCAGTGAGTGTCAAAACTTTCGAGTCAACCCCAAAAAAATGGTAAAACTGTTTTGAAAGCATTTCTCTTAATACTAACATAAGTTAACTTTATAATCACATCAAATATTAACTAGGAAAATAGTACAAAGCATCACAAGTTTATTTGGACTTAGATTTACCTTATAAATATTTATAACAGAATCTTTTTTGAATTTCAATGGATATAGAATTTTAAATTCAGATGATTTTAGTGAAATCCTTTTGTAAAATCTTAAACTTACCCAGGCGTGAATCATTCTTCTTTCGCACACGTAGACAGATGGTACAGGATTTGATGCACTGCAGACAAAACGTGCATATCGAAAAGAAGAAATATACAGAAATTAGTTAAGGATGGTCAGGATGGACCACATATATATGGGGGTTAGTATCCGTACGTCGTGTATGTGGCGAATGACCTCCGTGCGCGATATATTCTCCAGGGTCAGGCCATTGACCTCGAGTATCTCATCGCCCACTTCCAGATTATCGCGATCGGGCGGTGAGCCGTATAATTTAATTTTACCCTCCACATTCTCGACGAGTATAATAACATAGCCCGATAGTTCGACAACTTGTTGCTGCAATGAATAAAGGAAAATGGGTTATTTTAAAAACAGTTTTATGCCAGATAATATACTTAAATTACTGAACTCATAGAGACTATATTGATATATGATTTTGAATTTTCAAATGTATGCATTCATTGGCCACTGGGCGTATACTTAATATTGAGATATGTCCTTTCTTTGAGATATATTGAACAAATTAAGTTAGTTTAATTTCTTACCTATTTCTTTATATTTTATTCTAATCGGTTTCCCCATAAAATCTTTAACAACACTACTTAAATTCGTTTAAGAGTTAAAAAAGAAAGGTTATAAAACAAAAAATTACCTACATAACGTTTAATGTTAAACGATTCATGCTCAAAATATTTAATAGTATTTTGTAGCTCCTTATAAATTTTAAATAATTACATCCTTTAGCCACACGGCGTATGCTTAATGTCAAACGATTCCCTTTGCTCACGAAATATTTACAAAGTCTTTGGCAAATGTCTCACATAAAGTCATTTTCATAAATGCTGCCTAAATGGCAAGAACAACTTATTTATGCTGCGGGATGTGGGTGGTTCTACTACTGCAAAAAAAAATCAAATTAATTACACAAAAGGATGAAGGACAAAGGGAACACAGGCAGCCTAAAACAGCAAACAGTCCAACTTCAGTTCAAATACCCCCACTTCTGCGAGTGTGCAAGTGTGGGAAGTTTTGGCCATTATTGCTTGGGCTGGCTCGTTATGTTAATTACAACAAATTATGCTCATGCGGCAATTGCGGGGGACTCCTTTCTCCAGGCTCCTAGTTCCCAGCTCCCAGCTCTCAGCTCTTAGCTTCTAGCCACCCAAGGCGAAAGCCCACATATCCTTGAGCCACCCACCACCCATCACCGCCCACGCCCTCAAGCGTGTAATAAGTAGGCAGCAGGCCAGCTAGTGGGCGGATTTTTGGGGGTGCCTCTGATTGCCCTTCAGTTTCGCCAGCAGTTTGACAGTCACCTTGGAATTAAAGGCCATCCAAAAGCTATTAATCCTTTTAGAGAAATTTCTGGAGACAAACAAAATTATTTCAATATCAAAGCTAAACAAAATATTGTACATTGTATGGTTAGAAATACAATAAAGCTTTGATTTTATTAACATTACAAATAATAATTTAGGGTTTGCAAATCAAAATGGCAGTGTCCACTATCAAGTTCTCTTTTGCTTTGTGGTCTAATATAAAATGCCAATGTTTTCGTAGAATCATAGCAATTTAAGTGGTCTTTAGTGACGACAAACTGTGCACATTCCTAAAGAAATAAATTATTAAAAATTCCCTCAGTGGCGCCTCTCACCTTTCCCAAATCCCTGAAATAATTCATTGGCTGTCCCATTTTATTCGGACAGCTCGGCAAAATGCATCCACAGCAATTTAAATAAGCTTGAAGTTCACTTCACATAAAAACCCGAAATGGAAGCGACACAAAGAGAGCAGCAACAATGGCAACAACGATGCAGGCCACAAAATGCAAACCGAAAATTGGCAAAAAGCACTTGAGAAACATTTAAACCTGCGCTCCGACCCAAAAATAACAAGTCTGCCAAACAGACAGTTGAGATAAATAGATAAATACAAAATATATATACATGTATAAATATAGGTATATATAGAAAGGCTTGCAGAGATCTGCAAAAGAGTGCCTAATTACAAAACAAAAGTGAATGAAAAAGGAAATAATTCGACTTTATTGGGTCACAAAAGTAAAAAGGCAGGCGTTGATGTGGGCGTGGCAACGTGGCAGAAACAACCATTGTTGCAAGCGTAGGTCGACAATGGCAATAGAAGCCGAAGCGGATCACAGAAAAAAATCTATGCTATTTTCAACATCCGTTTGCGAAAGAAAAACTTTTTAAATAAAATATTTATATATAATATATACTATATACCTATAGTTTTTTGATCATTTATTTTATTATAAATACAATTTAAATAAGTTGACGTCAAATAATACATTTTTTCTATGTGTTCACTATATCTATAAATGAATTTAATAAAATCATTAACCAACACTTTGTATAAATGAATCTTTGACAGTTTACAAACACTTTCTTTCACTCATTCTGTCATTGCTTTATCATAGATCTTATTTTAACAACACTGTTTATGAATGAATCTTAGACAGTCTACGAACACTTTCTTCTCTTCATTGCTTAAATAAACTAATTAAATAAAATCCTTAAACAACACTTTTTATGAATGAATATGAGACAGTTTACGAACAATTACTTTCTTTCATTACACTATCAAAGCAGTAAGTCAAAGTTTAACAGAGATTCAAAATGATTGATCTACTGCCAATATTTTATTTGGATCTTAAACAACCCCAAAAAGGACTCCGATTTCTCCCAGTGCAGCAGCAACAACGGGCGACAGGCAAAACACTCAACTGGAAGTGAACTCGAGTTGAGCTGGCAAACGGCCAAAAAGGACGCACAAAGGCGGGGGGCGGTGAGGAATGTCCTGGGCCAGGTGCTAAAAGGGCCAAAAGCAGCCGCACACAAAGCTGCGAATAAACAGGAAGACAACTCGACGTTGCAGCTGGTGGGCCAGAATGGCAAATGGTAAATAGTAGATGGTAGATGGCAAATGGCAAAGGGCAGGAATAACCACCAACAATTTCCAGCTGTTTGCGACTGTCCCAGCCTCATATTTCACGCCTCTTTCATGTTCGCGTTACTCCTCTGGTTTTGAAATAAACATATATATTTTCTGCGGATTAACGTGGCAAAAAGTCAGGCCAATTGATAAACTGCCACCGTTTGGCAGGCCGCGATAGCAAAAACCAGGAGGAAAAAACCAGAATAAAATATGGAGGGAAACATGCTGGCAAAAAAGATGGAAAAAAAACAGACGGAAAGGAATGAAAACCAAACCTAAGCTGCATAATTATTGGCGCTTCAACGCCGGATGCAGAAACCATCAGGCACACACACAGCAGCCATCGAGATACATCAGCGGTCAAAATTATAGTACCGATAAACCTCTAACGGAAGGTTAAAAATTAAATATGCAATTATCGGAGTCATTTCTTAGTATTAAAAATAAAAAAACAAGAACATCGCAAAAAGAACGGTTAACAACTTTTATGTAATATAATTACCAAAACATTTTAAAATTACTAATTTTTTTAGGGTATTAAAATTTCTTTGAAAGGTTTCTAAATTGTTTTGTGATGTCACAAAAAAATCTCTACATTTTTTCTTTTTTGTTTTAAGATTTTAAGAGAACATAGCATTCTGTAAGTATTTCATGACATAACTTTGATTTAAACCTCTTGATTTGAACCTCTAGAGATTATCATATGATTAACAGCCTCCATATAATCAAGCTATTTATGCAATAAAAATTGAAATTATACATCCTTATTCAATATTTATTTTAGCTGGTGTTACTATTATTTTCTTATCAATTGTGTACTATATTTTGAGGGGTGCATGAAAGCTAAAAGATGGCTGAGGAGACTGACGGGGGCAACTGGCGACATAGACAAACTGGGGCACTTGAGCAGCAGCAACAGCAGCTGTGGCAGTACCGCTCCACCCCCAGTTACACCCCCTCCCCCCATCCAACCCCTCGCCCGCACTTTGTCGCACTCAAATGAAAAATGACAGCAATTACGCTTAAATTATGCGTTTGTTTTCATATGAGCGTCCTTGTCAGTTGTTCTTGTTATTGTACTTGAAGCTCATTTCACACATAGACACATGGCAAGTACAACAACAACAACAGCACACACACACACACACACAAACAGTCTAGGCGACAAGTTTTTCCCTTTCCCCGACTTCTCCATTCCACCCATCTTTCATTCTGTCGTTCATTGTTCTGCTTTTCCTTTTTTTGCCTTTTGCTCTGCGAAATGCCCTGAAAACTGCACCGAAATCCAGTCGAGCGTGATTCGATGGCAAAATATATATATGAATGAGTTACAAACTTTCGCAAAAGGAAAACTGATTTCCCGATAGCATACCTTTCGGGGTTGATTGAACTTCAGGAATGTCTTACAAATAAGGACAAGGCTGTGTAAGGTCAACATGACAAACATTATTTTAGTGGCCATGAAATTAAATTTTTTATTTTCAATGCTTAGCAACATAAACAGTGGACTTCGTAGTTTGTTTTTCACACTAATTGAAGCTTTATGATAAGCCTAAAACACGATTTCAACATACATTCTTTGTAGAAAATGTGTTTAGTAAAAAAATAAATCTGCTCTGTTTACATTATAGTTTGATTATCAACACTGATTTAAGTGTTAACATGATTGTACCTTAAAGCAATGAATAAATTGCATGTTTACATTTTGTAATAACCAGTCGGTGCATAAAAAAAAACACTACATTATTTAAATAAATTTGACCGTTTTACATGGAAAAAGGGCATTTGAAATTCCCTGTGATCCAGGTTAATTCTCCATTCGCTCCGCTTATTTGCGCTTGACTGCTAATGACAAAGCCAAGAACAAAACCAGAAACGAAAAAAAGCTGGAAAAAGTGGAAAGAAAACAGAGACAAGAGAAGGATGCGCCACCAAAGGGACGAAAGCAGTGGAGAGGAGAAGGCAGAAAGGCGAGAACAAGAACAAAGCACTTGACTTGTCATTTTTGACATATAAATGGCGAAACAAATCTTTGGATATTGTTTTAAATGCTGCACACATACACACACACACACACACACACACAGCTAATAAGTGGTGAAAAAGTGCCTGAATTTTGTGAAGGATCTGGAGGCGCCTCGAATGGGTATTCCTTATTCCGGGAGATTTCTCCCAACGGGGTTATGGTTATGCAACAAAGTAACACAAATGATACGCACAATTGTGGCTATTGTTAATGTTATGAATGTTGTTGTTCTTCGTCTTGTTAAAGCTGTATATTTTCGAGCATATGTCTTATGATGGGGGGGGTGCTCCTTTCGGTGGCTTTCGGGAGGGGGAGGGGGGTTTGCAGGGTATAGAGTGGTCCAGCACATGCGCAATTGCAGGCACCGCAATCAGACACTCACCAACACACACGCATGTGCGTTTCTTTATTCCATCTACCAAACCCCCCCCCCCGCTTTTTTTTCCTCCTTTTTTTGCGGCTCTGAATTAAAGGCAATACAGCAATAACAACGACAACAAAAACGACACACGCACACACACACACACGCCACTTAATGAAGCAAAATGTTTCATACTTTTCATTCTTCTGCATCATTTCACAACCACACCCCCACTAATATACCAGAATACCATTGCCAATGGCCATCATATATAAAAGTTATTTGAAAATTTCATGGCAATTCATGTAAAAAACTTTCTTTGACAGCCGCAGAAAGTAGCTGGCAGCAAGAATATGAGAGAAAGCAGCGCACACACACGCGGATTTACGACCACAGTCGCACCGGCTGATGGACCACGCGGCGTATACGTTATGCATAAATTTTATACCAATGTCACAATAATGTCTTCCCCTTTCAACCAACGAAAAACTTTTAATAACATTCAGATGCATAAGTACATATGCGAAGGTACTGCAAAATTAATATAAAAATAAATAATAGAAATAATTCTAGTGGCAAAAAAGGGTCCTTAATTCCTTAAAACATTAAAATAAATAAAAAATGGAATAGAATAGAGAAGTTTCAGCTTTATAAATTTGAAAAGATACTAAACATGTACTAAAGTTGGCGCAATAACACCGCTTTTTATGAATATACCTGTAGTACTAATTTCTTTTCCTTTTACACTCGAACCTGAAAAGGAAGGATTTCCCGGAATAAAAAAATACAAAGAAAGAAGAAATTAAAATCAGAAAATAGAATTTCAAAAGAAAAACTACAAACAACATTCCTAGCAGGGGTGAGACAACTAATCAAATGCGAGTTTCAGCGAAAACACATTTAAACATGAAAACAAACTGCTTCTAACGAAAAAAGGAAAATGAAATGGTAAAACAAAAATTAATTTCCTTTGAAAGAACACCGTTTAATTTTATTATTTGTTAAACAAAGTTTAAAGGCAAAAATTCAAGTTAAAGTTTTAAAATAACAAAAGTCCTGTAATATTGTTGTTTTTCGTATTTGTCTTCAAAAACGTGATGTAAGTAAACAACTGTGAAAGGAAGCATTTCCGAAAATAAATAATGCAAAGGAATGGCACATAAGACATATCAAATGAGCGCAATATATTTTTAGAAGGGAAAAATACCAAGAACTACATTAACGGAGAATAAGCTACATCGAAAAAAGAATATACAAATGTTTAAATAATGAAAGGAAAAATAGTAACATATAATTTATGTAATATAAGGAAATGTCTTAATATTACAAATAAATAAAAACAAGGGCAGCCAAATCGTATTAGATAAAGGCAAATGGCCTCAAAAAAATGACTAAAAACACTGATGGAAATAATATTAAAAATGTTTCCTTAAAAAAAAACTGGAAAGCGAAGGAAACTGAATCTGAACATTCTGTAACTTAGACTTTTTACTCCGCACTTTAGAAATATGTGACAAGAAATCCACACAGGTGTACAGACCATTTCCCTTCTTTCATTTCACCATTATCATTGCACTTAGAAAACGGTCAGCAATGAACATTTTTTCCTTGCCTACTTTTTTGGGTACCCAAAGTGGCAACTGAACACGGCGAAAATATGTGGAAACATGAAAAGGGAGTGGGAAAAGGACACTCTGCTTTCGTCTGATGGACGATGGCAGTAATGAAACACAGAGATTTCCAACTACATTTTTGCGCCGAAAACAACGGTTCACTTTGGCAGCATATTACGCACACAGTCACACACGAAAGGGATTCCTTTTTTCAAGAGCAAATAGTAACTTCCAAATGCAAAGCATTGCAGAATAAAACCGAAGCGTGTAATTTCAGACAGCAGCAGCTAAACAGAGAGAAAAAGTGTAAGAAAAGGTATTTTAAAACTAAGATTTTAGATAAAATTTACAAATTTGTATCTTTGGTTTGTTACCATCTAAAATAACATATAAAACATGTACTTTAAATCTAAAAGTCAAGCCTTTTTGTATGAAATTTAAGATATAAAAGTAAAGTAATGAGGAGATGCGTTAGATCTTAAAAACATTAAATAGTTTCAGGCGGCCCTTTATTATAATGCAAGTCACAATAGGGACTAAAATTTGGTAGGTAAAAACCCAATTTAATTCTATGACTTATACATGAATGTTTATACTTTAAATGAGAGTACTTAAATGTTTGTTTTCTTTGTGCTTCCATCTGCGCCTGTGTGCGTGTTGCGTGGGCGTAAGTGTATGTGTGTAATAGCCCAAAACGGCAATGTTTAATTAAAAACGATAAAGGACACAACGACGGCAATGGGCAATGCAAGTAAGAGAGTGAATAAAAGGGGCGCAAAAAGGTTGGCCCATGGCAGGGAGGAGATTGGAGGGGGTGAGGGGGTGAGGTGGTGAGGAGGGCTGCATTCATCAGACGTCGCTCAATTGACAAGCATCGGATGCTGCAGTCTACCCCAGTTACATTTATGTTCGCCAGCACCCTCCTCCGTCCCCCTTTCTTAGCCACCCACGCACACGCCAAACAAATTGAAAGCGGAAATGTGCACACCCCCCTCCGCCCAACCTTGCTGCCCCCTCGGCCGCCACCCATGTGACCAGCGAGGAAGCAAGCTGACAAATAAAATTTCACTCCATTTGAAAGCCATTTTTCCATCGGGAATTCGAAATTCGAAATGCGAATCTTGCCTCAAATCGAGACTGGGGATGCGTTTGAGGGTTATGATGACAGGCGGATGGGGCCAATATTTATAATTGCAGTCAATAAAGATTGCATAATTGGAAGGGCCGTCACTTCGGGCAGTGGTGGGAGCCAATGCAATTTGATCCTTGGCCTGAGTCTTGGCCAAATACAAATTCAAATGGATGTGTGCAAAATAATACGAGTTCCGGTTGCATATTTAATGGATGGAAATCGTTAATATAGTCGTATGTACATTCACCAAGGAAACCTTGTATTACTCAACAAATAAAATTGTCAAGAATTTTACAATGCCAATAACAAGTGTCCTACATTTAGGAAGGTATTTATTTGGAGGCGATTACTCATTCGCAACGTTGACTTTCCTAGTTTTCAACTTGCCACAAAAACACTCAATTTTCCTAAGCAAATATAAATAAATTGTTTTAAATTTGTAGATCAAATTAATTAAAGTTTATAAAATCTCAATAAATATTTTACACTGTAGGTATAATCATATTAAGTGTTAAGAATCTACAAACTAATAAAAACAAAAATTGTAATGAACAAATTGTAAGAATAACAGTTTTACATTGCTCGAAAATTATTGTTTTAAGTCAGCAAAACCCATTTTCACTACTTGAAAACTAAAAAATATCAAAAAACTGTCTAATCAGGGAATTTTATACCTGAGCTTATCGAATATCATCATTTAGGAACAAAAAAATAATACAGATTTTTCGATGCATTGTAAGATTGTTTCAAACATATTTAAAACGTCGAAAACTTAACTAAAAAATACGTTGTAACTAGTTTTATGCCACGTAAAAATTCTAGAATACCAATTTCTGCGTCAATCTTTAGAATCCTTGAAATTTCTAACACTAAATTAGGTCAACAAATTGAGTATTTTGAAATGCAGATTAAATGAAAACTTATCTACAAACTTTAAGATGTGCTTATCTTTAAAATAGGAATTCGGTAAAGTTGTGGGATCTGGAATTTAAGTATATAAATATCTACGATAAAACTGGGTTACAAAAATGTATGATCTTTTAAATGCCAAATTTAAATGCAGTTTTTTGGAAAAAAAAATTTAATGATCCCAAAAAACATCTTATTAGCCCTAGAATAGCAGTTTTGGGTTACCTTTCTGCAATCCATCAAGATTTTAAAAACGTCGAACATAAAATTGGGTCAAAATATTGATCATCGTCAAAAAAATTACTTTTAATACATATCCTCTTTTAAAATTGGTTGGCAAACTAAGCAACAAGCTGTGCCATACCTCACCTCAACTTTGAGGTGCTGATCCAGTGGATCAAGTTATTGGCCCTATATCTTATATTTTATATGTTGTGGTTATAACTGTACAATTTTTGTGTGTGGACTTACTTTGCCCTGGGACGAGGAGATCGTTGAGGCCGAAGGCGTGCCGGAGGATTGAGCGCTTAAATTGGAGCGGCTGCTGTTCGCTTGCATCGCGCAAGACAGGGGCGCCACTTCAACGGGGGCTCGTGCACCTGCTCCCCTTATCCGGATCCTGTTCCTGTTCCTGTTCCTCTACCTCAGCTCCAAATCCAACTCCAACTGGCATCAAAGGCACGGAACGGGAGGCGGAGAAGGACTCGGATTTGGATTCGGAATCGGATGTGGAGACGGAGACGGAACCCAAGCCCAGGTCGCACTGATGCTCATTGCTCCTGCCGTCCAGTGGCCTCAGTTTGAAAGCATATCGTCTTTGGATTATCGCTAAATATAACAGGCTTTAGTTGAGTTTTGTTTTGCGCTCTTAGTCGTATAGTTCCGTGGTAAGACTTGGTGTTCTGTAAGGAATAAATAAATACAAAGTTCAATTAAATATCTGATCACGTTTTAAATAATTTAAAAAGAATATACTGTTAGTCAGCCTCACAATTAACTAACTTAAGCTTTTTGTTCTACATTTCTGATCCAAACCGACGCTTCCCCTATTGCTTTCTCTTTCTCGCACTCTTTCAGAGATGCATTTTCTAGTAATTAATACCAAAAATACCTTGACAGAGTATGACCTTAAGATTACTCAATATTATATAATACTAAATCATTTAAAAAGTAGGGGATTCCCCAATCGACTGAATCGCTGAAACAGAAATGTTCAGCACTGGGGAAACGATAAAAAACAAGAAAGGAAAGCTAACTTCGGGCGGAGCCGAAGTTGATATACCCTTGCAGAATATTCTATAAATTATATTCTCCAAAATTATTCATATGATGCATTCTTAATACTCATAAAAAGTCCCAACTTCCTAACTTTAAAAACACCAAAGCTATGGCATTTCCGATCAATCAGTTTTATGGCGGCTATAGGATATAGTCGTCCGATCCTTATGAAATTCGGTAGGTCGGATTGATTAGCCAAAAATAAAACCCATAGAAAATCTAGAAACTACCTGCAATAGAAAGACAAGTTTTGGGAAAGTTTCAAGCAGATAGCTTTAAAACTGAGGGACTAGTTTGCGTAGAAACGGACGGACGGACGGACAGACGGACAGACGGACGGACGGACAGACGGACATGGCTTGATCGACTCTCCTGGTGATGCTGATCAAGAATATATATACTTTATAGGGTCAGAAATGTATCCTTCACTGCGTTGCAAACTTTTGACTGAAATTATAATACTCTCTGCAAGGGTATAAAAAATTATATTGAATTGTCAAGCAGCTGAATAAATTTCTGGCTTTGTCATAGTTTTTGGCTCCTCTTTGAACATTGAGATATCAATTGAAATCAAATACGGTTTTTTCAAAGCATTTTCTGTGAGTTTGTATCTGATGTTCAAATGTATTTTAAGAATTTAAGTTTTTTTTATAAGTAAACGACGCTTTTTTCTTTTTTGGTTTTAACTTTATTGACTTTTGGTCCCATAAATATTTAATATTGCTGTTCTGTTTTAAGGCATTTGTCTCTCGAATGTTCTTTTTTAGCCAGCTTTGTCTAGAATAAAGTTCTTCCTTTTTCCAGATGAGCGAGGAAAAATCAACAAAAAAGGAGCTCTACCAGCAGCGCAGTCGCCGCGCAGCAGCAGCGCTAACAGTTGACTCTGTGATGCCAAAAAATAGGGCTAGGTCATCCACATCGTGTAACCACCACCCATTCCCAAAAAAAAACAAAAAATACACAGAGAAAAATACAACATTAATTTATTTATAAGAAAGAGTTGTTGCAAATCCAAAAAATGTGGCCCCCACAGTAAAAAAAGCTTAAAAATCATTAAAATTTATTGCCCACAAATATGACTTAGATTTTACGGAACCTTTCAAAAAAATTATATTCACTATACGCTTCTACGATTTTTATAGTTTAAAATAGGTTTCATTTCCTTTTTAAAAAAGGTGTCAAAATACACTTATATTAAAAAACTTAATCTTTCATCTTTTAGAAAATAAGATTAAAAGGCCCTAAAAAAATATTTATATTCGGTTTACTTTCTATGTGTTTTAATTAGTGGCATTCGGAAGGCAATGCAAACTGTTTAAAATAAAGTTGTAATATGATACAAAAAATGTCTTTATCTTTTATCTTATATATAGAAATACAATTAAAGGGAATTAAATAAATGATTGAAAACTTATGCAGCTTTTCAATATATAAACTACTAATTAAAGCGTTAATTTTGCTTGTGTAAAGTACAATGAATGTTTTGCATGGACAAGGACAAAAGCGGAGCAGAATATCCTTTGGATGGCCAAAAAGGATGCTGCAGTCACGCCCATTGAGAAAGGGGCGACAGCATTTCCATGCCAAGGGCAGCAGCTTGGAGCACGACACTACCACTGCCACCCAGAAGCACCCACCACCCCCCGGTTTTTGCCACTTTCGCAGCGTTTTTTGGATCCCAAGCACATTTTGCGGCGCAGACATAACCTCAACTTCTTGCGCGCTGCTTACCACGCTGCCGGCGTCGCAGTCGGCGTCGCAGTTACCAGCGGCAGAGGCAGCCATTTTAGAGGCCAGGCAACAGCTTTACATGGATTTATGTCTATATATATATATATTTGTACATATGTATGTGTTTGTCTTTGTGTGAGAAAATGCCAGTGTGTGTGCGTGTGGAGGCAGCCATCCGATTTTCCCCCGATTTTTCTTTTGGCAAAGACGAAAATAGTGTCAAGGAAACTATTGAGAGACGGTAAAGAAATTAAATAATAGATTAAGCAAGTTGTCAGTCAGCGAGATTCAAAATTTAAGCCTTAAGTTTTAAGTATTCACGGCGAAAATAGCCTATGGAGGAACTGCCTATTTTCATATCAGTGTACTGTGAAAATCTATTAAAAATTTAAGAATTCGTGGATTTTTCTGAGCTAGGAACCTTTTTTTTTTAAACTAACAAAACCAGTAAGTTCAATAATCTTCTTAAAAAACAATAACAATAAATGTTTTGAAAGTTTTATTTACGGATTTAAGAACTGTTTAAGGGTATTACTTTTTATCATAACAAAATTCTAAAGATTTTAGTTTTAAAATAAGATTTAAAGCATACCTTACCTCAGTTTTCCTCAGTTGAAGCTACAGTTTGATGATTTCTCTTTGCTTAATTAGTGATTATTTTAGTTAAATTGAATTACTTGATCTATTTTGGCTTTTTGTTGTGCGTTTCGTTTGCCTTAAATCTAACTATTAAATTTCTATATTTATATTTCTATTTTGTATTTCTTGTGCGCTTAGGACGCTTTTTGCATCATCGGCTGTTTTACATTTTTCCCCTGGCTTTTTGGATTCCCTTTCTTTTTTTATTTAGCCAGGCCAGGGATTAAAGAACGGCAAAAAAAAAGTTACCAAAAAAACAACAAGAAAATAGCGACGCACACACACGCGCGCGAAATCACACCCACACGGACACACACGCACACACACTGACAAACGCGCACGCGGCGGAGAAAAAAAAATATTGAGAAATTTTTGGGACAGCGGCAAAAATATTTGTACGTAAGATATTGTATTATAATTTTTTTCCGGTTTTTTCTACATCCTTTTGGGGTCGTCCTTTTTTCAATTTACTATTTTTGAGTTAAAAGTTTTTTTTTTCGGTTTTTATTGTGTGTGATTAGTTGCGTTTTCCGTATTTTTGGCCCGTTCCGGAGGATTTATTACGTGCAGTCCGCCCGTGCGCTGCGCACGCCCGCGTCTGCCGCCGATTTGGAATTGCCACGACGTTGCGTTGAAATGTTGCGCGTAACTGAGTGGCACAGCCTCTGCCTCTGCCACAGCAACTGCCACTGCCACAGCTCTGCCGCTGCCACTGCCACTGCCGCTGCCGAGGATGCTCTCCGGGCAACGCGAAGCCCAGCGGTACAGGTCCTGGCCCGTAGTGTCCTGCGCCGCTCTGTTCCAGGCTCCGGATCCGGCTCCGGCAAAGGCATTGACTACGACTACGGCTGCAGATGTAGCTAGCCGCCGCAGCTAGCAGCTCAGCCCGGTTCGGCTCGGCTCAGCTGCCAATGCCGAGGCACGAGATGCTGATGCTGAGGCACAGTGGGCCTGGTTGAGGTTCTAATCCAAAAGAATATTTACAAAGCAATCGGAAATATGTTTTAAACTCCATTCAAGTTCCGGCATTAATATTCATTTTCATATTTTCATATTTATCAAATATTTAGGAGGACAACAGAAATCACTGGGGTGAAATCACTTAAAAAGTGTCTGAAAGTATGCAACAATATACGTTCAATGTTTCACTGCTTGCTTTACAAGTGATTTCAAAACCCAAGTGATTTCTCGTTCAACACTGATATATTAAAGCGCCCAAAAGCAGGCAACCAAGTATTCTGTTCCATTAAAATAGCGCTTCAAAGTTTTATAAATATTATTTGGAATTACCAATCTTTGTTATAGATTTAACCTCCATAAAACAAATAAAAATGATTTTATTTTCAATAGAAAATTTCCCTTTAAAGTTTCTTATCGTGGGTTAATCTGGCATCAAGATCAACCTTTGAAAAATAAAAAAAGTAACTTGTTTTTATTTTTGTTAACGATTGTTAATTATTTTTATTTGACAACAATATGTCATTTGTAGAAGTTTCTTCGAGCTGATAAATTTAGCAAATTAGTTGAAATTTTTCTGTTTTGCTACATTTTGAGTAATCTAAAATAAGGAACTTTGGAAAATATTAATTGTTAATAGTTTTAAATACTTAAAAATATATTGATTGGTTTGTTTATTGTGTATATCAGAATGTCAACCATTTTAGCTACTAACTGATCCACTCCACTGTGCACTGCCGACGCTGGACCAAAAGGATGAGCGGCAGAGCAGCGGCCGAAAGGACTCGAGCGCAGCCGAAAGAACAGGAGCGTAGCCGAACGCAAAATTTGCGGGGGGATGGGTGGCGGTAGGGGCTGATTTACAAAACACATGGCATGGAATAGGCCACCCAACAGACTCCACCCACCACCCACGCAAGGGCGCGTGTTGGGCGCCCGACGAGCTTTACAGTCGCCGAAGGGAAGAGAGCCGGTGGCGCAGGGGTGGGTTTCAAGGGGGAATGGATACACAGGATACACAGCGTTCCGTTCCGCGATGCAACAGCAAAATCATATCATCAGGCCGTATCCTCGTCGGCAAAACAGCAAAGCAACAAAGCAGCGGCAGCAGCTGTAAGCCCCCTTCCATGGATTTCCCCAGCTCCTCTGCACAAAACATGCGCAGCACCAAATCGTAGAAAATCAAATTGAAAAACATATGACAGTGACATTCCATTTGCAACGTGATTTTAAAAAATAATCACCCAATACAAACTGAAAGTACAGTGAAATACTAAAGTTTTGTAATATCTGAATCTTAAGTTTGGTATGAAACATACTTTCAAATATAAACTAGTTTTCATTTAATGATTTAGTTGAAAACTCAAATTATTAAGACACGACAATGGATAATTGTTAAAAATGTATAAAATAACTTGACGTTATGGTTAATAACTCAACCTAACTATATAGCTAAGACTTTATTCTATGTATTATTTTCAATTTTTATTTTTATTTATATTTTAACACATATTTTGTTCAGCTAAGAACATTTTGTTTAACATTGATTGAATGAGCAAAGCTTAAATTCAAATTCAAATAAAATTAATTAGGTTGCCTCCAAAAATATCGATAGTTTTCTTATAGATTGATTTGTACGTTTTTAGTCAGGTTAACAAAAAATATATTTGCAAATAACTTATAAAAAATTAATAAATAAGAAAAGCAATTGTGGAATAAACCATCGATAGCTTAGAATTCTTCTTTGATCGATTTTTTTTAAAATTATGATATCGATCACTGTTTTTTATGGGGACTCAAATCTAATATTCCTGTTATTGTATATATTTATTACTATATTTGAGATAGTATCGTTGTTTAAATGTTTCGGTAAATTGTTGTTTCTAATTTTTCATTTCTTCTCCTCCATTTGAATTATTGAAAAGAAAAATGCCTCCCCAAAAAAATTCCCTAGAAAAAGTGTTGGAAAATACCAAAAACGTTTCCTTATCCAAAACTGTTTGGCTGGTATTTTTTAGTACAATCCAGTATCCAGTTCATGTTACCCATAACAAAATGCTTTTTAAATGCCACAAAAACACCCAAAACAAACAAAAATTAAAATAAAATTATGAATAATAGTGCCTTTAAGACAATAGCAACTAAAAGCAAACCAACAAACTGGAACCAAAACCTTAAAGAGAACCAGAAATCAAACCAGATCCCTAGCTGGGTCCAAAGACCAGTTCAATTAAACTAGTTCCGATTTGAACAGTGCAACTCTAGTTTTTTTTTAATACATATATGTTTTAAAAACATATGCGGAATCGGGCAGATAAAAAGGCATTAACCGATTGCAAAGGATCAAGGATAAAGCGACTTTGACTGCGACGCTGACTGCGACGTCGACTGCGACAGAGCGACAATGGTGTGCTGTGCGAGTGCGTTTGCGATTGCGAGTGTGTGTGTTTTGTATCGTGTTGTCTGATTGTGTGTTGTTGCCGTCGCTGTTGTTGTTGTTCTTATTGTTGTGCGTGTGGTTGACGGACGGACAGTGGAACAGAACGACAGTGGACAGTGGGGCTACCAGGATAAACCAGGATAATTGCAACATTCTCACCACCAAGTAAGTCAGCCCCACCCCCTCCCGTATACAACTAATATTACTAAACCCACTTTCCTCTTCTTCTTCCTCCTTTTCTTTTTATCTCTTTCCCACCCAGAGAAACAATAGCAAGAAAGCAGAAAAAAAACAAAAACAAAGACGTAAAGGACCTTCCATGTCGCCAAGTGTGGGCCTTTGATGACGCCCAAGGACTCCCGAGGACTCCCCTTCAGCCAGGACTACCATGCTCCCCATTAGCGAGGAGCAGCAGCTGCACAAGCAGCAGTTAGATCAACTGCATCACCAGCAGATCCCAGAGGATCTGGAGCAAGTAGAGCCCCACGTGGGCGATGGCAGCCTGTGGACTGCTCTTTACGACTACGAGGCCCAGGGCGAGGATGAGCTGACCCTGCGGCGCGGCGAGATAGTGGTGGTCCTGTCCACAGACAGCGAAGTGTCCGGCGATTTGGGCTGGTGGACTGGAAAGATCGGAGATAAGGTAATCCCACTCAGGTCCCATTAAAGGTTGCCCAATCTAACATCTAATCCCTCCCAGGTTGGCGTCTTCCCCAAAGACTATGTCACCGACGAAGATCCACTCCAACTCAATGTCTCCTCTGCGATTGGAGACATCCAACCGCATGAAATCGAGTACGATGAAATGGACATCAAGGAGGTCATCGGCTCGGGAGGCTTCTGCAAGGTCCATCGTGGCTTCTACGATGGCGAAGAGGTGGCCATCAAGATTGCCCATCAAACGGGCGAGGATGATATGCAACGGATGCGGGATAATGTCCTGCAGGAGGCCAAACTCTTTTGGGCCCTCAAGCACGAGAATATAGCCGCCTTGCGAGGAGTATGCCTCAATACCAAGCTCTGTTTGGTGATGGAGTACGCGAGAGGTGGCAGCCTTAATCGCATACTGGCTGGCAAGATACCACCCGATGTCCTGGTCAACTGGGCCATTCAGATTGCCCGTGGCATGAACTATCTGCACAATGAGGCGCCCATGTCGATCATTCACCGCGACCTCAAGTCCTCCAACGTGTTGATTTACGAGGCCATCGAGGGTAATCATCTGCAGCAGAAGACGCTTAAGATAACCGATTTCGGGCTCGCCAGGGAGATGTACAACACGCAACGGATGAGCGCGGCGGGCACCTACGCCTGGATGCCACCAGAGGTTATCAGCGTTAGCACATATTCCAAGTAAGATCCGGGAAGCCGCAAAAAATATTCTAGAACATAGATTTTGCTTTAAAATTGTGAATTGGGATAGAGTAAAAAGCGTATTCTTATCCTCGTAGAGAATAGCTAAATAAGATTGTTGAAAGCCCAAAAAATTAGTCAAAATTATGATCTTTACAAAAGCCTAATTTAATTTATATTTAAGCTGTCAAATGACGTTCCGCCCAAAGCTCAGCTCTAGTCAGTCACCTATTTAACATAACCCTTTGCCCCACAGATCTTCCGATGTTTGGAGCTATGGTGTATTGCTTTGGGAACTGATCACTGGCGAGACGCCCTACAAGGGCTTTGATCCTTTGTCCGTGGCGTATGGCGTGGCTGTCAATACGCTGACCTTGCCGATACCAAAAACCTGCCCAGAAACCTGGGGAGCCCTGATGAAAAGTGAGTTGTTTCGTCTTTTGCATTTCACAAATTGACTAATCAAAAACCCACAGGCTGCTGGCAAACGGATCCGCACAAACGACCTGGCTTCAAGGAGATACTCAGGCAACTGGAAAGCATCGCCTGCTCCAAATTCACGCTGACTCCTCAGGAGTCCTTTCACTATATGCAGGAGTGCTGGAAGAAGGAGATCGCCGAGGTGCTCCACGACTTGCGCGAAAAAGAAAAGGTATCATCAGGCTGGGAAACCCCTGCAAGCCGGCAAAACCAATTCCTATTCCTTTTAGAGTTGTTCTAGATCGTTTCTAGATCGTTCTTTGTTGGCCTTACGCCGCTCCTGTGTTTTTTTTCCATTCTCGCTCCACATTTTCCCCACTTGGTCGTTGATGAAATTCTAATAATTTGGTATATACTTTTTCTCCAAAAAAAAAAAAACAAAATTCCCCTGTAATCCAATAAACATCAAACGACGTTAAGCGTTTCCAAACCATCGAAGAGGTAAGCGCGTCCAACAGGTTCCCCATTTGCGTTTCAGTTGCGTTGCGTTTCGTTCTGTTCTGTTACTTTAGTTACTTTATTGTATCATAAGTTATCCTGTTTTTTTGTTTCGCTAATTAGTGTCCGCGTTCGGCTGGATAACTTCCCACAATAGCCCCCTCTCAAGCGAACTGCTGCATGGTTTCTAGTTCCTAGTTAAAGCTATTTTGTAGCACTTGTCCCCATTAGGACTAAGTCTTACCCACACTAACCCCTCACGTTCCGCCATGTTATCCCTATAATCCTGACAGGAATTGCGCAACAAGGAGGAGCAGCTGCTTAGGGTGCAGAACGAGCAGCGCGAGAAGGCGAACCTCTTAAAAATCCAGGAGCAAATTCTACGCGAGCGCGAAATGGTGCTGATTGAACGGGAGTTGGTCATGATGCAGCCGCCGAAACGCAAGCCCAAAAAGGGAAAAAAGGTAGGAGATTGTCTCAAATTGATAGTCCTTAAATAATCATTTTTCCCATATTTATCATGCAGAACAAACCACTGCAGATTGGGCTGCCCACGGGCTTCAGGCACACCATTACGGCCGTACGCGACAAGGCTGAGCAACCGGGATCACCTTCCTTCTCCGGATTGCGCATAGTGGCACGTGAGTACTTATCTCATGGTCGGGGGCCTTCCCTTTATTCTTATTAGCTTGGGGCAATGAGATCACACGAGTCTCATTTAGCTAGGGATTATCTGATGACACGATTAGGTCTACTATTCAACTGAAATGCAATGTCGGGTAACGTGCGGTTCAAGACTATATGTTGTTATAATAAAAAATCACAATAAAACTTTATAATTTTTTTAAATACCATAATCTCTTTTGTATAGCAGTTTATTCGTTGAAACATACTAGATAAATGAATTTGCATAATAAAATAAGTCTATTAAAGTCTTAAAAATGTACAATAAATTAATTGTGTAAAATTCAAAATGTTCCTCTGTTATATTCAATTGGTTTTATCTTATCAAATACTGCTATTCAAAACAGAGGGCTTATTCTTAAAATTATCCTATGTGTTTTGCTTATTCTATGGTTAATTGATATACCTACTAGCACTGTGTTAGATTTATGAAACGCACCGTACCCCTAATTAGTTTACATTATGCACCTTGCAGGTCTTAATGATAAGATTAGGCACCCAGAGGGAATGAGATTAGAGTCATGAGAGGAGTCATGCCCCGGGAATGTACGACACTTCGTATCAGTAGTGGGAATAACCTAATTTCTTGAATATTTATGTTATCTTTATATATGATTTGATTTTCTGTATATTTGATTGATTTGCTTTTCGTTTTTTCCTTATTATTTCCTCTTATGTTCCGTATTATTTGGGGCACGTGTGCAATATATCAGTGACCGATGGGCACAAGGGCAAGACGTGGGGCCCGTCGACGATGCACCAGCGGGAGCGATCCCTACTGCCCTCGCAACTGGGGGGCGGTCAGCCGGAATGGCCCGCCCAGAGCTCAACCCACTCCTCGTTCAGCAAGAGTGCCCCGAATCTGGACAAGAAGCAACAGCAGCAGCAGCAGCAGCAACAGGTGGCCTCGCTGACGCCGCCGCCGGGTTTGGGAACATTGGGTGGAAGTGGAGGTGGAGGCGGAGGCGTTGGCGTTGGTGGAACGCCGACCACGCCCCTGTTGTATCCAGGTATACCCCATTTACTAACGCGCCCCAACAACAACAACATTGGCAATTGTAATGCCATCACCACCACCATCACAACCACCACCACAACCACCACCAACAACAACAACAGCATCTCCGCCAACAACAACAATCAGCTATATAATAATAGTACTAGTAATAGCAATAACATTAACAGTCAGACTAACCTAACATCCCAAACGAACGTCGTAGTCGTCCTCCAAAATGGCAGGAGCAACTCCCACAGCAGCCACAGCCAATCGCCAGCTAATTTATACTATCGCGCCAAGAGTCAGGAGTACGGACTGGATCATCCGAATGCCTATCCGCCGGCTCCACTCTATCTGGTAACGGATGACGGCTCGGAAACGGACACCGTGGCCAGTCCAACCGGTTGCTTTCACTTCCTAAAGCCAGGCAACTCCTCGTCGGTCTCGAATCAGGCCAGTGGTGCAGTGCATCTGCAGCGTTTTGGCGGCAGCCTGGGCAACAGTCCCGCCGTGGGAAGGAAGAAGCACTCGCTGGACAGCTGCGACCAGCAACAGCCTCCAACCAGCAGCAATAGTCTGGCACTGTCCAACCAATTGGCGCTGCCATCGGAGGATAACAATACGTACGACCATGCCTTCTATCGGGATGTGATCAAGAAGATGTCCATGGCCAGCAGCGAGAGGGTGAACTCCAAGTCCAGTGGTGATCTGACCATGTACAACTCCAGCACTCGGCTGACGGCCAGAGATTGCGATGATGCAGAGGAGGCCTTCGAGGGTGGACGCTTCCAGCGAAATCCGTCCGGATCGCAGTTCCCGCGGCACTGCTTCTTCACCAGGAAAGAGGGAGAAGTGGAAGCGGAGGAGTTTGAGGTGGACTCACCGGAGGCGGAGGCCGAAGATGATGGCCAAGTGCCCACCAGCCAGATGCGCCAGAACTCCACCACCTCGCGCAAGAGTTCAGTGACCTTCCAAAGCGTCAGTTTCGAGGAGCCCGCCAGCGTGACCACGCCACCAACGACTGCCAGAACGGATCTGTATACATCCAGTGCCTCTATTAGCTTCGCCACCTACCGCTCCACCTCGCCATCACTGTCCTCATCCTCCACGACCGCTTCCGCCTCCGCTTCGATCACCTCGTCCGGTGGCGAGATGATCCAGGGTGAAGCCGGCTACCACATACAGGAGAACTCGATACTGACCCCGCGTCGCTGGCGCGATGTCCAGCCACATCCCGACGTCATAAAGATGAAGGAGAGCATACTGGCCCAGGAGCAGCGTCAGCACAGCAAGAACCAAAAGAAGCAACGACCCAAGCACATCACCAAATCCAAGTCCGTCGAGGCGCCAGTCGAAGGAGAGCATCCCCATCACCAGCCTCAGCACCAGCATCACTCGGCAGGATCGAGCAAATTCCGCTCCCTGCTCAATCTCTTCACGCGTTCGCGAAAGAAGTACAGCAAGCTGGCCGAGCACAACCTGGTGGGCGGTTCCGAGTTCAGTGCCATCGATCCCTATCAAACCGATTTGGCCATGGGCGGCAGTAGTCGCTCCCTGAAACGCAAGGGCAAGAAGCCACAGACGCAATCCTGCGAGCAACTGGAGCGATGCTGAAACAGCACGGAGGATCGGAGGAGCGGACTAAAAGGAGTAAGAGCTGTGCTGCTGTTGGAGTTTGCCGCCGAATGAAAACCGCCTAATTAGCTCATTGTTTTATATTAAAACTCTAGACTAAGTCAGACGCAAAAGATACAAGAAAAAAAAAACAGACGACATAAGGATTTCCTCTGAGGATTAGCCATAGCTAATGTGTCAAAATAGGAGGGCTTAGATTTCCGAAAACCCCGTCTAACGAAATCACTAAACAACAAAACTCCCTTTTCCGAGAAAGGCTTTTCAAAATAACCGAATTGTTCCTAACGAATGCAATATGCAAAATCTACAAACAGATTTCTTAATTAGTCCAGTGATTTTTGGTCAGGGGAAGCACCTTAAAAATTGCGGAATAATAGAGAGAGAGGACGAAGATTTACGGATTAAACGGATAGACTAACGCTGCTTATACGTAGACATCCAAAAAACACGTGCATGGGCCAATGGCAAATTATTCAACTAAACCATATACATAAATGTGTAACAATTGGATTAACATTAAGTAAACCATATTGCTATATTTAAACCGAGGCGCACATGCGTCCTTACATTACATTACACACATCTTAGTTGAACTAAGCTCTAGTTGTTTAGGAATTTGATTTTTTTTTTGTCTTGCGAGAAGCCTTCTCTTTCCTTTTTCTATGTAAGAGATATTTTCCAAATTTCCATCGCTTTCCGCACTTCGTTTGGTGAGAAAACTTAATGAAAAAATTTGAAGACGATTTGCGGAACACGCGGGACTTAATTTAATTTATATTTTACATTCGACTCCTTTGGTATTTTGAGCACAGTTTTATTAACATTTATTACGCAATCGGGTTTTCCAATTAATTTATTTATGATTTCTTTTACAAAAGCACACGAGTAATAGCGCAAAAAAAACCTGTGATCAAAAAACAATGATAAAAAAAGAAATGATAATTTTTTTGTATTATTTTATGGAAATTTTCAATTGTATATTTATATTCTTTTTACGATTTGTTCATTTTACGTTTACTGCTTGATTTGATTTCAATGTACTTTGTATATTAATGTATTTTCCATTTTGGGGCCAAGCCAACCCAAAAAAAAACAAAAATAAAGAAGAACCAATGCCTAGAAACAGAAAACCGACAATAAAACCCACTAAAGAGATTCTGCCGACCAGTTTTGATTGTCTCCCAGCCAAAAGCACAGAGAAAATGCTAATTTCAAGATTATAATGACCTGCAATTGGCTTAAAACTCCATCAAGTAAATTAACAAAAACATATTTATAATATGTTTAGCTATATATTTAAATGGTAATTAATCGTACAAATGTTAACTTTTTGATATTAGATCAAAATCAAAAAGTGTATAGTTTTTTCTCTGTGCATAAGTTAATCCCCTTTCGGACAGAGAGAAATTTGACGAACGAACCGAGACTCTTGGTATGCGGTGGTTAAACTTTGGTATTGCCTGCGGTTACTATCCAACTACTCGTCCCTCTCCGACTACCCGCCCACCGACCAAATCCCAGCTATCGATCCCCAGCCAGAGCCATATTCCGTAACTCAATCATGTCTCATGTCCGCCTCGGAATGCTGCCGGCTGTCCAGGCTACCAGGGCAACAGCAAGATGGACGACTGGCGCCCGGGGGCCACCAACATGCCGATCATGTCGCCATCGCCGTACCTCCTCAGCCGCTTCACCAGCAACGTTCCACTGCCGACGCTCTACGCCGGGGACTCCGCCCGGAAGCCGAAGCTCTCGGTGATCGAGCTGCTGCTCTACAACATGGCCTCCATGCTGGCCGGAGTGGCGGCCGGATACGATGTGCGGATGTCGAACGTGTCGCCAGTGCATCCCACGCTGCTGAGTGAGGTGCCCGCCCTGAAAGCGGCGCCCAAGGCAGTGGCTCCAGTTGCGGAGGAGGTGGAGCCGCCTCAGGCGCAGATCCTTGAACTGGAGGCGGATGCGCCACTCAAACAGCAGGAGGGCGATCAGCAGGATCTCCGGGAAGGCACGCCCCGGAAGATGGCCAGTCAGGCGAGGTGAGTGATTCACTAGCTTATGAATAGCCCTTAAAAAATATTTATGTTACTATATAATCTCTGGTTTATTCCAAAAAAATGTATTTTTAAAATGCTTAAAACATATTATTAAATTAAGACCGCGTTTTTTTAGCTTAATCGAAATAATAATACAGTTTAAAATAATAAAAAAATTTTTTTGGGTCTTTGAAACGTTGAATCATACGAAAACAAAATACAAATAAGATTGCCCTACGTCATTTTCTTAAAAAACATTTTTTAAGCTCAAGATCGTGGTGATATATCGAGTGTAAAATTATATAAATAAATTATTAAAACATAAAATTGACCGCCAATTCTTCAGCTTTTAGGCTTTATTTATTATCATATGCTTTGGGTCTTAAAAATATTAAATCAATAAAACATTTTCCTACCCACAGATTTGGTGGCATTGAAGCTCCGGCCTGCAAATCCCAGCCCACTTCTCTGGCCCGGCGAATCGGAGGCAGTCAGCCGTATTACACGCCCGTGCAGCGGACTCCGCAGCACCAGATGCACCACCAGCAGCACCACCAGCACCAATCCCAGCCCGTGCCATCCGCCTTGGTGACCACAGTAGCCGCCGCAGCAGCCCAACCGGCGGCCGGAGTAAGCGGCATCTACGCCGGAACACAGCCGCCGACGCCATCGCCACGTCGCAAACTGAGCAACAGCAGCTTCGGCAACGCCAATCCCCAAGCGGATGCCTTCGAGGAGTTCCGTGTGGGCGGCGGCATCGGTCCACCGCCACTCTATGCGCCGGCGGATTACCTGAGGAACGGACCGAGCTACTCCAACGATGGGGGAAACTACCGGAATGGGTACTTCGGTGAGTTGGCTGGTGGCAGGATTAGTTATGCAGGTGTTTTCCTAATCCCTTCTGTGCTTCGACAGGTTCCAATTACTTTCCCTACCGCCCGGAGTTGAACTACAGCTACGAGCGGGACTGCAAGTCGTATCCGGACTACTCCTACGACTACAACCATCGGCTGCCGGATTACTACGACTACCAGTATGAGGCGCCAGTGGTGCCCGTGCCCGTTCCCGTTCCTGTTCCCGTTCCCGTGACCGTTCCCTGTGGGGTCAACCAGACCCGGACACCACCACCTCGGGTTCCCCAAATGGGCGTAAGTGCGGCCGGACACCGACGCACTCCCTCGACCGTGTCAAACAACTCAAATGTTCTGCTGGAGCACGAAGAGCTGCTCTGCTATGATTACAACAATCTCAATTTGAATGCGGACTACGAGAGGGAACGGGAACGGGATCGGGAGCAAGTGCCTCCGCCCACGAAGCAGGAACTGTACGCGGGATCGCCCAAGCTGCTGAACCGCCTGATCCACAGTCCCTTGCCGATGACCAAGAGCAAGTATGCCACGGCGGCGGTGACGCGACCCGCCAGTCTGCCCTTTGAGCAGCATGCTCTTTCGCTGAACTACCAGCAGCCGACCGTGGCAACGGTGGTGGCTTCTCTACCACCTCCTCTAGCTGGCCAATCCAAGCTGCGCAGCTCGCTGAAGAAGTACAATGGTGGCGGAGGCGGAGGAGGAAACGGTTCCACATCCTCGCAGCAGGGCACACCCACTAATCCCACACCACCGGATTCGCTGACCAGCGATGATAGCTCCTATTTGAGTGCCAAAGAGGGTTCCATCGGCTCCCAGCACAGCAGAGTTCGCTTCAGTCCGGAGGCCTATTTGGATGCCAACCCGTTGCCCACATTGGGACGCAGGATGACGGCTCCGGCGATGCAGTTGCCGCAGCACCAGCAGCAGCAGCAACAACAGCAGCAGAGACGCCAGCGACAGGCTTCCAGTGGCAGCACGCCATCGCCATCGGCCTCCTCCTCCTAGCAGACGCGACTGGCGCTGACCCTGCAGTTGGCGCGCAGTCCGGGAGCGGACATCGGAAGCGGAGGAGCAGCCGGGCAGGCGCTTCACCAGCAGCGGGTTCCCTATCGCTGGTACTCGGGAGCCCGGCGATCTCGATCGGCCCACTATGAGTACCGCCTGTGAAAGAGCGGGACAGGCGCAAAGTTGGAAGCGAAAGAGAAGGGGATGGCCATAGAAGCTGGCAGGGATCGCCGGAGCAGGAAGATCTGCAGAAAAACCAAGTACTTAGGAGGAGCAACAAGTGGAGCTGCGGGAAAACTACAGGATCAGCTGATAAAGAAAAAGCAGGCAGTTAAATCTAAGGGGAAAATATCGGAAAATGGAAGAATGCCACAGCTAACAACAAAAATCAGAGGCAGCCAAAAGCTTGAGTAAGAGAAGTAACTCATTGATAAAGGAAAAGTAAGAAAAATCGCATAGCTTCTGGAATTTTACCTTCAGATGAGGAAAAGAAGCAATTATAAAGCATAAAATAAGTTAGCTTCATATAAGCACACAAAAGTCGTAAGCTGAATATAAAAGGTCGAAAAACACCAGAGAAATCAAATGGTTTTCAGGAAGAATCAGAACATATATCAAGTACGAGCAGTTGAGTTAATCCAGAACCTAAAGAAGCGCAAACAGCGGAGGAAAAAACAAAAAAAACAGGAGCAATACATTTTGGGCAGGATCAACAGGAGCGTTTTTACCTAAGATCTTGCAGAACTTAAAATCAAAGCAGCCTATACCCACTGTCTGTATATAAAAGTAGTTGACACAGTTGTTCACTCGCAAGTAATATATTAATTCGATGTTAATATTAACCCACAGATAGACAAACCGTCGTATTCCGGGGTGTTCCTGATGCATTTGGAGATTTCAGGAGACCTTTTTCTGTTCCCAACCAATTACTTTTGCAAAGTATTGATGGAAATCGTATACCTCGAAGAATCTTTTTAGAACTTAAACCCTTGGGGATTCGAAATCTGCAGAAGTTTTAGGAACACCCCCTGGACATACACACCCATAGACACACAACCCCTGACTTGCGCGATTTGCCTTAAAAGTAGAGTGAAGACTTCACTAGTTTTGCCTGATGCCGGATTCCAAAACAAAAAAAATCACTCATCGTAACGAATCCCAATCCCTCGTATAAGATTATCGATTTAACTGATGGACAAATAGTTTGATATAGCAAATATACTCCCATTTATGTATTATATATATAAAGACGAAGTTCTCCACTTGCGTTCTCCGATTCAGATTAAGAGCAGCCAGCTAGCAAGCCATCAACAACAAACAACAAACAACAATAATAACTAGTAATACTTTGTAATTCCGAGGACACCACATCCCAATCAAGACACACGCCAGCCGTAAGCTCCATTTTTAAGTCTGACAAAATGTTTATATATTCATAGATATTTATAAACACCTAGATATAGACCGATATAGACGCGTTAACCCAAACCACTAGCTCTGAATTGAATAACAGTATAACTCGATCGATTTACAACTACTTATAATGGATATATAAGAGTATATATATACATGCATATATCTATATAGATATGTATAAGACACATATAACGAAGCATATTGCTGCTGTTTTTTCCAAATAATGAATAGCTATGATAATGATATAATGGCGAAGAATTTGACTACCTTTACATATATGACACGTACATAGATACTGCTACTAAAATGCTTATTATGTAACCGATTATGTAATCAAGTTTATTTTCGAGGTGTTTTGAAAGTCTCTAGAGTTTTTGGGGTATATATCCTAAATATGTTTTCAAATAATTTGAAGAGGCTTAAGAATCAATTCGTATGTTATTAAGCTATTTAAAGATATTTATTTCTTTTAAAATATTTAAAATTTAATGTAAAATCAGATTGAAAAATGTAGAGTAACAATTGTTTTATTGCTTACATTTTTAAAACTTTTGTAAGGTATTTCACCTTCATAACACCTTAGCTAATACTTTTAAAATCTCTAGAAATTTACGGAACACCGCGGATAATGTTTAATCCGATTGCAGCATGCACAAATAGCTTTCTTTGACTTTCGAGGAGCTTAATTACCAATTTAGTTACTCGACTTGTTTGCCACGCGAACAAACACAAACTCTAGACCATATTTTTTTCGTTTTTGAGTGGGGTGTAACTAGACCACTGCTCATGCATATATTTACCAATTAATTACTATAATTTAGACAAATTGTTGTTTATGCTCACACAAAGCCGAAGTTAACCAAAAAAGGAAACGACATCCGATTGACCAGAAACAAAAACGGATCAATATAGCGTATAGCCTATAGCCCATAGCCATTCATCTGCCCAACAGTCGACTTTAACATTTACCTACTAGCTTAATTGCATTTGCCTGCATTATTTATTAATTAGGAAGGGTTCGAGTTCTAAAGTTTATTTTGTATTTGCTTCTTAATTGCCTTGAATTAGCAAGTGGAAAAAAAACATGGGGGGGGTCTTCGAGGGGGTAAAGTTGGGTTGAAGGGAGCGGAGCGGACTCACAAATATGCAATAACAAAATGCTGCTTGTGACTTATGTTATGTACAAATTAGCAATTAACAATTGACGATTCATTTAAATCATTCAGAGACCAAAATGCGAAAATAAAAACTATTTTTTATAGAAAAAAAAAAACAAAAGAAAAAGAAAAGGAGGGCAAAGTTTTCCTTAATTGGAGTGGCTATAAAAGGGGCTCTCAAGATATTCCTGCGCCTCAAAAGTATCTTAGCCATGAAGTCGAACGGTCAGATATTCAGGAAAGTGGAGGTGAAAGAGGAGGTGGAGGAGGAGGAAGTGCCCGAATCCCGGAGGGCCTTCAGGAATCTCTTCAACTGTTTCTACGCCTTGGGCATGCAGGCTCCGGATGGCAGTCCTCCCACGAGGAGCACCACCTGGAGGCGAATCTATCGCTGCTTCTCGGTGATCATGTACGTGTGGCAACTGCTGGTGGTGCCCACCTGCTTCGTGATCAGCTATCGGTACATGGGCGGCATGGAGATCACCCAGGTGCTGACCTCCGCCCAGGTGGCCATCGATGCAGTCATCCTGCCGGCCAAGATTGTGGCCTTGGCCTTGAACCTGCCATTGCTGCGGCGGGCGGAGCACCACCTGGCCGCCTTGGATGCCCGATGCAGGGAGCAGGCGGAGTTCCAGCTGATCCTGGATGCGGTGAGGTTCTGCAACCGATTGGTCTGGTTCTACCAGATCTCCTACGCCATCTACTCCTCCTCGACCTTCGTGAGCGCCTTCCTGCTGGGCCAGCCACCATATGCCCTCTATTTGCCTGGCCTGGATTGGCAGCGCTCCAAGCTGCAGTTCTACATCCAGGCCTGGATCGAGTTTCTCATCATGAACTGGACGTGTCTGCACCAGGCCAGCGATGATGTCTACGCCGTGATCTATCTGTATGTGGTGCGGGTCCAGGTGCAGCTGCTGGCCAGGAGGGTGCAGAAGCTGGGCAGGAGCGATGAGGCGAGGGGCGAGGAGGAGGCCTATCCGGATGCGAGGAGGCAGAAGGAGCACTGCGCGGAGCTGCAGCGGTGCATTGTGGACCACCAGACGATGCTCCAGCTGCTCGGGTGCATCAGTCCGGTCATCTCGAGGACCATATTCGTCCAGTTCCTGATCACCGCCGCCATCATGGGCACCACCATGATCAATATCTTCATCTTTGCCAATACGAACACCAAGATCGCATCGATTATCTACCTGATGGCGGTGACCCTTCAGACGGCTCCATGTTGCTACCAGGCCACCTCGCTGATGTTGGACAACGAGAAGTTATCCCTGGCCATCTTCCAGTGCCAGTGGCTGGGCCAAAGCCCCCGGTTCCGCAAGATGCTCCTCTACTACCTCCATCGCGCCCAGCAACCCATCACTCTGACGGCTATGAAACTGTTTCCCATCAACCTGGCCACCTACTTTAGTGTAAGTACCGATATCATGCATCAAAAGATTTTTCGTAGGGAAAAAACAGCCATAGTTTGAACAATTGAGCTTTATGGCCTTAAGTATAATGCTATGTTTTTTCGATCTCCATCCACATACCAAGTTTCATAACGCTCGGACGAATATTTTTTCACTGTAGATGTTTTAGTTGGCATCCTTAATTATCGAAAGAGTCAGTCGCTAGAAAGTATGCAATACATTTTGAGATAGTATGGGGAAATATTTAAAAATTAAAAAATATATATCTAAATGTTTTGTTATGGTCTGTGTTATAGACATTTTATATATACAATACAATACACGTATCATTATCTTACATACGAATAATTCCAATAATTTAAAAAACAATAAATTTTATGGTTACAGATCGCCAAGTTCTCGTTTTCGCTCTACACGCTCATCAAGGGGATGAATCTCGGCGAGCGATTTACTGGGACAAATTGAAAAACTATTAGCTTGAAATGCACTACAAGAATTAGGCGATATAGAATCGCTTTTTTTCGCAACGAATTTCTTTAGAATGCCTTTATAACGGGGATGGCAAATACCAAATGTAGATTGTATTTTAAATGAAGCGCTCACTTCTTATGTTATACTCGGATATGGGTAAACTTAGTTTTTAGTATTGGTTAACACATATAATTAGTGCAAATTTAGTTATCTGCAAATATTTAGTACCACTTTATGAGAGGCAATAAACACATAAAATGTGCCAACAAAATGGGAAAGACTTTAAATTTGTGAGATCTACCAGTGTTTTTTTTCGCTGTGTGGGACTTTCTTGAGCTTTAACAGATTCCAAATTCCAAGTGAAATCGATAATGATCGCTAATCGGCCAGAACAGAAGCCTGCTAACCACTGGACCACTTTGCCGCACCTTCCATTCCCACATCCCATCCCTTGCCCACTTTTGTTTGTGCGCCCAAGGCGAAGCACCTGCCAGGAGAGGAGGCACCTCCATGGCCACGTCCAGATCCACCCCTCCATCTTCGCCGCGCCTCCGGTTTGTGGCCCAATTCGAAGTGGTGCCACACTTTGTAGTGCTATACCGTTGTACGGATCACACTGTGAAAAATATTTTTATTTCGGTTAGTTAAAAGTAAGCTAAAAAACCGTTTGGAAATTTACAGTTTAAAAGACACTCTAAACTTACCATAAAGACGAGAAAAGAAAAAAAATAATATGAAGTATGAGAAACTATTTAACTTATAAAAATATATACATATGTATATTTAATATAAACGTTTTTTTTTTTTTAAGTCGAATTATAACATTTTAACTTGATATTTAAAAGATCTTAACAAATTTACAATATCAAAGCGACACTTTGTCGTAAATTTAAAATATAGTAGTTAATAGACAAAGTATTACAATGACAACTAACATTTTATAGGACATGTTGATCTTGAGATCAACTGATCCAAAATAAAACAAGAAAGGAAAGCTAACTTCGGGCGGAGCCGAAGTTGATATACCCTTGCAGAATACTCTGTAAATTATATTCTCCAAAATTATTCATATGATGCATTCTTAATACTCATAAAAAATCCCAACTTTCTAACTTTAAAAACACCAAAGTTATGGCATTTCCAATAGTTCAGTTATATGGCAGCTATAGGATATAGTCGGCCGATCCTTATGAAGATTGGTAGGTCGGATTGATTGGCCAAAAATAAAACCCATAGAAAATCCCAACTTCCTAACCTTACAAACACCAAAGTTATGGCATTTCCGATCGTTCAGTTATATGGCAGCTATAGGATATAGTCGGCCGATCCCGGCCGTTCCGACTTATATACTGCGTGCAAAGGAAAGAAGGGTGTGTGCAAAGTTTCAATTCGATAGCTTTAAAACTGAGAGACTAGTTTGCGTAGAAACAGACAGACGGACAGACGGACAGACAGACGGACAGACGGACAGACGGACATGGCTATATCAACTCAGGAGGTGATCCTGATCAAGAATATATATACTTTATAGGGTCGGAGATGTCTCCTTCACTGCGTTGCACACTTTTGACCAAAATTATAATACCCTCTGCAAGGGTATAAAAAGTGTATTTATCTATTTATTTACCCTTATAGTAGTAAAAGTTATAAACTAAAATACAGTTAGCAGCCAAGGATACTTTTGCTTTTGGCCAAACATTTTTTTAAATATGATCTGTTGTTAATTAGTAATAAGTAATTTGGATATTGTTTTTCAAAATAAACCTAAAATTAAATTTTTCTCTGTGCAGTCAGTGGCCAAAGCGGAAAAGTGGAATGGAAAGGCTGCTTTCGGAGTCTGGTTCTCGAATTCTGGCCAAGCTGGAGATCTTTGAAGTTGGCCAAATGTTCTTCTGCTCTCGAGCCGACAGGTTCTGCTTTTTTTCGGTCCGGCGCGAAGTTTTCTCGTCTTGCGGATCGGATGCGCCACCCATCCCAAAGTGTGTGATTATTATTTTCATGTTGAGTGCCTCCAAGTGGTTGTGTTTCTGCTCCTGATTATCGCCCATAAATAAAACCGATTGTCATTTCCAGAAGGGTAAGTGTGGGCCACATTTGCTACTACTATTTCAAATGTCTGGACAACCAGACATTTGCATCCAGATCCAGCAGATCCAGTTTGCTGGCTGCTCTTGGACTTGGCCTTCGCCTATTTTCACTTAGTGGGCCAACAGGTTTTCCTTTTGGCATGTGCCACATTCGCTGAAAGTAAACCACAAAAAATAATGGGAACGCAAAGGAAAACACTCGTACACTCCTACGAAAATTAGAACACATTTCATTTTTAACTTAATAAGTGTGCAATTTTGGACTGTTTACCAGGACAAAGCAGGATGTTGGGATGTTCTTATAATAAGAAATAATGTATATTATGTTGAAGTTACTATAGGATTTATAAGTACAACGGTACAACAAATGGTATGTTAATCATTCAAATTTATTACATTAAACTATTAAGGGGTAAGGAAAAATAATAACATTTAAATTATATTAGTAAGATAGGATATAAAATAAGATTATAAGAAGTAAGGGCACATTTATTATCTACATATTGAAGAAATAATAACAATTTCTAGCCAGCCATAAATATTTGGAAAACTAGGATATTTGTAAAAGCAATTACATATCTAATTAAAAGACGGAAAATTTGAATCTTTAGTTCTTCTATAATTGGGATAAAATTAAAAAGACCTAAATGGAAAGTTTAAATAAACAGAGTGACTGGGTTATAAGAAACAGAGTGATATCCATGTGCCATTAAAGGCCAAAGACTAACAAGGTTTTTTAGGATAAGCAGGCCAATCTCAGTATGTGTGCACATCAGAAAATCGGGCTACAGATGAGTTGTTCCTCACCTGACAAAATCCAAGTCGCTACCTTCAGGCACTTGAACAAAATTAAACGAACTCCGCTCGGAGATCCCTGGTGGTGGTCACCATGCATCGGCGGATCCGCTCGAGCGCCCAGTCGCCGCTGGCCAATCGGCGTCGCCGTTTGAGGAGCGGAGTGGACCCGGAGGATGAGCGGATGTGCTGGATCTGTCTCACGGGCGACGAGGAACAGCCGGCTCGCCGGGATTGGGTGCACCCCTGCCGCTGCCGTGGCACAAACAAGTGGGTGCACGAGGCCTGCCTCAGTCGCTGGGTGGACGAGAAGCAGATCCTGGCGCCAGATGTCCCGGTGACGTGCACCCAGTGCCGCACGGAGTACATCATCGTGATGCCGTCCCTCTGGCGCTTCGACGCCCTCCTGGAGCGACTGGACAAGAGCTACGGGCGACTGTGTCCCAGCGTCCTCATGGGCATCCTGGCGGCCACCGTCTACTTCTCGGCGGTGACCTACGGAGCACTGACTCTGCTCGAGCTGGCGGGCTACGAGACGGGCATGCGGCTCCTCCAAGAGGATCCCACGCTGCTGATGATCCTGCTGCCCTCGGTGCCCACTGCCCTGCTCCTGGGCCGCATGGTCCGCTGGGATGACACCCTGATCCGCTGGCTGCGTCGCCACAATCGCCTGGGTGTGCCCGCGGATCAGCTGGATGCGGCGGGCGAACCGCTGCCCGGTGCTCCCCTGGACGATGAGTACTTCGATGAGGTGGAGCACGACCTGCCGGGCTCGGATGTCCAGTTGGCCGGCGGCACCCTTGCCTCCGAGCACCTGGGACGCGCCTCCAGCAGCTTCTGCATCGCCCTCAGTCTGCCCACCCTCGCCGTGATCCTGGGCCAGTCCCTGTTCGGCGGCGTCTACGAGGAGAGCAAGCTGCTGGGCATCCTCCTGGGCGGAGTGACCTTCGCGGCCGCCAAGGGATTGGCCAGTGTCTACTTGAGGCAGGCGCAGTACCAGCGCAAGCGGCAGAGATTCGTGGTGAACTACACGCCGGAGAACATAAGCCGGTTTACCAGGCACACAAATCGTGGCCCTAATCCCGTCCAGAGGCAATAGGGCCATCTGGAATCCACCTCGCTCCTCAGACTCCCTGTTGATTATTTATTTCTTATGATGGCAACAAATCCCATAATAAAATCACTACGCGCTACAACCAGAAAACGCACAACATTACTTTTTGAACACATTTATCTTTATATTTATCCGTTGTTAATTCAAATTATTTTTTTGTTTTTATTGTGAAAGTATTAATAATACAGAAATTTCCGTAATAAGGTTTTCGGATATGCATATGTAAACATTATAACATTATATTTATTCCATTAGTCCGAGTTTTTATGATCCCTAGATATCTGATTGTAGGCCACCATAACCGAATATGAACATTCAAATCCAAGATTCGGATATAAATCTATTCAGAAAAATCAAAATTAATTTATGTTCTTATGAAAAATATTTGTGTAATTAAAGTTTGCTTGGAATCAATGGTTTAGAATCTGGTCTTGCATTATGGTTTGTCTATTAAACTATTATTCTATTATCTAATTTAAGTGAGTTGTTAAATTTAAACAGATATAAATATAATACTGCTGATCAATAACATAATTCTACATCAAAAGTTAAGGCATTATTGAAGAGGATTTCCCTAATATAATAATAAATTCAAGTTGCGTTCCCTTTTTTTAATATTTCAAAGCAAACTGAGTTCCACCAAATATGTATTTATTTAAAATTGTTAAAGTAAAATCAAAACATTTTCAAGCTCCATGGGGCTTTGAACGAAGGACTTGACCCAGCCAAGATCAAGGACACGGCCAGGATCCTAAAGACATAGCTATGTATATACCGTGTATAGGGAGGCCACAGTCCGCTTGAAGGCTCCCAGTCGGTTGCCCAGAAATCTCGTCCATCCCAAGATCCTGCCCCGCGATCTCTGCGCCAGCGAAGGACCATTGTTCTCCACCTCGATGCGTCTGCCTGGCCAGGCCATCATTAGTTTGGCGGCCACCGGCTCGTCGAAGAGGAGCAGATAGCAGGGTCTTAGGCCCACCGATTCCTGGACAAAATACTCCAGGAAGTGTTTCTCCGGCGATTGGGCAATGGATTCGTCCAACTCGGTGGGCAGTTGGCAAATCACCAGAGCCCTTTGCGGTCGGGTCAGCATGGAGTTCTCCCAGCACAGCGGGTTCCTCAAATTGCCCATTTCTGGCGGGGACTTCTCCTCCGTCTGAACCTCCTGCTCCTCCTGCTGCTGCTGCGGTTCCTGCAGCGCAGCTAGCTCCTCGCAGCGAACCAAGGCCGTTTCCGGCTGGGCATACAAACGGATGGGTTCACCCGGAGGATGCTCCAGGCTGCCAGTGGCCAGGAAGCGATACAAATGGTTGAATGGCAGGCCCAGGAAGGCATAGCTGGGCTGGTGCCCCCGTGGCTTTGGATACTCCATCAGCTGCTCCCTGCTCTGATGGTCATGGCTTTCGTAGCTGATGCTCAGGAGATGACCGGGCTCCAAGGTGGGACGTGCCAGACCCAAGACCATGCAGAGCCGTCGCAAATGCAGTCCCGACATGCGGCGCAACGTGGGCGATGAGGGGCTGGCCACCAGGAGCCAGTGGAGCAAGCGAATGGCTTCCCTATCGTCTGGCGTCAGGTCGGCGTAATGCTCCTCTCCGCCCAGGATGTCCAACATGAGGCGGCAGGATGGCCAATTGTCGGACACGGAACGACGCAGTCGATCCACTTGGCAGCCGGATCCGGGACTCGCCTGGAACTGCGGTGGCACTGGGATGAGGGTCTTCTGGTGCTCCTGGCCGCTGGCCGCCGCCGCAAAGATCAGCAGACGGACGTCACTGGCATGTGGTTGTGCCCTCAGAGAGTCCCGAATCTCAGCCATTTCTTTTTGGAGTGGGATCACCCACGAGGATGCAGCCGCAGGAGGCGGCGGCACCTTATCCTTCCTTTTTTTTTTTTATTGGAAGGAAGAAGTTCAAAAGGGTTATCGAAAGTCTGGTCAAGAAACCAATGCGCTTACTTGGAGCCCAAAACGGCATCCATCGACTCATTCTCCGGCGATTTGGTCCTGGCTGGACTGGAAATGGGTCGGGGGAGGAGGATCGTGTTGAGACTGGTGGGCACCATCGACACCGGCACTGGGGTGTCCATCTTCGAGACTGCGATTTTCACCTGCACCACAATGCCACAACGAATCCGAAAGCTCGCTTCAACTCTTCACAATTTTGACAAAGCGATTGTAGTTTCGAAAATAAAAAAGCAACTGGGAGCTACTTTAATAAAATGTTGAGTGATCGAGATCTGAATTCGAACTGGAAAAACCAGGAGTAAACAATTCATTCGAACGAGTGTTATATTTGAACTTAAAACTTAAATGAAAACTGAAGCGGTATTTTTTGAGTGATTTAATTCCTAGTGACATCATCAAAATGAAAAAAAGGTACCAACTATTTGAAATTAAAATTAAGATTAGAGTTAATTAGAGTTAATTGAATGTTTGTATTAATCAAACGATTTTTTTCTCCAACTGCATTTTTATACCCATTTCAAAAATTAATTGACATTTCGAAACATGTTTTTCGAGACAAAAATAACTAAACTTGTCGGATTACAAGTCACTTTAATTATTATTCTTGGAAACTTATTTTTTTTAATGTTCTTAGGTTGTTATGAATTATATTTAGTTTTATTTTGAAATTGAAAAATATTGGCATTCAAATAATATATCCCAAATCCCAAATAATACCCCGTTTTTTTTTGTAAGATCATCTTTTCAATAAGCCCAGATTTTATATGTTGAATAATATTACTTTCTATTCGCAAATAAGCAACTATTTTGTGACGTGATCATTGGCGAAATCAACAAAACAAAATGCTTACGCAGAAAAATAGGCATGCAATCAGTGCGTATAAACGAAGTATTCAGATTACAATTCCAACCTGTTGAAATCAGAGTCACCGAGCAAAATCGAAAAAGGCGATTACAAAATGATGGCATTGAAGCCATCTGACAGGAAGTATTTACGAGCACCTTACAAACCACAAAACCGACGGGCCCCTCTGTTGTAAAATGCAAAACAATCAATAGTAAATAATAACAATAAAAATATATATTTATTATTTATTATTTAACTGCGTCAGACTCGGATTCTGATTGTGACTCTGGATTCTTTTTGAACTAGACCTCCCAGTGCGTTGTATTTGCCTAGTGATGAGAACTACTACATGCTAAGCTACACAAAAAGAAAAGGGAATATGAAACAATGATCAATTTAAAACTTTGAAACACTCCTAATAAGGTCATGTTAATTACAATTTACAATATAGGCGATGAGTTTTATCTACAAAATATCAGATCATCATATTAGTACTCTCCTCTATTGAAAGCTCGAAGTGTCCAAAAAATCGTTCAGTCACCAATGTTGAAATAAAACATATCGGTTTCTAAATATATTTACTCTGTGAATTTTGGACTTTGACTAGACTATGGATCCTTCGTGATCCAGACCTTGGAGTTTCTTAAATTTAAGCCCCATCCAGACGCAACCATGACGCATCTGACCCAGAACGCCAAGTGGTAGCCAATTAAGAGGCGGGCAAGCGAATCAGGGGTCGCCTGGTCACCGGCGGGGCAACAGCTACGTCAATGCGACGATCACAGTCCAGACACACATGTGTACTAGGCGGATGGATGCTGATACCGAGAGCCCGGTGCAAAGTACGACATTCCACGGCGGATTGCCGGATTATGGGTTTCGAATTTGAAAATAATAAACACATATGATGGGAATTTTATTCTTTGGAAATTCCTTTTATTAACTTACTACGTCTACAACTAATTACGTACAGTGATTATGGAGTATTTACGGGGTCTACAGCTAGTTAAAAACTTTGTTTTCTGGCAGCCTACATTTGATCCGTCGGCCTAAACTAGATTGATTGACTACAACTAGGTGTATTTCGTACCGATGACTACGCTATATTAGCACTTGAAAGTCCTATACACATGTGGGTATATGGCTTAATACATAGACCGGTGTCTCTGGCTATCTCTCCTCCTCTAAGTACGGATGATGATGGTGTTTCGCCATGCCTTCCCATTAAGTTTCAAACTTAATTGCGGCACTCTGGCGCGGTTTGTTCGCTTCATATACGGGCAGGCGACTTTGGGATACTCCAATTCCTGCCGTTGAATGTGTGCTAACTGGAAATATGGCACAGAAAAACATGTTATATTTGGAGTCTTGACTTTTTCGTCTTAAATTTAAGTTGGTCCCAAGTAATTAGACTATCTTAATTTGACAGTTTGTGGTTTTCTATGTCGGGTTCGTACTTTTTGAATGTTTCTTTATACTTCCTTTGACTGTCATCTTTTGAGAATTCTAGATTGAAATTCAAAACTGTATTGGATTTTTTCTACATTAAAATTCAAAACTACATTTTTTTTGTGATGTTATAAATAGTTCAATATATGTATGTCTCAAAAGATATTATTCGGAATTTGTAAAAATATTAACGCCAGTTATTTAAAATACTTTTAAAAACATGTTTAGGGAAAATGATAAATGTATGTAATTAGTAATTTAAATACTCATAAATATATCGCCAAAGCTTCCAGAATTTACTGGACTTATATAATTTCTGAGTAAGATATTTTACTAACTATAATTATGAGTAATTAACGTTCCCATTATATTTTGTATATTATTTAAAATTGAATAACTAGTACATGTTTGGGCTCTATAATTTCAAGGCTAAGTCTCTGTAAAGGGATTCTGTCCGATATTTACCTACCTAGAACTCCTAGAACCGCTTGTTGTAGCGCAGGAAGGCCTTGTGACGCACCTCCTCCTTCAGACAAGGATCGGATTCCCTGCCAGAGCCGCCACGCTGGACGCACACTGTCTCCACCTTCAGACCGAAGCACTGCGTCTGGACGACGTTGAAGAACAGCTTGCCAATGGCGTTGGCGTCCTCGTCGCCGGCCATCTTCAGGCAGGTGCGGAACCTTAGGTCGCAATTGCAGTGCGACAGGGTGTACGGCCGGTAGTTGAAGAGATCGTAGCGATTGGACATCCCGTCGATGTACATCTTGCAGTGGTCGTGCTTTCGGCAGCACTTGTCCGCCTTGGAGGCGCCGCCCAGGTCGTTGTAGGTTCCATTGGCCAGGTTGCCGCGTCCGCACCACCGCGTGTTGGGCGCAATCAGCCAATCGGAGAGCTGTCGCTTCCGACGCACTGCAGCAGCGACGACGCCACTACTATGGGATTCCGTTTCGGGGTCGTGCGATCTGGCGGCCAAGTGCTTGGCATCCGTCCCGGGAAGAACGCACAGCTGCCAGGTTGCCAAAGCCAGCAGAGGCATCAGAACGTAGATAGAGATAGTGCTTTGGTTCGGGATCCACATCGTGTCTGCTTTTAATTTAACTTCAGCGCCCGGTTTCCGTAACTGATTGCTCGCCAATCTGAAAACACTGCCTTTTTATATGCTCGCCCACCGCCGCCAAATCGGAACTGACGCGTTCCCACTGGCATGCATTTGGCGGTGGGATGCAAAATGACGATAGGTCATGGTTTTTAAAACAAAAATATTTCACAATATTTTCGGTTTCTTGCTGCCTTCCATAATATCACCAAAACCAATGAACAAAAAGAATATTTTTAAGATTCACCAAAATATATTTGTTTAACACAACTCTATATTAAACAATTGTGATTTTTTGCCAAACCCTTAATTTTTGAGATAAGCTATTACTGTGCTTTATTATCAAAAGTAAAGTTTATGGAAGTAAGTTTAATAAGTTTATATTTAGATTTTCAAAGTCAAAATATCAATTTCTTTGACCCAATTCATTACACCATACGATTCACAAAAGAAATAAACTTTAAGTGGTTTCTTCAAAATTGACTTTGGTAGCTTCCTACTTATCGAAAGTGACGCCCGCGCAGTGTGAGCATGTGTGTTGTCACGCCCAGCCAGTGTTGCACAACTGCTGACGGTACACAGCTGTTCTGAGAAGACAAGTCATGAGCAAAAATTACTATTTAAAATTGAATTAGTTGTTTAAAATCGATAGCTAGTCCGTGGCCAGAGGAGCAGCGAGAATGCAGCGAGGCCAGGCGGAAAGGAAGTCAGCCAGGATGCATAGTTTGCCGCACTCGGAGGAGAAAGAGCACAACAGCAATGAGACTACGACCACATCGAATGCTCGAGTAGCAGCCAGCAGCAGTGCCACGCCCACCGGGGCAGCGGGCGGAGGAACCAGTGGAGCACCCACGCCGCCCAAGAGTCTGGCCCTCAACCAGAACCACCACTACGCCCCCGGTTCGGACACTTCTGGGGAGCAGGAGGAGGAGCTGCTGGACTCTCGCTACGAATGCGCCATCTGCATCGACTGGCTGAACGAACCGGTGCTGACCTCCTGCGGACATCGCTTCTGCCGCAGCTGCTTGTCCGCCTGGATGCAGAAGAACAACCAGTGCTGCCCGATGGACAACAAGCGCCTGTCCGTCGAACACGACATCTTTCCGGACAACTACACACGCCGCGAGATCGAACAACTGAAGCGGGACTGCCCCAACTCCTCGCTGGGCTGCTCGGTGGTGGCCTCACCCATCGAACTTCACCGCCACCTGCCCAGCTGCCCCTACAGGCGGCAGCAGGAGCCGCAGGAGGAGAAGTGCCCGTTCGCCAAGATCAAGTGCGATTTTGTGGGCCGGCCGGAGACGAATCAGTTGGAGGAGCACCTCAAGGCGGACATGCCGCATCACATGCAGCTCATGCTGCAGGCCTTCCAGCAAACGGCTATCGCCACCTGGCAGCCGCATAAGCCCAGCACAAGTGGCACCGCCATGGAGAATGGACATGGACAGCAGCTGCCGCCACCGCCGCAATATGCCAATGGTGTGGATGAGCAGATTGTGCAGACAATGTACCAGAGGATTGTGGTTCTAGAGCAGCGGACCCGCGAGCAGGAAACCCGACTAGAGAACCTACAGAAGCAGCTGCGAATCGCGCGCCAACAGGCGCCCGTGGATCCGCGCTACAGCAACGGCACGATTGTGTGGCGCATTGAGCATCTGGGTGCCTTGGTGGCCCGCCTGAGGGCGAATGCCAACAACCTTGAGTACTCGCACGAGTGCTACACCTCGCCGCATGGCTACAAGTTCTGTGCCCGGCTTAACATTCAGCCCCGGAAGCCACATGTGCTCAGCTTGCATGTGCATCTGATGCAGTCGGAGAACGACTACCATTTGGAATGGCCCTTCAAGGGACGCATAAAGTTGTGCATGGTCCATCCCGCGGATGCGGCGCTGTCGCAGCACGACACCATCATGACCAAGCCTGAGATACTGGCCTTCCATCAGCCACGCGAGGCGATCAGCACGCGGGGATTCGGCTTCCTGGAGTACGCCAACATATCGAACATCATACAACTCGGATTCTGCGCCGACGACCGGCTGCTCATCAAGATCGAGATAAATATTGTCTGAGATGGAACGAGGAAACCGGAAACTGGGTGGCAGTGAAGTCTTCCGATTACGTTAGGTTAACAAGATGGTGGATCAAATCGTAGGGCCTCAAGTAATCTGTGCAAGTAGGGATGAAGTCCAGGAGTTAGGTACAAACAGCCAACAAAACATTTCATATTAAGCCATTCCCAGCATTCTTTTCATTTATTGAATACTGAAAGTTCGCTAAAATTATGTGGATTCCTTATTTTAGGAAAAGGAAAGTGGTAAATAGCGAAGATAATCCCAGATGTATAAATAACTAATTAATAGTTGACCTATTATTGCCAAGGCAAAATTAATCAGAACTACAGATAACAATGCGACCCTGCGATTTGCGTGGAAATAAGCGATCCACTTTAGTGAACACGTACGCCAACGTAAAATATGCAATAACCAATAGCTGACTCGTATATATTTTATATAGACTTATATATAGTATACAAGCGACCGCTAATAGTCAACGTCTAGGAGGCATCAGAACGAGCAGTTTGGATGACATTCCAATACTAACCGATATTATCTATCCAAGAACTATTTCCTATTCTCAACTATAGTACTAGTTTTCTATTATTCTGTGTTAGTATTCAAATGTCATTATACATCACGTAAAAGGTCCGGGAAAATTAGGCCAATCACTAGAGATTGTAATCGTACTTAGATTTTCCCGTGATTCCTTATCAAAGCATTTAGACTTTAAATGAATCTTTAGTTTTCAAAACACTCCCCGTCAATTTGATTGATTTTAGCTATTCATAACTGAAAACGTCCATTTAGCAAAAATTACACCTTTTTTTTTGCCTAGTTTAATAAAAAATGCAATTTATGTTTATGGTAGGCTTAAATTCTTCAGTGTGTTGTTTCGAAACACTAATAGGCGTTTAGAATTTAAAATGTGTACCTTTTTCAAACAGCGAAGCCAGAAAATATATTTTAACTTTAAACTTAATGCCTCTGTTTATAAACTCCAAATTAGTTTGGAGTAAGAAAAAGGCTGTATGTATTATTCGAACCCCAATATTTAAAAGTAGACCATAACGAAACGAGCTATGCTAAGAGCTAGGAATCTCGGGTAGAATGCAAAGGCTGGCGCAGATCAATGCCCAGATTTATGTGGATCAGATGGACCCTTTTCCGCTTAGGGAACCCCAATAAAGGACACTTTTGTACTGCCAATCTAGGAATTGTTTTATATATTTTAGGCCAGAGGACGGCCGTAAGGCGACCATGGATTAGTTTCAAATGTGAAGATTCCCTTCACCTGGCTCACCTCCAGCGGATCGCCCAGTTGCACCAGATCGCCAGTGAGTTCCTGGCATCGACCCAAGCTAACCAAAAGATCGGCGTATCTGGGGCAGTGTCCAAATGGAGCAAAGCTGGTTCGCTGCTGCACTGCCTCCGCGTAAAGGTAAACGACCCTGGCATGGGCACAATGGCCAGACAAATCCACTCCACACCCTGGCTGCTTCTGACCGCCATTCGCATAGAAATCCGCGTGGCCCAGGGGAGCAAGAAACCCCTTACGCAAACCATTCGAGTGGATGGCCATCACGTAATCCGCATCAGTGTTGGACAGTCGAGCGTGGGGATTCGCATAGCGATACAAGGGAAGGGCGGCCTCCAAGGCCACAATGTTGCCCAGTCGCATCTCGCCACGGCTAATCTTCTGCAGCTCCTTGCCGCAAAAACCGGCCACATGGGCGCCCATGCTGTGACCCACGAGCACCAGATCCGCCAAATCCAGGCCAAACTCCCTGGCCAGAAAGCGGACGAATCGAGCACACTGGATGCCCACCAACGGAACCAATGGCTTCGTGTCCACGTAGTTCAGAGCGGCCACCTCGGACCAGTCCATTGAGATTATATTGTAGGCCCCTCGTGCCTGGTAAGCTGTCCTTATCTCCTTGTTGGGTATCTCCAAATAGGACTTCGAAAAGCCGTGGATGATGATTCTGTGGGGGAATGAAAGGAAAAGAAAAGGAACTCGGAAATTTGTCAGTTAGTTGTTCACATAAGATATACATCACAGAAATAGATAGATAGATAGATAGATAATTATTTGTATAGTATATGTAAATATTTTTAATCAAATACATACATAGGTACTATCAAATATATTTCATATCGCTCCCCCATAAGGAAACTAGCCCCATTCAAAATGTGTTTAGTGCTCCCAAATTTTGGTTTTCTGTTAAAGTATTTCTATTTTGTCAATTAAAAAACATTTTGCAAAATTCTCTAGGTCCGATAGTAATAAAGTGATTTAAATTATTTATATAATTAAGTTAAAATGAACTTAAAAAATGTTGAAAACAATCTTGAACTCATAGAGTTGGGCTTAAATCCTGCAAATTTGTGGTCTACATACTTGGTCGGCCGGCGGACATCAAAGTGGGATGCCTGGATGGCCTCCGTATCGTCCAATTGGATCTTCTGCGGCTGACTGGGATTGGCGGGCGTGTAGAGGTAGTAGCCGACCGGGGTGTCGTCCCCGTGAGGTACGGAGCAGCGCCAGGTGCTGCAGGCCAGCGCCAGCAGGGTGAGCCACATCATTGACTGGCGATCCCAGTTCGACTACATTTTGAATGCGTGTCGGAGCCGAACTGAGTGCATCGAATCGCCGGATACGAGATTTGGGTGCGGATTTGGGTTTACGACTGGTTTAGCCCCGACAAACGAAGGGGCACTATAAATGGAATATTGTAAACGATCTTAATGAATCTTGGTTTTTCCAAAGTATTGCTCAAGAGAGTTCCCTCAAATTCCAAAGTTCTAGTTTGATTCAGTTTATCGGAAATGCATCGAAAAATATTAAAAATTGTTTATATACAGTTGGTTCTTTTTATTTCTATGGATATATTCTAGGTAGTAGTTCGGTTAATTAATAACTATACCGATTTAACTTGAAAATTAAAACTTTTCTTATATTTGTTTTGGCGCATTTTGGTGCTTGCTGCTTAACTAAATCTGTTCTTAATACTAACTAACTAGCTACTCAGTTAGCCAGGCGCCAAGTAGCGGGTGCTGCTTCGGTTTGCGTGACCAGCTGCTCCTCCACATTGAGGTCGATGGCCATGGTGATGGTGGTGGTGGGCGGCGTCCTGCCCTCGATCACCTCGATGGTGACCGCCTGCGGGAGAGGCTTCACCGCTGCCTTAACCCTCGCCGGGTCGTGGCTGCGCATGTGGGCATTGAGGCCGCCGGATTGGGCGAAGGTCTTGCCGCACAGCTTGCAGGCATACTTGCGCTGCTCCGAGTGGAGCAGCTTGTGCACCCGCAGCGCCTTCTTCCTTTGGAACGTGGAACCGCAAACGTCGCAGACGAAGGGTCGCAAATTGGTGTGCGAAACGGCATGGACATTGAGGTCGTGGAAGCTATAGAAGGCCTTGCCGCAGACCTCGCATTTGGCAGGCCTTTCGCCCGTGTGGCGACGCATGTGGGCCGTGAGAACGCCCCGATCCCGGCAAGGTCGTCCGCACACCTCGCAAATGCAGGGCATGCGGCCCGTATGGCAGATACTGTGGGAGGACAGTTCCTTCTGCGTGTAGAAGGTGGCCTCGCATTCCGGACACTTGTGCGGCTTGATGCCACTGTGTCGCTGGCGATGGCGCATCATGTTGCCCGACTGGGTGAAGGGCTTGCCGCAGATATCGCAGAAAATGCCCGTGTGCTTCCAGCGATGGCCACGCAGATCGCGTTCCGTGCGAAACGTCTGGTTGCAGGCCTCCTCGTGGCATTTATACACCTTCGGAGGACCTTTCCGCTTCTTGCTCTTGCGCTCGCTGGTGGATTTATCCATGACTGCTCCGCCGGAGCCATCGTTGTGCTTCAAGCGGCGATGGCTCTGCAGGCTTCGCTTGGTGTTGTACGCCCGGTCGCACTGATCGCATTGGAAGAGCATGTCCTTGGTGTCGTTGCTTGGCTGCGTCGAGTCATCCTCGTCGGACTCCTCCTCGTCCTCGTGAGTCTCATCATTCTCCAGGTGCTCGCCGCCTGTCCAGTCGAGATCCATGTCCAGCAATTCCTCCTGGGTCTCCACCAGGGTGTTCTTCATGGCCGCGGCCCGCTGGTGTCGCTGGCGAGGAGCTTCCTCCTCTTCCGCCGTGTCCTCCACATGCGCGTTGACAAAGTCCTTCTTGCACTGCGCTTCGCTGGGTTCCTGGGCAATGGGATCGCTCTCCAGCTTGATGGTAGACTCTTGGGGACCACTCCCGGTGATGTGCTTCATCCGGAAGTGCTCCGGAAAGCTGTTCAGAGCCAAACGCTGTCCGCACAGCGAGCAGCAGACGTCGTAGGAGGCGGGTGCGCTGAAGAGGACCTCGCCGCACCGGAAATTGTGGAAGACACCGGTCACATCCGGCGGTGGCTGCAGCTTTATCATCGCGGTGTGGTCACTGGGCTGGCCTGACGGATGCGGATGCGGGTAACTGACTCCGGCGTAAAAGTGTTCCTGCCATCGGCGTCGCTTTTTTTTCAAATTTCGGAATATCAGCTGATGGGCCAGTGTTGGCTATCGAGAGGCTAAGTCAAACTTGCTTGCAAAGTTGCGCCAATTTCAAAATGGTATTTACACCGGCTAGTAATCTAAATTTTAAGTTTATTGAATATTTAGTTAATTATTGATCTAAAAAGATAGGTTCTGACTCGCAAATTAAAGTCAAATAGCTGAAATAGTTTAATATTTGCTAGAGGTTAGATTATAAAATTACAAGAAAAAAAAATTTTTTTAAGCTTAGTTTATTTCTAAATATTTAATAAATTAATACATAATAATATAGCAACCAAACTTAAAATTATTTTGCATTTGCTTGTTATTAACCAACAAAAGCTGTCGACAACGGCTCCTGTTCCCACTTCAATAATATTGACAAACACTTCTGTAATTTATCTTTAATACGGTTTTTAATAACAGAAGGTACCAGGTTTTATAGCCATTTTTCGATCCCAAAACTCGCAATCTTGAATTTTCACATTACTAAGTAAAAACATAAATATTTAGCAATTTAAGATAAATAACGGTACATTTGCTTATTTGATAACGGTAAGAGCTATCGATAACGTTAATCATTTACAAATTTCTGATTTTATAAGAAGTAAAAGGCTTAGCTTCGATTAAGCATTTCATAAATTATGATATTGTTTCTTTTTATAAAGCAATTTTTATTAAGCAATTTAACATAAATGTACATTTTGTATAAAAACAACGGTAAAAGCTATCGATAACCGACCGCCGTTGTGTATTCGGATTTTTGTATTCAAGTATACACTTTTTTCGCAATCCCATCCATTGATTTTTCGCTGTCCCATCCAATCGGGGAAGTAAGGACACGGAATCCCCAAAAGAGATAACCGGAGATCCCAGAGATCCTATAGAACAACCATGTCGGAGGCGGCGGTGCCAGCGAGCAACGCAAATGCGAACGCCAGCGAGAAAATGGCCAGTTTGGTGCGGGAGGCGGAGAACCTGAAGACCAAACTGGAGGAGGAGCGCCAGAAGCTGAACGATGTGAATCTGTCCAACATCGCGGAGCGGCTGGAGCAGATCGCCTACGTGAATATCAAGCCGCGCAAGGTGCTCAAGGGCCACCAGGCGAAGGTCCTGTGCACCGACTGGAGCCCCGACAAGCGTCACATCATCTCCTCCTCGCAAGACGGGCGGCTGATTATCTGGGATGCATTCACCACGAACAAGGAGCACGCCGTCACCATGCCCACCACCTGGATCATGGCCTGTGCGTATGCTCCGTCGGGCAATTTCGTGGCCTGCGGCGGGCTAGACAACAAGGTCACTGTGTATCCCATCACCTCCGATGAGGAGATGGCCGCCAAAAAGCGTACGGTGGGCACCCACACCAGCTACATGTCGTGCTGCATCTACCCGAACTCGGATCAGCAGATCCTCACGGGCAGCGGCGATTCCACATGTGCCCTGTGGGACGTGGAGTCCGGCCAGTTGCTGCAGAGCTTTCACGGTCATTCCGGCGATGTGATGGCCATCGATCTGGCCCCCAACGAAACGGGCAACACCTTCGTCTCGGGCAGCTGCGATCGCATGGCCTTCATCTGGGACATGCGCTCCGGACATGTGGTTCAGTCCTTCGAGGGTCACCAGTCGGATGTAAATAGCGTCAAGTTCCATCCTTGCGGGGATGCTATAGCCACTGGATCGGACGACAGCAGCTGCCGGCTATACGATATGCGAGCGGATCGCGAGGTGGCCGTCTTCGCCAAGGAGAGCATCATCTTTGGCGTGAACTCGGTGGACTTTTCGGTCAGTGGAAGGCTACTATTCGCTGGCTACAACGATTACACCGTCAACTTGTGGGACACCTTGAAGTCGGAGAGGGTCTGCCTGCTTTACGGTCACGAGAACAAGGTGTCCTGCGTCCAGGTCTCGCCCGATGGCACCGCTCTATCCACCGGCAGTTGGGACTACACCATCCGGGTGTGGGCCTAAGCCACGTAAAACCATATTGTTAGAGGGCCTCTGTCCAGGACAAATGCCTCCTCGCTTTGTTTTCCCCTTTGTTAAATCTAGTCTGTTTTTTTTGTGTGTGTGTCTAACTTACGGATTTGGTAATCCCTCAAATATGTACATATGTCTCATATCGGGATTTCAAAGTATGTCTTGGTTACCGCAGTGTTATGCTTATTACCAACTGCTGTACTATAATGAACCTAAAAAAATATATATACGTGTAACCATTATGCGACTAGTTTTAAGTTCCTGTTCGAAATAAATGTTGAGCGATATATAATCTTGTGTTTTTCGTACTCCATAAAAAGATTTGAATAACATGTCAGGATATTTATTGTACTTGATTTTTGTGCAAAATTGTTGGCTTTTGGTGCACAAAGAGCTTAATGCCACCCTGCGATATTATCGGAAGAATACTTAATCCTGAACAGATTTAACAGTATTTACAAATTGTTAGGTAGTAATACTTTAAGAATAGAAATGGATAGCTTTTTTCGATTAATTTAAAAATAAATTCATGTTTTCTGATCTGGTAAATCACCTTCATTTGGTTGATCATCCAAATTTTTAACTATTAATTAAGGAAAAGTGTCAAGGGGAACTAAACATATTCGAAAAAAATCATTTGCTTTGAGAACATATTTTCTTCAGCTGACATAATGGTCAAATTTATATATATATATTAATATAACAAGTTAATGTAATACTATTTTTTTTTAGAAATATTGGCTTGTTTAAAACTATGGCAGATATGTGAAAAACCTAAACTAAAAAAAGCTCTACCAACTTTTAAGACATCAAAGCTATTCAGACATTTGAACAATGGACGTAGATTTGTGATGCGACGTTGCTATTATGTGAAAATCATGTCTTTAGAATAACAGAAGCTCTCCTCAAACCGTGTAGTGGGTGCAAGCATAAAGACGCTCTCCACGATTCGGTCAGTAGTTGAAGAGCATCTAATTGGGTCCCGCCTCGACGCCATCCGTTGCATTGGCCGCCGCCTGGGGCTTGTGCGTCCGCATGTGAGCGGACAGGCCTGCTGCCTGGGCATAGGCATTGCCGCAGATCTTGCACTTGAACTTCTTGACGCCCAAATGGAGATGCTTGTGGTGGTACAGTGCCTTCGGGCGCGAGAAGGCCGAATCACATTTGTCGCACTTGTAGGGCTTTTCGGTGGAGTGCATCGCCTGGTGTTCGTTGAGCAGTGACTTGGATGCAAAGCAGCGGGCACAGGTCGGGCACTGGAAGGGTTTCTCACCCGTGTGGGTGCGCCGGTGGACGATCAATGCCTCCCGGTAGCGTGATCTGTAGCCGCACAGTTCGCACACGTAGTTCCGATCCTCGTTGTGGACACGCCGATGCGAAGTTAGGTTGTGCTGATTGACGAACGACTTGCCGCAGTTCTCGTGCTCGCACTTGTATGTCCGGGCGCCGGAGTGACCCTGCACGTGGCGGACCAGGGAGCGCGAGCTCTTAAACACCTTGTCGCACAGCTGGCAGGCGAACTCAGTGTGCTCCTTGCGGCGATGCTGGGCCAACGCCCGGTCCACGTCGAAGGTTGCCTCGCAGTCGTCGCACTTGAAGGCCTGCGGATGCGGGTGGCTCATCTTCAGGTGCGTGTTCAGGTATTTCTGGGTGGTGTACTTTCGATCACAGTGCGGACAGTTGTAGTCCTTCGGCTGGCGCTGCTTCTGCAAGGCAAAAAAAACAGATATTAGAGACTAGAACCAAACATTTAGGTATTAGAGGTAAAATGTAAATGTATCTGGTTAGCAAAGACCGATTTTGGTTGTGCAACCTATTATAATTTGTATAGGCTAGACATAAAGTCGAACTAAACTTAACTTATCAAATGATAAACCCTATCATTCAAACTCTGTATAAAATTGGTCTGCTTTTGCTATTATCAACGTACAAAGTAAAGGTCTTTTGTGGCTACCTTAAAAACAGACTGCTGGTCCTCGTCCTCATCTTGTTGGTTATCTTGTGCATTTTCCACGCCCATCAGCGCTTCTAGGTCGCAACCTCCGTCGTCGGAATCGGAGGAACTTTCAAGATCTGGCTGCCACATGGTATCGATGGTTTCCTCATCCTCGGACTGTTTATCCCCGAGGACCATGATGCGCAGAGGATTGCCCTCCTCCAGCTCCAGTTCCTGTTCGGCCTCTGCATCCATGGCATACTCTTCAACCACGAACTCCTCATTCAGGCTTTCCACCACCAAAGGCGATGCACTACCCTGATCCGCTGGCCCTCCCGTTCTCGATGCCGATGCCGATCCCGATCCGGTGACCATCTGAGTCAGGGGCCTGCCCTCCTTGTCGAAGTGGACGTTGCGGATGTGGCGGGCGAAGTCGTCGAATCCAAAGTGCTTCATCTCGCAGAGCAGGCAAACTAGTTGGAAGCTGTTCGCCTCCTGTTCGTAGAAGATCTCGCCGCATTTCGGACGCAACTGCTGCTGGGCGTGTAGGCGGACGTAGTCCACGTTGGCGAGGCAGTGTCTCAGCATTCTGCTACTGCTAATTTGCATCCAAACGTGCAATTTTGCATTGAACAAAATCAAAATAAAATTTGTAAACAAAATTTCGATGGTTTTAGTGATGAAATTCGATAGACAGCGCAGTCTCGAACCAGGCAGGAGAACTTCAATAGACAATTACCACTGCCTCAAACCACTGAGGAGATCTACCGGTTAACCGGTTCAACCGCTTAAAAATCAATTGAAAATTTGAATGGTCCAAGCAAAATAAACTAAAACGGTTAATTTTTCGAATTTAATAAAACGAGATGCACTTCCACCGCCGAAAGTCACTTCTGACCGTCAGCCGGGTCTTCAATGACCCGCGCATTCTTCAGATCCACCAAGCACTTGAGTTCCGTGGCCCGCTGATTCCTTTGCCGGTGCATCCGCTTGTGCTGGGCGTAGCCCGCCGCCTGGGCAAACGACTTGTCGCACTGCGAGCACTTGAACCGTTTCCCATCCTCGTGGAGCGGCCTATGGTGGTATAGGGCCCGGGAACTGGAGAAGCCCACATTGCAGTCGGCGCAGATGTGCCTCAGACGACGTTGCCCGGCGTCCAGGTGCCGCTCCAGATGGGTTTTCAGCTGGTAGCTGGCGGGGAAGCTCTGGTGGCAGGTGTTGCAGCTGAAGGGCTTCTCGCCGGTATGCCGCCGCCGATGGACCTGCAGATTCCAATGGATGCCCGTCCGATAGCCGCAAAACTCGCACATGAGTCGCTGACCCTCCGAACTTGGAGTTGGATGCTCCGACGACATGGTCGCGCCGCGTCTGGCGTGCCAAATCTAATCGGCGGCACTATTGTTAGACGCACTGATTTGCGCCACTTTACCACTTGGCATTTGGCCGCTTCATCAGTCGGCCGATTAATTGCTGTCAAAAGACCCAAATGGTTTGGCTAAATTTAAACGCGGCCCTAGCGGCCTCTTTTGTGAATCAGATTCTGTTATATTTATCATTACAAAAAGGTTAACCGCGGAAATCGCCCATCTCCGAGGGGATTTCCAATTCGAATATTTGCCGCATCCGCTGGCCGGGATTACGAGCCACCACAGGGATTCGTTCCTGTTTCCGTTTCACGGAGCTCCATCGAAATTGATTCGGTTGTTGGAAGCATTTCGGTAAATGTAGTATATCTTTAACAAAGTTTAGTTTACATTCGTGGCAAGTTGTATAAAACTCACTAGAATTAAAATAGCAAAAGGGTCGCAATCATAAAGTTTGACTTAATTTACTTAAAGATGTATCAATACCATCTAAATATTTACATTTTCGCCAACCATTTTTCTCTGTTACTGCAGTTAAACTTAAACAAAATAACGACTGTTGGATTATCCTACTCTATAGGAAGTATAAAAATTATTTACAGTGCGTGCCAAATAAATTCGATGGAAGTCCGTGAAATGAAGACCGAAAACACACCTTTGGTCCGTCCAAATCGGGATAATAAAAAACCATTAGTTATAGCTGTCTTCTATAGCCTATGCCTGAGTTCCTAAACTTAAACGTCGAAAATGGAAGATACAAAACACTTGTACAACTTAAACTATGTCCCCACGATCCCGATGATCCTACCCGTTGAGCTCGTCGTTCCGGTGCTTGCGCATATGTCCGGCGAGTCCGGCCGCCTGGGCATAGGCATTCCCGCACAGCTTGCACACGAACTGCTTGGTGTCCGCGTGCAGGAACTTGTGATGGTAGAGGCCCTTCTGCCGCGAAAAGGTGGCTCCGCAGACGCTGCACACGTGCGGTCGCTCCGTGGAATGCATGGCCATGTGCTCCCGCAGGCCGGAGTGGGAGGGGAATCGCTTGTGGCACACCTGACAGCCAAAGGGCCGCTCGCCCGTGTGACTCCGTATGTGGACGCGCAGCGTCTCCTTGTTCCGGCAGCTGTAGCCACAGCTCTCGCAGACGAAGTTCTTCTGCTCCGTGTGCACCTTGCCGTGGTTGCGCATGTGGCGCACGGTGAAGAAACGCTTGCCACAGCCGGGATGCGGGCAGGGCACGTTTCGTTCGCTGGTGTGCTTCAGCTGGTGGCGCTTCAGCTCTTGGCGGGTCTTGTACCGCCGGCCGCACACCACACAGGCCGCCCCGCCGTGCGCCTGCACCATGTGCTCGTCCAGCAGGCGAAGGCGCGGCAGCTGGGCCTCGCACTCCAGGCATGTGAAGGTGGCGGAGCCTCCCTCCTCGCCGTTGTCGTGATCCCGCTTTAAATGCTGCCTCAGGCTGTACTTCCCATGGTAGATCTTGCCGCAGTGCTCGCACTTGTGCTCCTGGGCGGACGACTTGGTAGCGGGCGCATCCTTGGGCGGCTCGTAGTCCGCATCCTCGCTGTCGGCCTCTGGGGGAAGCGGCTTCCTTGTGCTGACGCATTATGTGGCGTTCCAGGACCTTGCGACTCTGGTAGACCTTCGTGCAGTGCGGGCAGTGGTGAGGTGGCTTCAGACATTGCCTAGTTTCGATGTCCAGGTCTAGGTTGATGCCGCACTCCTCCTGCTCGGAGTCCTCCTCCTTGTAGTCCACCTTTAAGGCTCTGACTTGGCGCAGGGATTCGTGACTCGTTGCTGTGCCCGCCTGTGTGTTGTCCCACTTCATGATGGTCCTGCCGGGTCGCTCCTCCTCCTCCTCGTCCTGCTCCTCGAGGGCTCCCTGCTCGTCCTCGCTGTCCTCCTGGTCGCCGCCAATCTCGTACCAGGCGAACGGATTCACCTGCGCCACAATGGGCACCGGCGAGGCGTGCTCCCGCTCCTGCTTGAGGTCCGCGTCCGCCGCCTCTGTCTTGAGCAGCCCGTTCTCGAAGTGGACGTTCTGGACGTGCAGCAGGAAGTCCCCGAACACAAAGCTCTTCATCTCGCAGAACGCACAGTCGATGCGGAAGCTGTGCAGGCTCTGGAAGTAGATCTCGCCGCACTTGGCGTTCGCCATCCCGGCGTACGTGTCCGGTTTGAGCGACTTGAGCATGGTTGCGGCTCCCACCTGGCCGTTGCTCGCCAGGATTCGCGTCCTTTTTTCGAATATTTTCGTAAAAAAGCAACGCAAACTTTTAGTGTTGCTAGGCGTCAACAGCTGTTCTTATTGGAGGAACTGCGGTGTTGAATAGCGGGAAAACTAGCTAGTTTATTAAGCTTAAATTCGAGAATACCTTAATTGCAAATTGTTTGTTTAATAATTTAAATACAAATTTTTAGTTTAAAGACTGGACATCTTAGGTTGAGTTGTTAATTATTTTTTTCTAAATTGTTTTACAAAAAGCTATGTAGTAGATATTCGAAATCTGTTCTTATTGCAAGCGATGCAATTGTGCTAACTTAGATATATATAGTATTCTGTATTCGGCTTAGAGCAAATTTTTTATAGTGAAATTTAAATATTTGTTAGCTATGGAAGTTTTACTAAGATCTTTATTTGTTACAGATTATATGACACAATATCACGCTCCAATTAAAACAGTATACAGATCATAAGTAAAGATCTTGGTAAAACTAGAGAAAAATCTGTGCGCTAAAACTGAGTTATTTTCTTTCTAACATACAATTTTAGAATTTTATAGCAATAAACCGTATTTAATAATTATTATAATTCATTTGATTGTTCATCTTCTATTTTTACAACAGAATATTTTTTAAGAAACTTAATTCAGAAAAATTCTAGTTCGTTCTTTGTGTTTTTCTTAATAATATGTATATTGGAATGTATGCGTTTAATGGATTTATATTTTACACTGTGAAACAACCTTAGCTTTTCAAAGTAGTTTTGAAATGTCTGATTGGTTTATCCAGCTCAGTTTCTCCAATAGCCAACACTGGCCTTAGCGCGCTTTCCTGCACTGGGCAATCTTGCGGTGTGGCAAAACGCAACACGAGATTTCGATTTCGCATTCCGGCATTGAATTTATCACTGAAATAAGCACATTGAACCGCCAGCGATGCATCCCGATCTCACGGAGCGCATTCTCCAGCACCTGGAGACCGCCGACAAGGTGGACACCCTGGACCTGGCCGGCCTTTTCTCGGAGGATCACCAGAAAATAGTGGGTGCTCTGAAGAGCATCCAGGCGCATGGCGAACTGGTCACGGCGGAAACGGCCACCCACAAGAGTCTGGGCCTCACGGACGAAGGTCGCGCCGTCGTGGAGCACGGCAGTCATGAGGCCTTGGTCTACGCCGCAGTGCCTCCGGAGGGAATCGCCCAGGCAGCTCTGATGGCCGCCGGAGGACCGAATGCCAAAGTGGGTTTCAGCAAGGCCATGTCACACGGCTGGATTCTGGTGGACAAGAGCGTCAGTCCACCACTGGTGCGGCGCAAGGTGGACACCATTACGGATGCGGTGCGGGAGCAACTGCAGCAGGTGGCCAAGGGCAAAGGTGGCCAACTGCCAGCCAAGGAGGTGGCCGACTTCAAGAAACGCAAGCTCCTGCAGGAGACCACCACCAAGAGCTTTGTTCTGGCCCGTGGCCCGGAGTTTGCCACCACTCTCACCAAGCTAGAGACGGATCTCACCGTGGAAATGCTGGCCAGCGGCTTGTGGGATCAGCTTAAGTTCAAATCCTACAACTTTGATGCCTTGGGAGCGCCACCGACTCGTGGACATCTCCATCCTCTGCTCAAAGTGCGCACTGAGTTCCGGCAAATATTCCTCGAGATGGGCTTCTCTGAGATGCCCACCAACAACTATGTGGAGTCGTCTTTCTGGAACTTTGATGCGCTGTACCAGCCGCAACAGCATCCGGCTCGCGATGCCCACGACACCTTCTTTGTGAACAATCCGGCGAGGAGCCACAAGTTCCCGCAGGATTATCTGGAGCGCGTGAAGAAAGTGCACTCGCAGGGTGGCTATGGATCCAAGGGTTACGGCTACGACTGGAAGTTGGAGGAGGCGCAGAAGAATCTGCTGCGCACACACACCACGGCCGTGAGCGCCAGGATGCTGTACAAGTTGGCCAACCAGGAGGGCGGCTTCAAGCCGGCCAAGTACTTTAGCATCGACAAGGTGTTCCGCAACGAAACCCTGGACGCCACTCATCTGGCGGAGTTCCACCAAGTGGAGGGCGTGATCGCAGATGTTGGTTTAACGCTGGGCGATCTCATTGGCACGCTATACGAGTTCTTCAGGAAACTGGGCATCACGCAGCTGGAATTCAAGCCTGCGTACAATCCGTATACAGAGCCCAGCATGGAGATCTTCTGCTATCATCCCGGCCTGGGCAAGTGGATCGAGGTGGGCAACTCGGGCGTCTTCCGGCCGGAGATGCTGCTGCCCATGGGACTGCCAGAGAACGTGAACGTGATCGCCTGGGGCCTGTCGCTGGAGCGACCCACCATGATCAAGTACGGCATCAACAACATTCGGGACCTGGTCGGACCCAAGGTGGATCTGAAGATGGTGGAGGAGGGCCCCATCTGCCGGCTGGACCACGCTTAATGCCTTAAAAACCTTAAGACCTCCGATCAAATAGCATTTTTTCACATACGAATGTTCCAAAAATATTTATAAACAAATTTCCACCACAGCTTGTTGTTTTAATGATTTAATATATAAACTTAAAGCTTTACAACATTTTAAACAAAGATAAAGGAAAAATCTTACAACAATATATTTTGTTACTAATGATATTGTTTAATGATTAAATTATAGAAAACGTTTGTGAAAGAAATAACTCAAATGTTTGTATTTTTTAAAGACTTGGAAATTGCACTTTCTTTTAGCCATATTTAAACGGGTTGACGAAATGAAGGTGTTATTTATGTTTCTGATATTTGTATAAAAGATGCGAACAAAAAATGTGCATTATTAAAAACATTAAATTAGAATTTTGGCGGTCTCATTCGAATTCTTATGCGCTGTTCAGCACTGAACAAAGATCAGTTGCTAATAAGAGTTTTTGAGTGCATTTTAATTTCTGTAGCAAAATTGTTCATTTAGCTTTGACTAAAGCCAAGATATATCGATATTTTTAAAGGGCTTATGCACATAAACCAACCTAAGTAGTTTTAGAGATACTAACTTATCAAGGTAGAAAGATCTACGAACCATGTGACAACCCTGCCTCAAAGCAAACGTCACCCCCTCACACAAATATACAATCACACACACATCGACACGCCCGCGCGAAAACAATAACAAACAAGAAACCTAAACAAAAATCAAAAATTTGTCATCGTCCGCTGGAGTTTTGGCCTCGAAAATGACATCCAATCCGACGCATACTCTCCACCAGGCAATCCAGGCCAAGTTCGGCACCCAAAACGCCAGCGATACGTCCAAATTGAGCAGTACAAGTACCACGCCCCCACAAACGACGCCCAGATTCGTAATTCCGCAGCTAAAGATTCCGCAATTGCAACTGCAGGCGTCCACGGATGCGGCTGCCCAGCGGGAATCCCGGCAAGCGGCGGAAGCCCACAACCAGTTGCTGCTCAACGAGATCCAGTTGAGACGACGCCAGCGATCGGAGAGCGAAAACAAGGTTCCATCCGCGCAGTTTGTGATTCCCCCACTGGTGCCGACGCCTGCGGAGCCCCTGAATATACCCCTTCTATCCCGACTGGAGCGTGGTGTGGATCAGCTGCAGATCCGGGACGATGGAGGCGATAGAGCCCCCAATGGGAGCTCGCCGGCAGCACCCCTCATTGACCTCTCGTCCACGGTAATAGCCGGGATTAAGGATGCGCCGCCCAAGGAGTCGGCAAGCAAGGCGCGCCAGCTGACATCCCGGGAGAACTTTGACATACCTTTCATTGCCTGCGATCGGGGACAAAGGAGCACCCCCACTGGCGGTCTCCTCGCCAACCGGAGGTCCCTCCACGCGGAGGAGGACGAGCTGGCTGACCACACGCCTGCGGACACCGAGTTCCGGGAACAGCCAGGACCCATTGGTCAAATGCTGGATGCTGTGGTGGGCTATCCGGAGCCAAGGAAACCACGATTGGAGTACGCGGTCACCCAGTTGGAGCGGCAGCACCTAAGGTTGTGCCAGCGGGAGAGTTACGGCAGCCAGGTCAAGAGATTCCCCTTCGACACGCCCTCGCCGGATGAGCTCGTTAAGCAGGCGCTGCAGAAGTCCTGGCGCGCATCGCGCACTTGACTCTAGTCGCACCCTAAGTTGACAATTACCGAAAAGTAAAATGAAGATTTCGTTAAAAGCACTCATTTAAATACCCCTCAAAAATAGGCACACTGTGATGAAAATAAATAAATATCCCTCACAATGACAAAAATATTCATCCTCGTCGTCATCGTATCAAAAAGTATAACAAACAAGAAAGGAAAGCTAACTTCGGGCGGAGCCGAAGTTGATATACCCTTGCAGAATACTCTGTAAATTATATTCTCCAAAATTATTCATATGATGCATTCTTAATACTCATAAAAAATCCGAACTTCCTAACTTTAACAACAACAAAGTTATGGCATTTCCAATCGTTCAGTTAGATGGCAGCTATAGGATATAGTCGGCCGATCCTTATGAAATTTGATAGGTCGGATTGATTGGCCAAAAATAAAATCCATAGAAAATCCCAACTTCCTAACTTTACAAACACCAAAGTTATGGCATTTCCGATCAATCAGTTATATGGCAGCTATAGGATATAGTCGGCCGATCCTTATGAAATTTGGTGGGTCGGATTGATTGGCCAAATATAAAACCCATAGAAAATCCCAACTTTCTAACTTTACAAACACCAAAGTTATGGCATTTCCGATCAATCAGTTATATGGCAGCTATAGGATATAGTCGGCCGATCCTTATGAAATTTGGTAGGTCGGATTGATTGGCCAAATATAAAACCCATAGAAAATCCCAACTTTCTAACTTTACAAACACCAAAGTTATGGCATTTCCGATCAATCAGTTATATGGCAGCTATAGGATATAGTCGGCCGATCCTTATGAAATTTGGTAGGTCGGATTGACTGGCCAAATATAAAACCCATAGAAAATCCCAACTTCCTAACTTTACAAACACGAAAGTTATGGCATTTCCGATCAATCAGTTATATGGCAGCTATAGGATATAGTCGGCCGATCCCGGTCGTTCCGACTTATATACTGCGTGCAAAGGAAAGAAGGGTGTGTGCAAAGTTTCAATCCGATAGCTTTAAAACTGAGAGACTAGTTTGCGTAGAAACAGACAGACGGACAGACGGACAGACGGACAGACGGACATGGCTATATCAACTCAGGAGGTGATCCTGATCAAGAATATATATACTTTATAGGGTCGGAGATGTCTCCTTCACTGCGTTGCACACTTTTGACCAAAATTATAATACCCTCTGCAAGGGTATAAAAAAGGATGAAACTATGTCGATTTTTCGATACATGTTTCGATCGTTCCTATTGCGTAGAAACGAATAGACGGACGGACGGACGGACAAGGATATATCGACTCTCCTGGTGATGCTGATCAAGAATGTTGTCCTTTGAATGTTTTTCTAATATGCTTAAACACAATATTTTTAGAAAGAATGACTACTTTGCAGTTTTATAAAGGTGACTTCATTAATAATTCATAATTCATTATTTCATTAGATAGAATGACTAATGTACTGTTTAATAAAGGTGACTTCACTAGTAATTCATTATTTATTATTTATAAATAATTTATTAAAAATAAATAACAAAAAAACTAAACAAAATCATTGGCACACTTGGGATTTTATGAATAATTTTGTTAAAACTACCGATTTAGCCACTTTTTCTGCTTAATCCCATTTGCAACTATACTCTTAATTGTATATTGATAAGTGGTTTGACTTTACAAAGTAAAAGGGGCCTTTTTAAGGACCCTCTTCTCTGCAAAATGCAAGGTACACTGGGCGATCCATGTCTTTGAGTGTTCAGGAAATCGTAAGGATCGTATGAAAGGATAATGTCAGCCCCCAGATCTCCTCAACATAGATGCAAGTTAAGGATTTCCATACACTACATTCTCTATAGGGTCGGAGACGTTTCTTGCACTGCGTTGCAAAATGCCTTTTCAGTAAAATTATAATACAATCTGCAAGGGTATAATGGAAAATAATAAATTATAATTATAAATAAAAATTTAAATATAAATTTTATATTGCCTATTACATCTAGTGTCATAAATAAATATATAACGTGTTATCCACCAGTGATGCCAAGAAACAAAATATTTTAATTTAATCCGTTTTTCGGGCGGCTATTTTTGTTGTATTCTTTCGCAATGTTAAACTATTCTGTTCTTAAAATTTAAGATTTATGTGTTTAACGGAACTCCAGATATTAATGTACTAAATGAAAATCTAATTAGCTTGCAAATTGTATTAGTACACTATCAAAGTTCCGCACCATATTTAATCCATCTATTGTGTTTTTGGCGCTATTGTGGTTTTATGCGTTAGTGTTTTGATTAAAAGCTCGCAATTTAAACTTTGCTGTCGGTCACACTATTATTGGGCACCAAGTCTGGGCATACTGCATCATTGCTCGCAAAATCGCGAAACGCAAAAAATTAAATTAGCTTAATAAAACTGTGTCGGTGCAAAGGGAACTGAAAAAGTATATATAAATTTAAACCTGCAAAAGATCAGCCAAAGAAACAAACAACAAGGAAAGGCGTTATTATAAATATTCTCTGTTCTTGTTGTGCCTCTGTGTGTGTTTGTGTGATCTCGTGTCGGTGTGCGGTTACCGTTTATTAGTGTGCGTGTGCGTATAGCTGTCACTTTCTGGCGCGCACACAAGATATATACACACAGAACTTTGAAAAAGCAGTGGCCCCCAATCGCCCCACGCCCCCTTTCCAGACCACCGCCCCCGTCGTCGCCTTCTCGCCTGGATGTGTGCGCCCGGTTCCGGTGCCGTTTGGTTACCGTTCCCGTGCATCTGGATCTGGAAGCACTGTGCGTGCGAGTGAGAGGGCGCCATTTAGCAGCCAAAGGAGCAAGAGCAGGAGCAGCAGAGGAGCTCGAGTTGCCGGTACCGTTACAGGTAATATATTTATTTATTTATTTATATAATGCTAACCTATAGTTAAAACTAAATGCTAACATAAACGGTTGCAGCTACATATAGCTATTAGAGGCCTTCAGGGCAGGGAATATATACATACATTCATATGTATGGATACATGGATACATTCCAAAGCGGCTGTCCGTCTGTGTGTTTGTGTGTGCAATTTTCATGCACATTTTATTATTTATTTTTTAACCCCTCCTGCTTGCGACGCTCGTGGTTTTTGTTATTTTTGGTAATTTATTGCGCCTTCGATAAGATGGAAAATTTCAAACTGCCCACAGATTAGGCGTATATATAAATATTCTGGTTCTGTTTCTATGGCTGCTGTAACTCAGCACAAAAAAAGCGTCTGCAAACGCAGACATTTGACCTTGTTGGGGACAACAACAATACGAGCGACAATAGCAACCCACGCAGACGATTGCACTGGAAGATTGCGTCTGTGATTTGAGGTTCCAATTGTGGAAGTAGGAAACCAAATATTGGAAGAAATCTAAAAATTACACACACGCTCGGACAATTATCACAAACATCGTCATCAGGGTCGGGTTTTTATCAGATCCAGCCGCACACACACACACACATGCAAGCCAATTATCAGGTTTTAATTGCTAAAGCACGCACTACTAAACTTATTTCACTATTCCAGATCAAAAACGCACACGCGGAAAAAGGAGTAAAAGGAGCACAGTTCCAGTACTCAAGGCAGCCGATCAAATAGCACATACAAAAAACAAAAACGGGAAGCAGTGGAAGGAGAGCACCAGTACCATTCCACTATTCCACGGGAACGAGGAGTAAGTGGACGAGTGGAGGAAACCCCGAACCAGGAGAACTCCCCTTGAGACCCTGAGATGTTGCCATTCACCCCGCAGGTGGTCAAGCGTTTGTTAGCACTCAAAAAGGGCAACGAGGACAACAGCGTCGAGGGCAAGTGGTCGGAGAAGGCCGTCAAGAATCTGGTCAAGAAGATCAAGAAGAACTCGCAGTTGGAGGAGCTAGAGCGGGCGATCTCCACACAGAACTGCCAGACGCGGTGCGTGACGGTGCCGCGCAGCAAGCCAGCTCCCGCCGGCGAGCATCTGCGCAAGGGTCTGCCGCACGTCATCTACTGCCGCCTGTGGCGCTGGCCAGATCTCCAGTCACAGAATGAACTAAAGCCCCTCGACCATTGCGAATACGCCTTCCATCTGCGCAAGGAGGAGATCTGCATTAATCCGTACCACTACAAAAAGATCGAACTGTCCATCCTGGTGCCCAAATCGCTGCCCACACCGCCCGACTCCATTGTGGACTATCCGCTGGACAACCATACGCACCAGATACCCAACAACACCGACTACAATGCGGCGATAATCCGCAGCGCCTCGTTGAGTCCGCCGCAATACATGGAATTGGGCGGTGCCGGGCCCGTTTCCGTATCGTCCACCAGTTCGACGCCCGCCACTGCCGCTGGAGGCTGTGGTGCCTCCTCCTCCTCGTCGTCCTCGTCCGCCGCCTCCGCCTACCAACAGCAGCAGCAGCAGCTGTCCTTTGGCCAAAACATGGACTCGCAGTCGAGTGTGCTCAGCGTGGGCAGCAGCATTCCCAACACCGGCACCCCGCCGCCCGGCTATATGAGCGAGGATGGTGATCCCATCGATCCCAACGACAACATGAACATGTCGCGTCTAACGCCGCCCGCCGATGCAGCGCCGGTGATGTACCACGAGCCGGCCTTCTGGTGTTCCATCTCCTACTACGAGCTGAATACGCGCGTCGGCGAGACCTTCCACGCCTCGCAGCCCTCGATCACGGTCGACGGCTTCACCGATCCCTCCAATTCGGAGCGCTTCTGCCTCGGTCTGCTGTCCAATGTGAATCGCAACGAGGTCGTGGAGCAGACGCGTCGGCACATTGGCAAGGGAGTTCGGCTGTACTATATTGGCGGGGAGGTATTCGCTGAATGCCTCAGCGACTCGTCCATATTTGTACAGAGCCCGAATTGCAACCAGCGCTACGGTTGGCATCCGGCCACCGTCTGCAAGATCCCGCCCGGCTGCAATCTGAAGATCTTCAACAACCAGGAGTTTGCCGCCCTGCTGTCGCAGTCCGTGTCGCAGGGATTCGAGGCCGTTTACCAGTTGACACGCATGTGCACCATTCGCATGTCGTTCGTAAAGGGCTGGGGCGCCGAGTATCGCCGCCAGACGGTCACCTCGACGCCCTGCTGGATCGAACTGCATCTGAACGGGCCGCTCCAGTGGCTGGATCGCGTACTCACGCAGATGGGATCGCCGCGGCTGCCGTGCAGCTCCATGTCGTAAACGCAGCGGCCGGTTCCGGTTTTCAATTTTCCCCTCCCCAGTTGCCCGCATAGTAAGCGCCGGAGTTCAAGGCCCATTTAGAGCTGTCAAGAAACCCAGAAAGACCAGTACGGCGCTGACAAGTCACACTGAAGAACTGTAGAAGAAAGGATTTTATCCTTAAGAACTTTCGGCAACCAGTTAAATTTAATATAGTTTCTCAATGAGTATCGCAAGAAATTTGTAATTTAAAAATAACTTTTGTTCGATTTTGGAAAAATTAGCCGAGCAAATTGAATTACTCTCTGCAAGGGTATTCGACAAAAAAGTGTACAAATTTAAATCGAAGAAAAACTGGGCATGTGACAATTGAAATCTTGGTGAACTAATTTTTAACCCATGTGGTCCTACCAAGTATTTACTTGCAAAAACGAGAAATACTAAATACTTCTTTGTTAATGGTTATAAACTTCCACACTTCTTCAATGTTACTTGTCAGAACCTTAATGGGAAAGCAAAATGAGAATCGGAATTGGTTTCAAAGAGAAAACCAAGAAAAATTCTAAGAGCACATATGAAATAAGTTCAGGCAAATTATATATGAGTACATACTTCAGTAATTGAAAACAAGTGGTAGATGCAAACCAGATACAGATACAGATATATCTATATACAAAGAGCACACACTTACATGTGGGATATATATCTTTACAAGCATATATGAGAGAGAGCATGTATTTGGCGTTACAAGTTTAGGACTATATATTGTGTAGGTGGAAACGTGGAGAGTTACAGTTTTCGATAAGAAGCAACAATTTTTTTAAACATTTTACACACAAAAAAGAGAAAATAACCGAAATGGAACCGACCAGGAACACAAAAAACCAAAAGAAACCCAGAATCTGTGTGCGTAGAGTTGGCCAGCGCTAGAAGTGAGAGAGTCGAAATTCTTTGAGAAAGAAGCAAAACAATTATATCGGTGATGCGATACATAAGGAAGGAGATGAGTAAAACAGGAACTGGGATTTATCAAGCTTGAAGCTTACACACACAGACACACTCTACCATACATTGCAAATGTACATAAGACCAAAAAATGAAATTCACGCAGGACCTCCACTTGATCGAGTATGGGATTATAGATATATCCGTTTGATGATGGTTGTTAAACGTTTCGATTTTCGCTTAGTATGTGTGTGTTAAAAATTCGTCAACTCTCAAAATGCAGTCAAACAATTAAGCAGCTCTTAGTCGTAATATCCGTAAAATGCGATCATATGTATGTATATGTAAAGCACTTGCCGAACAAAATTTGAATGCCGCAAACCAAGTCAGACTTATCTAATGGTCCCATTTTGTTCAGAACTGCATTTATTGTGTACCAAATGAAATGTTCTTATTTCCTTCTTATCACCCTCGAAATCGAACCAATAGCTTAAGCATTTGTGTATGAACAAATATGCAATATGGTTTGCCGGTGCTGAGCGGATTTTGCTTGGCAAGTGCGCGTTTTTCTTGGGTCTAGATCTTAAGTCTATATATGTAACAAAATTCGCTAGCTTATCTTGACATTTAAAGAGCCCAAATCAGTTTAAGTTCGATTTCAAATTGTTTTTACTTCAATCTTAACTGATTATTTTAATTTTTGTTGTCCCTGGCTTCGCTGTTACAACCAAAAAACAACTGTACCGCCGCTCTTGCCATCTGGCTTCGGCGTACCTTTAATTTAAGTTTTGTCTATTGTTTTTCCCCCTTGTTGCTTTTAAGTTTCTCACGTAGTTTTGTGTGAAGACACTTAATCCTGATTGGCAATCAATCGAATAAACGACCGCGAACGAGATTTTGTTTTGTTAATTGGCTCTAATCACGGTTTTGAACCGCCCTCGGGTTTTTAATTGACTTATTGTTTTTGTATTTCCGGCTAAACCCGCTAATAATGTAATGTAATCTTTAAGTTATGCCTAACGAAACAAAGCAAAGAAGGCGTACGTACAGCAACAGTCGACAGTCCTCGGACCCGATCGGCAGGATCGTACGAGGACACAACCACAGAACAAGCAACCCCGTACCCGTAACTTTATAAAGTATAAATACAAATATATACATATATCTAATATGCAAGCATGCAGATAAAGACAAACAGAATTCGTATATATTAATAAACACTTATATTGAATGGAAGGCCCAGCCCAAGCTCACTTTCGAGGAGGTTTGGGTGGGGATTATCTCAGATTTGGTGGATTGGATTTGAGTAGGTAGGTGGAAGCCTTGCATTTCAATCTTAGATTTTAATTTATATACAATATAAATATAACACCAAGTACGATGGGAATTGTATTATTATTGTAATGCCTTAATATGTTTATATTTTTTAATGATGGAAAACATTATTTTATTTAAAATTGATGGAGGTATTATTTTATTTTTACGTAGGTCAACATGCAAGCCTTTACCCAGCTACAAGTATTTTAGAATTAGAGAAAACAATAGTTATAGTTAAAACTGGTAGTAAACAGTATATTAGACTTTTTCGTCAGCGTTCATGCACCTTGAGGTGCTGTTTGTGATTGGATTTGCGCAGGAATCGAGCTGGACAGAGTGGACAGGCGAAGGGACGCAGCTGGGAGTGGGAGATCTGGTGGTGCTTCAGCTCCGAGGCGCTATAGAATCTCTTTTCGCACTGCGGATGCGGACAGGCGAAGTCCCGCTGGTTGTAGTGTCTCTTCAGGTGGATGCTCAGGTAGCACTGATCCGTAAGCACCCGGCCGCAAACCGGGCAGGTGAAGCTGAGCACGGACGGCTCCCGCTGCTCCTCCTCCGCCAGCGGATGCTCGGGGTCCGGATCCGTTTGCGCCGAATGCCTTAGCTTTGTGTGGATGCGACGGGCGTGGATGGAGTGGAAGGAGAGATGACAGTCTGTGGCCAGACATGGATAGGGTTTCTCGCCAGTGTGGAGTCGCCGATGGACAGCCAAGTAGTTGGCGTACCGAAATCCCTTGTCGCAAATATCGCACTTGAATGGCCGCTCTGCCGTGTGGGTTACCGCATGGATGCGGAGCTTGTTCAGCTGCCGGAATCCCTTGCCGCAGTCCTCGCAAACATGCGGCTTCTCGTCCGTGTGGGTCATCTTGTGGATGCGCAGATTGTAGGCCTCCGAGAAGCGTCTGCCGCACACGTCGCAGGTGTGATCCTTTCCAGCTCCCTGACTTCGCCTAGTGGTCGGAGCCCGCTTTGGCTTACGGATATCAAGTGGTTGCTGTTCAGCGGTGTTCCGCTGCTGGAGAGCCTAAGCGGAGATACATTATTTATTATTATACTATGTTTCAGCAAAAAAAAATATATTTTACATTATAAAATTCATGTTCTATCTATTCATTTTTAAAATTAAAATGAAACTCAAACTATATTGTTTTCCAAATTTTAAAATTAAAATGAAACTCTAAATATATAGTTTTCCAAGCTTTAAATGAAGTATTTCTCAAGCTATTAAACTGATAAACCATCCCATATAATTATTAAATTATCCATTAGGATACTAAAGATGCTATGGGACTTACTCCATTCACTAGTTCCAAGAGATCACATTCCAAATCCATCTCCATGGGTCCCCTTTCTCCGGAAAGATCTTCCAGTTGGGCAAACAGTTGCAAGTCCTCGAGGCAAACGCCATAGTTACTCTGATCCTCCTCCGGAAAACTTGCCAGATCGGCGTCCGCAATGGAAATGAGATCTTTAGATCGCATGGTGACAATTGCAATTCGCTTCCGTCCGGATTGCTGCTGTTTCGCCAACTGCCGTCCAAGACTTCCGCCGGCACCGCACATAAAAAAAATAAAGCCAACGGAGTCCAAGTAAGCGTCGATAAGATTGCGCCGTGTTTAATTATGTAGTATATTATTACAGGCTGTAGTTGTTGGCCATGGGGAATCAAACAAAACAAGCGGGTGACGCTTGTATTTTATTTTATCGAAATGTTCAATAAATGTTGCCTATAAATGAATGATTAGCCCGGTCTGCACTTTAAACGCTGGCGGTGCGCACTTTGAGCCAATTGGGCGATCCCCCAACCGACCCCAACTACTCCTCATATGTATATAACCAAGTTTTCTACCGCTCAACTTTATCGGGTTGCCCTGATAAGACACTGTGCAACAGCCCTAATCGTTAGTTTTCCTATGGCAAAGTGGTAGCTATGGCAAAAAACTTGATTCAGCTCAGATTGGAGGTATCTCGAGAGATCATCCATCGCCACCCGTTTCCCACGGTTTCAAAGTTCGAAATGAAATGAAAAGCAAGTCAAACATTTCAGGTCGTCAATTTGGGGGTGTACAGTGTACATGGGTGGGGCTATGATACATATTTGGACGGGGTTGTCTAAGTCTTTAGGAAATAAAAATAATTTCATTGCATTATCGAAATTTGTAGGAAATCTTTAGGCTTCAATATGTAATTATTTGAAATATAATCAGGGAACTTTGTGATAATAACAGTCATCGGCAAGGTAGTCATAGTTTAGAGCGAGAGAAAAGTCGATATGGACGTAGTCATATCTTTTTTATAAGGGTAAATAAAATACTTCTTCAAAAATGGTTTTTCGAAATGAAACAATTTTGTTTGTTAGGGATAACTATTTTAAATTAATTTCTATAGAAATGTAGTTCAGTAGTTAAATTTAAAATAAAGAGATACGTGTTATATTTGAAACAATATGCAAATACCCATACAATGTTCTTAAAAGTGCTGCCCGAGCAGGGTCATTTACCCCACGTCTCTGGACTGATTCAATAGCAATGTCAAAGAGCAAGACTAGACACAATTATAATTTATCATGTTTGGATGGAATTGAACAATAATTGATTGGGATTTTTTGTGGATTTTTATATGCAGCTGAGACCCAGTGATAATCATAGCTAGACGGTAAACTTCTGGAGCAGGTGGCGCAACTCCTCGTTCTGGCGACGCAGGAAGACGACCTCCGCATCGTATTGTACGCGCATCTTGAGCACCTCCACATAGTGATTCAGGCCGTGCTCCAGTGTCTTCCATAGCTTGCACTTGGAGGCCGGAAAACATGCGGAGAACTGGCGCCAGAAATCCCGGATCTGTGCGTCCGTAATCTGAATGAGATTGACAGCATTGAGGATGCTGCCCGGTTCGTGTTCGTACATCTGTTTGTGCATCTTGGAGGTGAACAGATTCATGGCGTGCAGACACAGAGCTGGTTCCATGACCAGAAAGTGATTATGGCAACGCTTAGCCGCCTCCTCGCCCTTGGCTAGGAAGTCCTCGCCAGAGGTCCGATGCTCCTGTGTTTCCTGTTGATGCGCCGACTGGGTTTTCAACTTGCTGGGCTTCTGATCCTTCATAAAGACCTCGGCGCACTTCCGAGGACTCAATCCCTGCGGCTGGCAGTTGGGACAGTAGGTGTACGGCATAAACACCTTGGTCAGCTCCTTCACATCCCGCAAATGACGGATGCGAAGCGCAGCAAAGATGTTGTCGATGCGCACCAGGCACTTGTCCTCCTCGGAGTAAGGCTCCAGAATCTTTAGTAGTCGCTCCTCGATGAGGAAACCTCCACGATCGGAGAGCTTACGGATGAGGTTGCGCATCAGGCGGAGCGACTCTGGCGGCAGTTCCTTGATATCCGGCCGGTGCTTTATGGCCGACTTGGGCATCACCCGGTTCTTGGGAACCCGCCCAATCCGCATGTCGAACTTCTCCAGGATGTTATTCCGCTTCTTCTTGGCCTTGTTGATGTTCGGAATGGGTGGCACGGGACTGGACCACGGCATGGCCAGTTGCTGCTCGTGTATGATGCGATCGATGTGGTAAACCCGGTCCACCAAAAGGTTCAGCTCCCTGTAGTTGATCTCCCAAATGCGATCGAATTTCTCGCGGTTGTTTAGCCTCGCTTGATGGGCCTTCGACTCCATGTCGTTGATGTTGGCGTGCAGCTTGTAGATGTCCGAGGAGAGACGGGCTATGTTCCGCTTCCCGGTGAGATAGAGATTCTTCAGGCCGCGGCGGGTGCGTCCAATGGCCTCGTGCAGGCGGGCCACTCGTCGCTTCTGCTGGTTGTTAATGATCACGTTCTCCTCGTTGCGCTTCTGGAGTACCTGATAGTTGTAGTCCAGCTTCTCGGAGTTCATCAGCACATTGTCGCGCGTGCGTCGCAACTCCAGCTCCAGCCGTTCGCACTCCTTCTCCAGCCGAATACGGGTGCTCTTGGTCAGCTCCTCCTGCGACTCGTTGATCTGCTGCGTTTGACGGGCATAGAACTGCTCCCGCGTCCTCACCAAATTGGCCTTCTCATCAAAGTTGGCGTTCATGGCATCGAAGAAGGTGCGCCACTTCTCCACAGCGTTGACGGCGAAGATCTGTCGCTCTTCCTCGATGGTGTGACGCAGCATTTGCAGGTGCTCCTTGTAGGCCTCCTTTAGAGTCTCCACCTGGTGATCGACGCGCTCCACCAGGCAGCATAAATCCTGGGCCTGCCTTTCGCGATCGAACTCGTACTTGGCATTCATGCGATCCACCTCCTGCTGGCAGGCGGCTATCATCTCATCCTTGCGGGCCATTATTTCAGCTATGCGCTTCTTTTGCTCTTCGATTTGGTCCCAGAGAAGCATCGGCTCGTTCGTCTCCTCCAGCTCGGTCCAGCGCGCCTTGATGTTCTCAAAGCGGGCCATGGTCTCAATGCTCTCGCGTTGCAGCTTCAGCTGCACCTGGTTCTTCTGCGTGGTCTCGAAAATCCGGCGATTCAGCTCCCTCCGTTCGTTGGCCACACGGACATTGGTCACCAGTTCGTTGCCGAAGCGGACCAGCTCGTTCAGGCGGTCGCTGGACAACTCCAGCTGCTGGTCGATGGGCGACTTCTGGGCCTGACAGCGCTCGGAGACTCCCTTGGGCGCCTCGCGGAACTGCTGACGCACCCTGTTGAGAATCGCCAGTCGCCGTTCATCCAACTTCTTTACCGACTTGTCGCAGTGCTCGTTGAAGATCAGGCCATCGATGCGATCGTTGAAGGACTCCCAGCTGTCCACTGGGCCCACGTCGGGCTCCACCTCCTCCTCCTCCTCGACGCTGACGTCGCTAAGCAGATCCTGCTCCTGGTGCTCCTCCAGCTCATCCTCGTTGTCGTCCATCGTTCAAAATATATGGCAGATCGTGATATGGAAGGGAATTGCCTTGTGCGTCAGAAGGCGACTCTTCTCCGAATTAAGGCGGTTTGTTGTGTGGCTGGAAAAGTTTGATCGAAGGATCCAAGGTTCCCTTGGTTTCGTTGCCATCGCCAGATCCGCCTCCTTTTCCGGTGAAAACAAACATTCTGTTGTTTAGTTTTGTTGTTATCAGTGGCGACTACAAGTGCTGGCAACATAGCTAGGATTGAGTGTAGTGTAGCTGGAAATGGCTAAATGGACATCTACTTCTCTTAATAAAAGGGTGGTCATTGTTTATGAGGAAAGTCTATTACTCAGTTCTCTTAATTAACAAAAGCCTTAACAAAATTGTTTAATGCTTTAAAATTAAAAAATGTTGAAAAATAAATTAAATTAAAACCTTTCTTCGCAATTTTGGTTAATAGCTTTATGATCATAACAAATGGACAAAAGAAAAACAATTTTTTTTAGAATTAAACAAGAGTTATTAATACATTTGTTTTTTTTTGAAAATTAAGCAAATATGTTTTAAAAAGGTTATATAGATCGTTATAAAGTTTGAAAAACAGACAAATTTGGCGTCAAAAAATATCATCTCTACGTCGAACAATCGTTATCGTGCTGACGTCACCAGGCCTTACAAATACTAAAACGAATGGAAAATTTCCAAAGCCCCAATGACCATTGACCAATGTCCAATGGACCCGTCGATCCGATCCGACCCGGCAATGCAGGCCAAGAACCCTTATCCCGGAGTTGCATTTAGCCCTCTGAATCGGATGGCCTGCAAAATACATCCCTGGGGATTTGGGGACACTGGGTTGCATTCGACCAAAAATAGGGAGACATATTCAAAAACCAAAAATAAATTGTTTACATGATATTATTCAATTGGGTCCTATTTACAATTTGCACAGGGGAGCGGCACTCAATTATCCTCAGTCTTCAAGGTGATTTCATATATCAGCTCGTCGTGGTAGTCCTGACCATGTGGATCCAGCTGGGGGTGGATCTGCTGCTGCTGGTGGTGATGGTGCTGTTGTACAGCATTAAAGTATTGCTCCTCGCTGAGCAGCTCCTCCTCGACATCCTCGTCGTCCTCCTCGGTGACCGCGTTCTCCACCAACAGGCGCTGATCATCGTAGTCCGAAATCTGGACGTACTGCGCCTCGCCCTCGTTGATGTAATGCCCATTGGTTGTCACTTGCTCCTCCGCCTGGCCCTCCTCCACCAGCAGACCGTCGTCCTCGTCGTACTCCTCCTCCAGCATGCCCATGCCGTCGTCATCATCCTCCTGGCCGTCCATCATCCCACCTGAAACAGATCCCGAGCCGGAGCCTCCCTGATTTTCATCACCATCCCTATTATTCACAAAGCGACGCGTGTTGCTCCGGCACTGGATGGACCGCTTGTGGGCATCGAAGTAGTTGATGTCGGTGAACTCCTCCTGGCACAGGTGGCACACATACGTGCCCTGGCTCAGGTGCATCTCCTTGCGATGGCGGGCCATTTTGTGGGCATCGCGGCACTGCATGCCGCAGAACGGGCACTTCAACATCCTTCGCTTGCCCATGTGGACGTTGCGTATGTGCTCCTGCAGCGAGAAGTTTTTGTAGTAGGCCTTCTGACAGTATTGGCACTGGAATCGTCGCTTCTTCTCGTGCGTCGCCTCGCGGTGACGCTTAAGCTGGGTATTTTGGGCGAATGTCTTGCCGCACATCTCACAGATATGCTCCTTTTCCAGATGACGCCGCTGATTGTGCACGCGTAGGTCCTGTTTGGTGGAGAAGTAAAGAGTGCACAGTTCACAGACGTACGGACGGATGCCCATGTGGCGGCGAGCGTGTCCGGCCAGGTATTTGCAGTCGCGATACGTTTCCGTGCAGTAGATGCAGGCGTAGCGATTGGTCCCCGCCACTAAATGGGTCTTCTGGTGCTTGGACAGCTTGGTCTTGTGCATCACATCCGGACAGATACCGCATTCCACTGGCAGCTTCTCGTCCAGCATGTCGGTGATCATGGAGAACTCCACAATGGGTGTGCTGTCGTCGTCAAAATCCACGATGGTGGCTATCAGGTCGTCGAAGAGCAAGTAGCGGCGCGGTCCCTTAAACTCATCCAACATCTTTTCGCTGGGCTTCACATCCTTGACGCTGCCATCGTCGTCATTTTGGCTCGCAAAGCTGCGTATGGCGATCTGGAGGGCGGATGAAGATCTCATTTTGCCAGCAGGCTGCACAGAAGGCACCGTTGGCGGTGGTGGCGTTGGTGATGGCGGCGGGGAGGGCGACGAAGGTGCATCCATATCCAGATCTTCTGGCTCCTCGGCAATGGGCAGATGGGCATAGCTGAGCTCGTGTTCGTAGTCGCCCTGCTCCTGTTCCTCCTCCACCAGCTCTTCCATTTCGCTCAGCTGCAGCTCGGTGACCACAAACTGCTCATTCTGCTCGTCTAGCGATGACTCCTTCACCCGGGAGCCCACCAGCAGACCCTGCAGCTCCTCGTCCACCAGCAGTTCGCCCTCCACGCCGTCCTCGTTGACGATCAGGAACTCCTCGTCGTACTCGTTGCCCAGGCCGTCCAGAACCACGTATGTGGCATCCTCGCTGGCGTCCACCATGCCCACGGCACCAGCTCCTCCGCCGTCGTCGTCCGAGTACTCGCTCTTGGCGGGCAGCACGAACTCGATTATCTCGGACATGTCCAGGTTCATCGCAAGGCGGTTGCTCATCCTCGAGGTGCAACAACAATCAAACCAACTTTGGTGACAATCCTCAATTATTTTGCATGAATTTTGCCGAAAAAAAGCAATACGACGTCAGAAATTAGGGATGAGACGACTGCGAACAGTGCGACCAGTCGGCGGATACTGGCTAATGCCAACTATCGAATACTAGGTTTCGATATTTTTGTCAAAAAATACTGATTTTGTTGAAACTACCAAAATTGACTTATAAAATATATTTAATAACATTTTTATACCCTTGCAGAAGGCATTACAAATTCGGTCAAAAGTTTGTAACGCATTAAATAAGATAAGTCTGACCCTATAGAGTATATAGCATCACTAGGTTGATTTATAAACATTTATTTATTGACCGATTTTCGCAATTCTGATAAGGATTAACATCATGTTTTTTTTTTTACATTCCAATAATTTTCAATAATTTTTTCAATAACTATGACGTTACAACATTTGACCAACCAAAAAGTAGGTCAAGTAAATTTGTTATCGAATTTTAGCCTTAAAAAAATGAATAAGGTCTTTGTATGCTCTTGCAGAGGGTATTATAATGTTGGTAACGCAGTAAAAGTTCCAACCCTAAAAGGAACATATATTCATGATTAGTTGATATGGCCTTGACCATCTGACCATTTGTGAGCTAGGGAATCGACATTTTAAGCAAAGACGGTTGATTCTTTAGTGTGGATCAGTTGTCCCACTTATAATGCCAAAACAAATACAAACGATTGTCTAAAATAAATCCTCAAAAATAATTTAATTGAACACGAATTTGTGCTCCTTTCCCTAACGTTCCTTGAAGTGCTTTCGAAATTTCAAACAAGTCGGAGAAATTTACTTTTGTGAAACGAAATTGGAAAAGGCTTGTCTGGTTTAAGAATGTATAGCAGTATATTTGAACCCACATCATCAAGCTCCGATAATTGTGAGCTATCGATAGCACCAAATTTGAATGCCCATCGAGCGCGCCAAACCACGGCGCATGCGTGACGACGGTTAAGTTAACGTCTTCCGCCGCTTTTTCGCCCCTTCCCCTTGTTGTTGTTTTGCTATCTGCGCTCGCGACTAACTTGGCTAACACAAGTTAACTTCTGGACTCGGATTCGGAATTGGCCCGGTGCATTGCATCTGCACACTCGGTGGCGCGCGCTTGTCTTCTTGAGACTTCTTCATCGGGCGTTTCGCGAGCTTTTCTTCTGATTTTCTTGTTTTTTTTTACGGTTTTTACTGTTTTGCACTTGAGAGCGTGTGAAGTGCGCGCATGCGTAGTGGCTGATAATTAACCAATTTGAAAATTGCGGTTCTTCTGCTTTTTTCGCAATACGATTGACCGCAAAATTGCGCAAGAAATTTGATTTTTTTTTGCTGTGTGCAAATATTTTTTAAATAAGTGGAAACAAAAAAAAGAACAAGAAATCACCAATAGATTTCGAAGAAAGTGATGCAATTTATAGGACGAGGATAAAGGACAAAGAAACGATTTTCAAAACACATTATTTGCGGTAAGCTTACAATTTAGAAATTAGATGTGAATAGTTTATAATGTATCCCAATTAAGCTCGAAGGATTAAGAATAAAGGCTTAGTTAGTTAGAAAGGTATTGTGTTTTTAAAAGCACCCAAGATCGCACAGGTAAACTAAAAAAATTGTTCTAGATTTTATCTAATTTTTTGGATACATTTATTTCTTTAAAATTTTTTTTATTTGGCAAACAATAAAATATTAGAAAATAAAAAAACGTGTAGCAAAAAAAAAAAAAGCAAGGAAATCAAGTTGTATACATATATTTCCTAAGTCATATGCTTTTTTGTTTGAATTTAAGTGTATTTTTTATTTATTTTCTATCTTGATTATAATGTATGTATAGTGAATATATGTATATAGGATAAGAATAATAATAAATAATAAAAAAAAACACAAACATAACAAATCTAGTTTAAAATCGTAAATAATTAATATCAAAAAAGAAGTTTAAGTCTAAGATCAAGGATTAAGGACACAGACTTATTTACCTCACACACCTAAAAGAAAAGGCGACCAGAGTGAAGGGCGAGTAATCCCACTGCCACTGCCAACTTTGTAAGGTTTATTTTGTATTTTTTTATAGCAAAGTTTTATTGTTAATTGGGCTGATTACAATGCCCACAAGAGTTAATAAGAGATGGGAATCACAAATACAAATAGACAGCACAATGAGCGAATAACCAACGAGCAGCCAGTAACATCAAATAGGATTACGCAAAGTTGCAAACGCATTATGTTGATGTTGATTTAAGCTTTGGTGTTTGCCTTTATCGCATTTATTTATTTATTTGTTCGCCGTGCTGCAACATCTTCAGCGGCCAGCCTCATAGCTATAGTCCAATCAACAAATATGGGACAAACTTGACCCGCTTTCGGCGCGGAATTGGCATCGTATCGCATCGCATTGAAAATGGGCAGGGAAGGGCTCCCAAATTGGCCTCTCGTTTATTTGGCAATTATAAATTACATAAAGTGGCAGGCATTTCCCCCTTTCCCTTTTCGATACCCGTAGAATCGATTGCAATCATTGATTGACAGTCATTTGAGGATGGTGGCACTATCTTTCCTTTATTTTGTTTCAAATAATACAATATAAGAAGATAGATGTATATAGCAAAGTAGTATAAATACCATTTGAGATACATTCATTTATCAGAAAGTTTTCTCAGTTTATGTGATGTGATAATCAGATGTAGGAAGTGTTAGTAAGTATGAATTTATTTCATCAATATACTTAAAATATGTATATATAGGTGTACATTTATTCTATAATTGTAATTGTTTCAAAATAAACTTCACAGAAATACATAAAAAATATATTTAACTTAAATTAAAATCAACGTTAAGCCACAATTCCATTCAAATTCAAAGATTTTTTAACTATAACATATTTAGACTTTGACAATAGTAAAACAGTTTTAATATTCTATTAAAACTTTGAAGTTAGTAAACTATTAGACTTAAGCCCTTCAAATACTTTACTTGGGTCTTTAAAAATTGTAATTTTACAAGTATACAATCTTATTAGAAAACAGTAACAGCTCAAAAAAAAACATCACACTTAAACAGCTTGCAGACTTGACCCAAAATCCGAGCTAAGCAAACAATCCATTTCCATTTCGCAGACAAGATTCTCGAACTTGGACTGGGAGTAGGCCAATTAAGAGTTGGCCACACGGCAACAGGTGTCGGCGGTTCCAGCAGCAACATCAACATTAACAGCAACAGCGCAGCGGCAACATCTAGTGACAGCAGCAACATCGAAAGACAGCAGCAACAAGTGGCATCATTTGCGGTTTTGATCGCCGGGGCGTGTTGCCTAGTCCGTCGGCGAAAACGGGAAATCGGAAGAAACATGTTCTCCTTCAGCGCCGCCGCATCCTCATCCCCATCCTCCACTCGGACTTGGACTCGGACTCGGCATGGCTTCAATCTCGGCCAGCTGCTGCCGATGGTCGCCGTTATCGGAGTGTTGCATCTGCCGCAATTTGTGTGTCATGCTGGCTGGGCAACCAGAACGGCAGAGAATTCCATTAACGAGAATGCCACCATGCAAATCCAGACGCTGCAGGTGAACTGCAGCCGGGAGTTGCTCGAGATGCACCTGGAGCTGAGTCGACCCTTCCGGGGGCTGCTCTACGCCAAGGACTTTCCGCTGGAGTGCCGGGCGCGGGGCCAGGACTCCACCCGGCTGCACCTGCGCATCCCCACCTCGGGATGCGGGGTGCGGGCGGAGCCGCTCGGGGATGGCAGTCTGGAGTACTCGGTGCGGGTGATGCTCCAGAAGGAGCAGAAGCTCCGCCAGAGCACCGACATCCTCAGCGCCGTGCGGTGCCAGCTTCCGGCCAACGCGATGGGAATGCCACTGCCCGTCCTGCGACAGGACAACGGACGCGAGAGGTGAGTCATGGAGTATCATCAGTAGGGATAAAGTATAAATCACTCCAATCCACAATTCAGAAAGCATAAAAACAGATTATGAAAGCAATAAATAAATAATAAATTGAATGAATGCATAAAAATCCATTCGTCAGTCAATTTAATTCCATGTAAAACATTGATACACAAATTCTTATCAACAAGCATAAAAAATGTATTTATAATTAAATATTTAAAAGTTATAAATCTAAAAACGGATGACAAATCTCTTGGTTTCCCTCTTTCATCCTTTAGATAGATTAAATGTGCATATTAATTTAAAATTCGCAGAACAATTAAACAAATTTAAAATTAAAAGACAAGATAAATATTAATTTTAATTGAGTTTTAAAAATAGGATTAATACAAAGTACATTACTCAAAAATAAACTCAGATGAGCTTCTCTAAACTATTATTCATCCAATTTACTTATTAATATCAAATGATACAATCGAATCTCGTTCAACATTTCCGCATTTTTCAACATGACAGTTGATAGTCTTGATTCGATCTACATCTGCTTAAACACTTTTCAAAGTTTTAATGGGTAATGATAAATATAACAACTTTAAACTGTGTTGATTAAATTAAACTAAGGAAAGATGACTGATCATATAAGTAAAGACAACGATGAAGCTGAATTTATTTTGGTAAACTGTAGAATGCATTTGTGGCTTTCCCTGTTTATCGGGAAGAATATTCAGCTGATGAGGAGTATTAGTACATAATTATTTTCTACTCCTCCAGGAATGCTCGGATGCGGGCCTTGGCCGCGGCTGCGGTCCCAGCTCTGTCCGCACCACCTGCCCCACCGACGAGCACCACCCACAGCCAGCACCACCACATGGAGACGCCGCGGGTGAGGATCTGGCTGGAGTTGGGTGGCCCCAACGGAACCGGGTCCGTGGAGGTGGGCGTGGCCACCACCCTGACCGTGCGGGCCATCGTTCCCGGGAACATCGGAGTGCGGGTGGTGGACTGTGCGGCCCTCGACGGATTGGGCGAGTCCACGCAGCAGCTGCTGGATGCACGTGGCTGTCCCATCGACGAGCAGGTGAGTGGATCGGGCTGATGCTGCTCCCCAGATGGACAGATGTAGATGTAGACAGAGATATAGATACACATGTATCTCGTGGATCGGTCATTTGCGTAACAGGTGCCGGCGGCGCGACATTCTACGCTGAACCGTTAGAGCGGAGAAGAAACCAAAACTAGACGCGATGAGGCGAACGGAAAGTCATTAATTAACGACGATCTCGATGCTGTGGGGCGATCTGCGAGTGATCGCATTTAACTTTCATTTTTATAGACGACATCTAGAGGGTAGCAATGGGGGTATACAGAACTGCATCATAAAGAAAGCTGAATGGAAGTTAAACCATTATTTTTTAGCTAACTGCAACGGAAAATGTCTTAAAAAAGTAAAACACAAATAAAAACAAATTGGGAAAAAGCTTAAAGTTCTTCTTTTTTACACTCACAAATAAATATTTATTTTGGAAAGACATTGTTTATGTTTATTGTTTATTCTTTTGAACAATAAACAGCCTTCGAATTTAGATTTCAAATTGCTAATAGAAAGTAAATGATTTTATAACTTCAACATTTATGTGATTCGCTTTGGAAAACTTTAAGTGCATTTTAAAGGCACGAAAATGTAAAACAAAAGCCATTTAGTGGTCCATTCTCACTCATTGATTTCTTGATCGCAACGAAAGGGAAATCTCCATAGATGGAAAACGGTGTTCCGAGACCCGATTGATTGGATGCCCCTGCCCCTGATACATTTTAAACATTTTTTCCCGCCCAAAAGCAGCGGCTCATTAAGTGTAACAGTTATTACAGCACCGACATTAAATGTGAGGCAAACGGCAGCAAAACCGAAACTGTTAGCCGTAATTACGCGATCAGCGTTAGAACAGTTTTCGTTGCCCAGCCAAGCAGGCCCAAACCAAACGAAACCATTAGCCGAAGTCGGAAAAACAAAAATAACCGAAGGAACGCCTGCGAACTGTTCTCTCTTCTCTGGGCTTTCTGTTTTCTAGGTTCCCTGGCTTCCCTGGGCTCCCCAAGTTCTTCAGTTCTTCAGTTCTTCTTGAGTAAATTAGGAGGTCACAACAATTAGCCAACAGTGAAATACATAGAAATATTTATCGTTTAGCATTTTGACGTGCCCCTGTTTGCGGTTGCCCCATCTCCGCCCTCGACTCCCCGACACCACAATCTTCATCAGCACCACTGAGCCAATCAACAGTGGGGCCAGTTGCAAAACAAAAAGATTTTAATATGGCAAGATTTTCGAGTTCAAGTCCTGGACTCGAAAAGAGATGACCTTTAGCAAACTTGTTTCTCTTACTTATATCCAAAGCTTAAATTAAAAATCATTTTATAAACGCAAGTTCAACTTTAAAAATTTGTAAATTAATAATTAATAATTAATAATCCCAAACGTATACTCCAAGTTTAGACCATAAATACTTTCTACTTATAAATTAGAATTATCTTATCTTTAAAAAAGTATTACAAAGATTAACATTTTATATTTTAATTTATTAACGAAACTTTATAAAATTTAAAAATATAGATTTTATGTCTTTAAATTTTTGCCTTAAAGCTGAGTTTTTTTTTAGAGGTTTTCCATTCGTTCATAACATAACTTTTTATTATTCTTTTTTCCACTGTGCGACGGTGGGCAATGCCAATGCCAGGCATTTGCATTTTGGTCGCCGGCCGTCGCAGCTTTGTGCACATGTCATTCATTCACGAAGCTGCCTTAAATGGGTCAAACAAATCTCCAACTAGACGCTTCGCTACTTCTTTATGTTTGTGTTGTTGGTGGTCAGGGCAGAGCTAGAAAAATCACACGGCTTAATTTCTGTTTTATTTTAACGGAACGGGCGAGAAGAAGGCACACAGAAAACCATTTGCATTTTATGTTTGTTTTATTGTTCAAGTCTTGGCGGCTGTCTTCCGTTTTAGCACATTTCATTTTCTTTTGCGTTGGTTTATTGTTTTATTTTTCTGCGCTTTTTTACATTTTTTTTTTTTTTGCTCTTAACTTCTTCAAGACGCTCCAGTGCGATTGCAAATTTATGCGCGCACCCATCACAGGTTGATTTGTTTGGTTTAGAAACACTTCTGGGTCAGAGCGTGGAGGAAAAGTGAAATAAAAACCGCGTCTTTTGTCTGCGAACGCCGCCGATGATGGTGGCCCACTTTCTGGCGTAGAATCTCTAGAATTTAACCCACAGTGCATGTACCGTTAACAGGGAGAGCACACATCGTAACCGATCCTGGGGCCCTCCTACACGGTATAATAACCGTTAAATATGTGACTATCGATAATTAAAAATCCTTGCGATTATTTCGATTATTTGATTTCAGGGATGATAGGTAACAGGTTATCTGTGCCGTGAAGGAAATCTTTTGCGCGGCAATTTGTACATTTGCATTTGTACAATCTTTCTGCACGTGAACTCTTTTGAACTTCCGCAACAATTTGCTTTTTCTCGTTATTGTCTCAAGTTTCGCATTCACATACACCCGCACATGGGGAAACACGTGCTTGGGCGTGTAAATTGAAACTAGACATCGCCGTCTAAGCTAATCAACGTGCCTTGGGCCCTGTTTTTTTATACACCCTCCCTGTGGGTATTATAATTATGGTCATCATATCGTGACCTCTTGTTAAGCCTGGGCTGCAATTTAATTAAGTTGTACGTTACACAGATCAGAGAAATTCATCATCATCAGAGGCCGTTTACTGTCTAGAACCACTTGGGAATTATAACGATTATTTCCTAAAACTTGAAAGATTAGTGCCTTAAAGGCTTTTATAAAGACCTAAAGAATTTCGTAAAATATTAATACATTCATTTGGATTTTTTCAAGAGTATAATAACTTCGGTTTGATTAAGTTACCTTGCTTCCTCGCTTTTGTTTTAGTTACCACCAACAATGGCGAGATGTAAATCGCAGCGTCTTGTAATTCCATACATCTGTTTCCAGCGATCGCACATGCATCATACCGTATACCATATTGCACTATATGCATATGTGTAGTAGTGCAGACTACTTGAAACTCTGTATTGTTGTCATTGAACTTGGCCACATGACAATTGGTTCGCCACCTTTTCTCAGTTTTCTTGGCAGTACTACTTGTATACTGCATTATACGTAACGGAAATGACCGAAATGTCGGCGTGTGAGCCGGTGTTTTGTCACCCCGAGTTGTTGTATAACCGGCGATAAAAGAAGGCCATCAAAAGCGCCCAAATGGTTGGCAGTTCAAAGTTAGGGTTCAGGTTCAGGGACAGCGACCGCAACGGGAGACAACTGGTTCATATTCCCAGTTTGTCACACAAATGTGACATAACAAATTTATGGGGTGGTTCCAAATTTTTTTATTTTTCTTGAGTTCTTTACATTTATTTTTAGCACTTTATTGTGTAGTTGGACTTCACCTGAGTCACTCCATAAACGATGTTTTTTAGAGAGGCAAAATAATTAAAACTTGGGGATATCTTTAAATTATTATATGGACTTAAAAATTGTCTACTTAAAAGAAAAATTAAATTTTTTTTATTACTATAGGGCAGTGTCATCGGAAAAATGTTGAAATTTATTAATTTATTAATCACACAAGATAATTTTAAAGTTACATACAGAACTTCTCCACACATGTTTAGTAAAGATAATGTTTTTAAATCATTAACATTATGCATATGTAGTTAGATTTGAGTTTGTATTCTTGTTTTCAAAGCAGTCCTAAGGATAATGATCAGGGTGATATATTTTGGCCACCGCTTTGTAATCAACAAATATGTTATGTTTTCAAAACACATGTGGCTAACTAACAGTAATAAGACAACCTTGTTTACCATGCATAGCTGTGGATATACTAATTGTGCCCGTTTCCATGGCCAGGTAATGCCCGCTCTGCACACCCAGCACCGGCCGGCGGAGGAGGGATGGTCCAAGCAGCACGAGGAAGACCTGGTCGAGCGGACGTTCGCGGCCACGTTTCCCGCCTTCAAGTTCCCGGACCGCGAACGCCTCCACGTCAGCTGTGGCGTGCAGCTTTGCAAGGGGAAGTGTCCGACTGTGAGTGCCACATGCTTGTACTACACACCACACTGTAACTGCACAGAGAAAAAAACCATTGCATTATAAATTTTGAAGAAAAAACGTTGTTGTTGTCCAGCAGAGTTTAATGTTTGGTAGATAGGAGTTCAATTCTTTAGTAAGGAAATAATTCTTTTAAAGGTATATAATTAATATACGTGATAAATATGTTTATACTGAAAGAGAATTTAATTTGCACTTGCACACCTTTTGAAATATTAAGCCAGCTTGAGTAAATAATTATACCAATTATAATAAAATTAATATAACAAAATTGTACATTAAAGTCGCGGGACACGAGTTCGATTCCTCAGTCAATAATTTTTACACGCATTTCCCAAATTTGAAGTTCTTTAGGACAGATTCTTAGAGATCCTAAGCTACCATTAAAACTTTAAATGGTAATAGCCTTGACATGAGAGCCAAACAATTAATTATAATGCAGTGTATTTTTTTTTTCTGTGCACCGACAAAAAAGCACCACTCGTATGCATCTCAATTAATTGCAACGAAAACGAAAGTGTTGCCACTGCCGCTTCTGTTTTTCAGCTGCCCATCGTAGCGTGTTGTTGCGTCTGCTAATTAATGTGGTTATTGCACCGAAATGCAGCCAAGTGGAGCCACGTACCCACTTAGCCACCAGTGCACCAGTGCACCACCCGATGCACTGCCTCCACCGGTGCCTACTGCACCGATGCAATGTGTTTACTATACCGATTCCCTTTCGATTCCAGCTAAACTGTCGCCAGAAGACGCCTCCGCCGGCGTTGAGTGCCGAGCAGCACTTGGCCCGCATCGAGGTGTTCAATTCGCTGGCCGTGACTGCTCCCCAAATCGAGGTGGACCGCCTGCGGTACGACAGGCGCCACAACATGAGCGGTGAGTGGGCGGGATTGGGATTGGGGGTGGATGTGGGTGGTGGGGGATGCGGGAGTGGCAGTGGGAATGCGTGCCAGTCACGGATGCCGCAACACCCAAGTTAAGGGGGTGCTTAACACCCAAACATTTTCCAGTTTCCTTCTCTATTACATTTGAACACTCGAATCTTGAAAACAAACTTTCCTAACTTGAGGTTCATTAATTTTTAATTGACTGTTTAGTTTTCACTTTCACATGATTTTGATTGATTGGAACAATTGCAAACATAGATTTTCCAATTCGAATACATTTATTTTGTTAGAGATCACTTTAGATTACACACCTTTTTCGTCATTCAATTATTATTGTTCCCTTTTTTTTAGCCATGTAAAGGGTATTTTCATTTTGGTTAAAGTTTGTTACGCAGTAGAGGAACCATTTTCGACCATCCAATTCTTGATCAACATAACTAAGGGAGTTTTAATTCTGTTCGGGAGTTAACTTTTGGCCATAATAAAAAAACATAAGGCGCTTTTTGCTCTTACAATGACTGTATGTATTAAAAATGTATTTGGTTTTAGCTGTGAAGGCCACTTGATTTGAAATTTTATAACGAATTCATTGATATTCCAACATTCGACCACAATTTCCCAGGGCTTTGATTAAAACCCCGAAAAATCGAGTTGATCCAGAAAACATAATGCAAAGATAGCTTCCGTTCTCATTTAAAAATAAAAATTATTTATAGACAGAATTTTTTATCATGATCTTGTCTTTAACTTTTTAGTGTTTTTTTTTACAAATTTGAATATGCGTAGAAATAGGATACATCTTTTATGTGGAATAACAACAGAGATTATATTTCAGGAGAGGATTATGCGCCGCATGTGAGGAGTCAACCTGGTCCCGGCGAGGGAACCCTCTGTCTGTCCATCTCCAAGCTGGCGATCTCGTTCTGTGTGCTGGGCCTGATCTTCCTGGTGGCCGTGGTGGTGGCCATCTTCTCGCTGATCCGGTCACGTCGTCGGGAGCGGCGACATGGAGCCGGACTGAGTCTGGGACTGGGCCTGGGAATCGCCGGGACGAGCACCTCGAACAGCAGCAGCCGGCTGCATCGGGATAGGGCCGAGATCTGCACCTCGATGTTCTCCTCCAGCAGCGAATCGGCGCAGTCGCAGCCGCGTTTCGGGGCCAAGTTCCTGATGCCCTACTATCCAAATACCCTGCCTTACGGTCGTGTCTACTAACTAACTAGTTAATGGAGGGGCCTCCCAGAGACTGACGGATTCGTCTAACGAGTGGTACCAAATTAAGGTCTAACTTTAGCAATATTACCGTACTTATGTATCTTTCGGTTGGCCGAAAGGATCTTGAAAGCGTTTTGCAAGCGGTTAAGGGCCAAAATGTGTTTTGATGTCCTTTCGTTTTAGTTGTATTTAATACCTACGTATATTTAACAAGAAAGGAAAGCTAACTTCGGGCGGAGCCGAAGTTGAAATACCCTTGCAGAATATTCTGCAAATTATATTCTCCAAAATCATTCATAATGCATTCTTAATACTCATAAAAAATCCCAACTTCCTAACTTTAAAAACACCAAAGTTATGGCATTTCCAATCGTTCAGTTATATGGCAGATATAGAATATAGTCGGCCGATCCTTATGAAATTTGATATGTCGGATTGATTAGGCAAAAATAAAACCCATAGAAAATCCCAACTTCCTAACTTAACAAACACCAAAGTTATGGCATTTCCGATCAATCAGTTATATGGCAGCTATAAGATATAGTCGGCCGATCCTTATGAAATTTGGTACGTCTGATTGATTGGCCAAATATAAAACCCATAGAAAATCCCAACTTCCTAACTTTACAAACACCAAAGTTATGGCATTTCCGATCAATCAGTTATATGGCAGCTATAAGATATAGTCGGCCGATCCTTATGAAATTTGGTACGTCGGATTGATTGGCCAAATATAAAACCCATAGAAAATCCCAACTTCCTAACTTTACAAACACCAAAGTTATGGCATTTCCGATCAATCAGTTATATGGCAGCTATAAGATATAGTCGGCCGATCCTTATGAAATTTGGTACGTCGGATTGATTGGCCAAATATAAAACCCATAGAAAGTCCCAACTTCCTAACCTAACAAACAGCAGAGTTATGGCATTTCCGATCAATCAGTTATATGGCAGCTATAGGATATAGTCGGCCGATCCCGGCCGTTCCGACTTATATACTGCGTGCAAAGGAAAGAAGGGTGTGTGCAAAGTTTCAATTCGATATCTTTAAAACTGAGAGACTAGTTCGCGTAGAAACAGACAGACGGACAGACAGACGGACAGACGGACAGACGGACAGACGGACAGACGGACAGACGGACAGACGGACAGACGGACAGACGGACATGGCTATATCAACTCAGGAGGTGATCCTGATCAAGAATATATATACTTTATAGGGTCGGAGATGTCTCCTTCACTGCGTTGCACACTTTTGACCAAAATTATAATACCCTCTGCAAGGGTATAAAAATTAAAAGTAAAATAGTTGCAACTGAATAAAGGAAAAATCCCTTTTACATTTTATTGATAGAGCGGAATTTGTATCAATTATTCACTTTATTATTAACAGAATAGTTTATTGGTTGAAGTGAATAAAGGTAAAAATTACATTTCTTATCACAATACTATTTTGAATTACGCGCTAAAGCCTAGTATCCAGATCGACAAACGAGTACACTAGCGTAAAAACGTTAATCATTCCAGTGTGACCAACATTTCGAGACTGTCAATCAGCTGGGTTTGTTGACAAGCAGTTAAAATTCAAATATCGTATTTGCGGGAAAGGGCCTTTAAAAGATATTATCAACTACCTTGGCAAGACAAGTCTGCAGTTGTACAACGAAATTAAAAAACAATACAATTTTTTTTTTAATTTACTGATAATTATATGCTAATTTAAAGTTCATAGCTGCACTTTTATTGGGTTTTTTCGTACATTTTTGACCAAAAAAAAAATAATTTTAATCTGACAAGAGGCACCCCAGATAGTTTTAATATTATTTTGTCCTCACATGTAAACTTCTGCAATCGACTTTTGCGGGCTTTTAATTTTTTCCCTCCATTTTTTAAAATGTTCAGTGAAAGCGCATGCCAAAAGATGGCAATGCAATTTTCTGGTATTTTTTCGTCGAACTGAAAAAAACCTTGACGAAAAGTGTACGCCAGCTGTTTGCCTCTCGCTCTCTCTCATGACTGCGGTACAGTTTTCGTCGATCTAGGTACTAGGCTTTGAGGCATAGATCGGGTATTGGGAAAACGATAAAGCCGCGAAAAGATATTTTTTATCGAATTTTATTTGTATTATGCAATTGGTTATATTTCAGAACTCGGAAAATACTTCGAGGTACCTGCACTAGGCAAACACACTGTGCACTCGAAGTCATTGATAGAAATCAAATAACAGAATAAAATTATCTAACAACTGTTTAAATAGGCGACCTATGGTGTTCAAATCGATAAGCATATTCGAATTATCTAGAACAATCGATATCTGAAGTTGAAAACTTTTTCGTGCCATCGTCAATCGAAATCCTGTTTATAGCCTGGTTATTTTAAAGATAACTTTTTTATTTATATCTATTAATTTAATAGCGTGTAGTTAGATAGTTACAAAATATTTTTTATAATTAAACCCATCATTATAGAAAACCAGAGTTGCATGCTTGCTATCGATATATCAATAGCGCCTGAGCAGCCCTGAAAGGCGCATTAGTGTAGAGACAGTTTGTTGGTGTGAGCTATGTAGACTTGCATATGCGCTACATGTGAAAAGAGTCGGAAATTTACACTTACATCAGAGTTTTAATGGGAAATATGAGTAGATTAATATTAAATTTAGGTAAATGTTGAGTTTAAGAGGATATCTTTTCAACTTGCCAATTGTTAAGCGTTAAATATCCTAGCCCTATCAAACAACTTTCAAACTCGCATATGCTGCTCTTGTAGCGTAACGCCAACGACGAGGGTTACTGCAAAATGGAAACTGTTTTTGTGTGTTGTTGTCGAGCGTGAAGTGTGCAATTAGACAACTGAATTCGTTTAAATGTGATGAGAAAAGGCGCACTACAACAACGTCAAAGGCGAGCGAATCGATTTCCAAACAATAACAAGCTACGAAACTAAATTTAAAGTCGCTCGGAAATCCGGAAATCGGGAATTTCGAGAAGTGCCCCCCATCCGATATATATACATATATAAGAGAAGAGCGTGCGAAAACAGAAACCCAAACAACGGATAAGGAGAGACGAGTGGAGGGGTCAGGAAAAGCAGGCAGCGCTTTTAGTCGCATATATTTTAGCCACTTTTCCACGCCAGCTGGGAAGAGGCGGGTAAGGGCGGTGAAATTGCGACTTTCGGCGGCCCAAAGAGCTCAGCTGCAGGAATAAGCTGACGCGAAACCTTGAGACACCGACTCTCACGCACACCAGCGCAAGCACACGCACACTCAATAACACACACACAGGCGCAGGAGCAGCAGGAAGTGCAGGCACCATGAGTTCGGTAAAATAAACAAATTATCCAACTTAATACAAGCACTAACTAAGAAAGTGGTCCCATGACAATAAGTTTCAGACTTCAAACATGGATCACTTCCACATTCATAAATATTATCCAATCAAATACGAAATGAATTAGCATGAAGGTTCCGTTGGACGAGATCTGTGACCCCCGGAATGTTTTGGCTTATTTTACAAAATATCAATAAATAGAGGCCATCTTCTTGTCGAACTTAACAGATTCTTTATAAACAGTCATTTATCAATTCTTAGTAGTATTGGGTCGACCAATTTAGTTCAATCCCATGTCCCGTTATCTCGTCTTTATGGCTATTCGTAAGCTATTCGTACGATTTTAAAATGCAATTAACTTACCATGAGAAAACGGAGCTTAGTATATAACCAAAAATGGTTGTAAATGAATCCAGTCTTTTTAAATATCGGCAAGGAACTACTGTAACACTGTATTAAAGCTCATAATATGTTTGCAACGCAGTGCAGTGAAGGACAAATTTCCGAAACTTTTAATTATACACTTATATTCTTGATCAGCATCAATAGCCGTCCGCAAATTACGTTTATGTTAAAAAGCCATCTGGATGAAACTTACATAATTGTCCTAATTCTATTGCACAAAAAATAAATATAATATCGTGGTTTATAAACATATATGCCATGTTTCTACAAAACCGGAATAAAGGAAATATACAAATATAACTAAAAATATAGTCGTTCTTTACGGTTTCAGAAACACGTTTTTTTCATATTAAGTAATGAGCCATTTGATCCGAAACTAAAATTTCGAAACTGATCCAATTTGCAGCAATACTCAAATGTGGAGAACCTGTCGCCGCAGACGATACGACAGGTGATGCGGGAGCTGCAGGAGATGGAGACCACTCCTCCCGAGGGCATTAAGGTGCTGATCAATGAGAGCGACGTGACGGACATTCAAGCTCTGATCGACGGGCCTGCTGGCACTCCATATGCCGCCGGCGTTTTCCGCGTTAAGCTGACGCTGAACAAGGACTTCCCGCAGACGCCACCAAAGGCCTACTTCCTCACCAAGATTTTTCACCCGAATGTGGCCGCCAACGGGGAGATCTGCGTGAATACACTGAAGAAGGACTGGAAGCCGGATCTGGGCATCAAGCACATTCTGCTTACCATAAAATGCTTGCTGATCGTCCCAAATCCGGAATCTGCGCTGAACGAGGAGGCCGGCAAGATGCTGTTGGAGCGTTACGACGACTACTCGCAGCGGGCGCGCATGATGACAGAGATCCATGCCCAGGTAAATAAGCGGTACCTTTTCATGTTTGCCTAGCTTAGCTTAGCTTTCATGACTATCAGTCATTTAACTAGAATCTGATTAGGTCGGCAGGTCTATGTCAAAAATTCCAAGTGATTGATTTTTCGATTGAAAAACACAAAAATAATCATTATTTGCTCTAAATTAGTACTTCTAGTAGATGGAGAAAAACCATAAAGTTTAACATAGTTGCTGGTCCAATTAGTGTGCTATTTAGTTTCAAAAAGAAAATATTTCAAATGGCTTTTTATCTTGAGTCATGATCTTAATTTCTTTGCACATAATGTTGATGCTAAGAAATATACCTCACTGAGTAATCATCTGAATTATTTCCGATATGATGGTGTTGTGTTTATTTATGCTGGTAAAAAAATAAATTGAATTTTTATATCAAATAAACTTGACAATAATCATTAAATCTTTTTAAAAGACAGTGGACTTATCAAACCATTAATATAATGATTTGAACTGATAGATAAGACAGGATAAATCCTCTTTAATATAACTTTTGTAATATTTTACCTTTCCGGTTCGATTTTAGCCCGCCAAATGCGGTGCAGGCGCTGCTGGCGATGCCAAAGACGATGATGGACCTTCGACGAAGAAGCACGCGGGCCTGGACAAAAAACTGCAGGACAAGAAAAAGGAGAAGTTTATCAAGGAGAAGAAGCGTATGCTAAAGAGATTATGAGAGGCATAAGGCGAAGTTCTGTGGCCTAGCTAATCAAACAGGAGCAGTAAGCAGCGGCATGAAACGACGGATTCGAAAGGATGAATAGATGATAAGGGGTGGAAAAGTGCGAGTGTTAACCCGAGAACCACTTGAATGGCGGCAGGATCGGTGCTAGCATGGTGGAATTAAAGGAGCAGGCGCGCTATGAAATTTTACACTGATCTGATACAAAAAAAAGAAAAATTGAGCAACTAAAAAAAGGGAGTCACCGATTAAACCCGGATAAGAAACCGCATCATATGAAGGCTAATATCGGAATCGGAAGTTAAAGCTGCAAAATATCGGTAGAACGAGAGAGAGATAGAACCACTCCAAAGATAAGGGCATCCAGTTACCATATACGATTATTTAAACCACTTCTTTTGGTGACAACACCTGTCAATCGAGCCTAGAACGTAGAAAAGAAACCAACAAATAAGCAACCAAGAGAAATGCGGAATGCAACCATCTCCTTAGTAATTTATGTAGTTCTCTTTTCTTAACGATCATGAGCTATCCTAGCATAATTTATGTAATTAGATTAAAGAAAAACAAGGAGAACATTATCGCCTCATACATGCCACCACCCAAACACTCTACCCAAATCTCTCTAAAAAAAGCATCACCAATTTACCTTAATGAGCATTATTATCGTTCACTTGGGGTCTGTCCATATATTGGGTAATCCCCTGGCTATTCAATTTTTTTTTTTTTCGAAAACAAATATTCTGTTAGTTTCCGTAATCGATTGCACAATGTTTGGATGGCCCCTAAGACTTAAGTTATACCCTTTTTTATTTTTTGTGTCTTTTTAAAATTGTATCCATTTAGTTTTAAATTTAATAAATTTAAATTCGTTACATTCAATTGTCCTGCTTAGGATTAAGATAAGAATAGAAAACACCACGCATCCAACAAACAATCACAAAAAATACATAAAATTATTAATGAAAAACTGTAAAATATCGATGGCACATTCTGTAGAGATTTAAGTTTAAGGACTTACAACTGTAAAACACTTGTCGCAAAACGGAATGGAGCGGAACAGAACGGAATGTAATAGCACGGTGATAAGTGCATGGGATATCCTCGATCTTTCGTTCGCTATATCGCTATATCTTTCACGCCTGCTGCTCTCTCTTTCTCTCTCTCTCCTTTTGTTCGAAAATCCTTTTCAAACTCACACAATAAATCGATGGCGGAAAGTAAAAAAGCAATTAAAAAAGAATAAAATTCCAAGAAAAAATTCCAAACAAGACATTCTGAAAAAAAGATCTCGAACTTAATATTTTCAGATCGAAATTGGCAAGTATCGTGGACGATGTGGCAGATGGAAACGGATTTCTGAAAACGTTTGCTGAAATCTACAAAAAATTTATTTATTATACACCCGATTAACCATATATGTATGTATGTAATCTTTTGAGTAAAAATATTGGGTAAGCCTGGAAAACTAAAAGCATTAATCCAATATATGAACGTATTTGTTAAGGGGAGAAGTAGATATATTGCACCACCGAAGAAAAGTATACCAATGGGTATTATTTTATATGAAACTCGTCAAAAGCTAAGTTCTAGTGCAAATCAAAAACGAGATCAACGTGCACGTATATATTGCGTAAGCCTGTAAGGTAAGTATAACAGATATATGATAGATATAGGGATAAATCCGATATATGCGAATAAGATAGAAAATCTGAACTGATAAGTGGACAGTTCTTCCGCAACACGAATTCAAATGGGAATGTCAAAGTATTGGTCCAAAAGTGGATTAAAAACATAAACATATATAAGACAGCATTATATCCGACATATAAGAATAAATCGATTTTTTTTTAAATTTAGCAGCTAAAGGACAGCTAATTCATAACTATTTCTTAAAAATCGAAAATTTTGGATCGCCTTTTTTAGCAAATGGATACTTTGTTTTACGAGTACCCGCAAGAAACAAAGTGATTCCTTTCAAAATAAATAAGATAACAAACATTTAACATTTGATGATGCAGAAACAAAGATGTAAACATAAAAATAGACTTTTTTTATATCTCATATGTATTTTAATAGTATTTGTATGGCTTAAATTCGGTCCATATTTTTTAAGTAAAAAAAAATGTATTTATTAGAAAACCTTTTTGCTGATTTTGTAATATTTGCTTAAAAGAATGTTGTTATTTCCGTTAATGGGAGGGAGCATCTAGGGAATTGATGTTCGGTTACAACAAATTTGTTTGAATTCATCATCCGATTTTTTCCGTGCACTACTGTTAGCACTAAGTTTTTCAGATCACGTAGCGCGTGCCAATAACAAAAGGTATTTCCTAGTTCCGCTTCAGTCCGCTTCCCTTTTCGCCCCTCAGACCCCCTCCCACCGGAAGAGTTTATATCTGCTTTGGGGAGTTTTTCGATTCCCGCGATTCTGCGAAATGTCATGAGACACTCGCACACAGACACACATTCTCGAGTGGTGATGTGGGCTTGAGTAGGTGTGTGCGGTTCCTCCCCTCTCGCCTCTACTCTCTACCTCACTCTGTCTAACCGCCAACGCTTTCGAGCTGGGCCAACATTCCAATCGGGTCGGATCGGATCGGGTCTAACCTTCAGGCAACTTGTCGCTCGAACCAAATATTGTCGCACAGCCAGAACCAGAATTTCGCAACGGCAGCGAATATGGAATACCCTTTTGTGAATGAATGCCGGCAAATAGGCTGGTGACTTATGTGTTTTGCCTCTCTAAAATTAAATTCGTTTAAACTGTTTTTAAAATATTCGAAAAATCATTGATAGCTTCGTTAAAGCCGCACTTTAAGAGAACCAGATAAGAAATTAAGTGTTTTAATGGTTAGTTAATGATAACAAAAAAAAACAATTTTTAAATAAACTCATAAAAAACTATCTTAATATATAGTTTCTTTAGCTTATTTTAAACTTTCGAAGTCCAAAATCACAAATATCGTTGTTCTATGAAAGCCCGCCCACACAAAATATTTCATATCAGTCGGAAGAACATAAATATATAAATATTAATTAATTATAAATATTCGTCACGGTCGGTCGCCAGAAAGTATGCAACGAAAATGGCGAGCAGACTTCTTATAAATGGGTTGCTGAAACTGTTTTACCTGATGTGGTTAGGGTATTAGAGTTTGGATTCAGATTCGGATTGAGTTCGATTTCGATTGTTCGGACTGTTGGGGCTCTCTCGCGCTCTCCGAAGTCAGACTTGAATGAATGGCCAGCAGATGGAGACCGCAAAATGGAAAATGCCGATCTGGGGGGAACGAAAGGGGCGGGGACGGCGAGAGGGAGCTGCGATCGCCAATTTCAGCTAAAGCTAAAGCCAAAAGCCAGGCAGCCCGCAACAACAACTGGAAAGTGAATAACAAACGGCAAAAGCAAAGCCAATGGCAGCAGGTAGATCAGTTGTGAATCTGGCAACAAACCATTTGGCTGGGGCTGCTGCTCCAAAACAAAATAACAAAAACAACGCGATCCTCTCTTCGACTCCAAATGTGCGCGTGTGTGTGTGAGTGCCTATCGATACGGATGCATTGTGTTTATTGTTATTGTGGTTTTGCCGAGTATATAAATAAAATATCTATATAAATCACATTTATCTTTATAACAATCCGTTAATAATCACCCCTAATCCTTGCTTATCGAAAAAGTGGACCCTTTTACACGTGATAACTTTTCAAGGATCCCCATTCCCGCTTGAAAAAAACCAAAACGCGTGTTTCCACTGCGTTTTAGCGCCCAATTTGGCGCCCTACTGGCCTTCTCAAAAACATCTGTTTGCCCAGCCACCCATGTGTATGTTGTTGGCTAATTGGCCAACTCCCTGCCCCTCTCTTACCTCAAATGTATTTCTCCACATCTCTTAAACTTGGCTTGTTTGATTTTTTTTATTTTGTTTTTGTTTAGTGATCAATATGTGATCTGTGATGTTGACCAGTGTTAAAAAAAAACGGGTCACTTTGAAAAATGTACTCTTAAACATTTGAATAACTAATTTCAATACATTTCAAAAATAAATAAATTAACATTTAAAAACGAAGAACGAAAATAATTAAGATCTTAAAATGTTCTTCCATGACACCGAACATATCCCAAAACATCATTAAGTTCAATATTTTTCAAACAAATATTCTTTAAATAGAATAAAAAAGAAGGTTCGAAATAATATTCCGTTCCCATATACATGTATATGTATAAGTAACTTTTTTTGTTAATCAAAATTAACAGAAATTCACACAAGTGACCTTGTGGAACATCCTCGTCGCAAGTTAAGATTGAACTAGAATCATCCGTATTTGTAAGTGCGAGTACGTGATACCATTTATAAGGTGCATATGTGTGTATATAGCCAGGAGGCGTGGGCCGGTCGCTTTTAATTGCACCAACCCGAACAAATCAAATGGAAATCCAATAGAATCGAATGGAATCGGGTTAACAGACATCGATAACGATGAGTTGGTTAGCCCTGTTACGTTGTTATTGTAGGTGCCATCGTTACGATCGCTCCAAATTATTTTGCATATAATCACAGTGAAGCGATGAGATGAATGTCGAGAGCTTCTTTAAAAGTTCATATCAAAAGTTTAGAGTTAGTTTTTTGGTTCAGCTAAATGAAATCATAAATAGGTTATTTATTTATTTACAAGTTTTATAGATAAGTCATTCATTTTATGTAGAGAATTTACTAATAAAACACATTTATTAGTTCGTTAATTAATTCATTCACCAAAATTCAAATCTCACTTCGGTCATCTATCGGTTTTACTCAATGAAATCGATTTGAGTTCGTTCATTCAAGGCGATGATCGTGCTAGGAATGCTGCACTGTGGTTACAGGTATGACAAACTGACAAGTACGGCTTTATGTTTGCCACACAAACACACTCAAGTCAGATCACGGTTCTATAATGTGTAATGTATGGTAGATACTGGCATTGTGTGGGCTGAAGAAAGAAAGAAAACAGCATCCAGAATGAGTTAAGTAAAGTCGCGCAAATAACTCGCTCATTTCGTCATTTTGAGCAGGTATCAATATTTGATATATGTCCAAATACATAGATATGGTTATATCCATATATGTGTAATATGTACAATGTACATATGCAAATCCGAATGGGGCTCTACACAAAGAAAAAAGTGTAAATATTAACCGATGAAGTATTTTGCATTTAAATATTCAGCGTTGTGCTTCTTGAGTTAGTAATATTACATTTTCAGACATGTCTTATAAACTAGTTTTTAAGGAGTCTTAATTTGAATTTGTTTGTCTACGGTTTATTTTATTTTTATAAATCGCATCTTGTGTTTGAACGACGTTTAAGTGTCACTTTATGCTTAATGCTAGCAAATATGGTCTAAATTTTATTATACAACATATATTTGTAAAATTATGAGCGCAGAACTTGTTAAAAAAACTTATCCATTACAACAGCCTAAAAATATATTTTTGGTATAAAATGTAATAATATTAATCATTTTAAATCCGATTTTTCCTGTGCATGGATGACTTTAAGCGTCACAAAATCCTCAGATTTTGTAGATTTGTTGACTCCAAACCTCGTTTGTGTGTCAACATTATTATTGTGTTTAAATATGTCTGTTTCTGTTTCGGTTTTGTTTCTGATTTGGTTTTTGTTTCGAGAACGCTTGAGCGTTTCATTAACAGGCGGGGGCGGGTCGCCAGGCGAAGGCGTTCCAAATGCTTTGGCTTTGGCTTTGGCCATCGGGGCCAAAAACGAAAACTAAAACTCATTTTGACCAAATGCGTTCGAAACTATGCGCCAAAACAGCGAGTGGGCAGCGCCGCCAGTTCAAAGTTGTTCGAGAGCAGCAATTATCCAAATGAGCAACTGATGCTAAAGACCCGAGAAGTGGGGAACTAAAATCCAAGTCAAGGAGAGAACAAAAATAATTGATCCTTCGGTGGTGCAAGAAAATTTGCAGAGGGTACTTTAATTTTGGTCACAAGTTTATAACTCATTAAAATATACATTTTCGACCCAATAAAGTAATTCAAAAGTAAAGTAATTCTTGATCAGCATTACTTGGCAACGTAGTGAATGAGACATTGTCGATCAAATAAAGTATTTATGTAAGAAAATTCTTGATCAGCCGACCCGCTAGTCTCTCTCTCAGTTTTAAAGGGTTGTGTTTAACTAATTTTTATCAATCGACATAACTTCATTGCTTGCAAACATAAGAATCTAGTCTGAGATTTTCAGTCCTAGGATTACTTTTTTAGCTTATCAAAATGCATCTCTTTAAGGGGTTATAAACCTTTTTTTGTCGAAAAACATAAGAAAGTTTGGATTTTTGTTATGTATGTAGCAATTTTTTGTATTAAATTATTGATTATATTTTTTGAAAGTTTAGTTTGTTGACAATGTTTATGCAAAAATTTGTGAAAAAATATTGAATAGTTTTTAAGGGGTGGCTGTTTCCCTTAAACGTCTTTTTTTGGAAGAGCCTTGCGGTTATAATTCACCAGGGCGAATTAGTTTCCCTGTACCTGAACGATCATTTTTATACCCTTGCAGAGGGTATTATAATTTTGGTCAAAAGTGTGCAACGCAGTGAAGGAGACATCTCCGACCCTATAAAGTATATATATTCTTGATCAGGATCACCTCCTGAGTTGATATAGCCATGTCCGTCTGTCCGTCTGTCCGTCTGTCCGTCTGTCTGTCCGTCTGTCTGTTTCTACGCGAACTAGTCTCTCAGTTTTAAAGATATCGAATTGAAACTTTGCACACACCCTTCTTTCCTTTGCACGCAGTATATAAGTCGGAACGGCCGGGATCGGCCGACTATATCCTATAGCTGCCATATAACTGAACGATCGGAAATGCCATAACTTTCGTGTTTGTTAAGTTAGGAAGTTGGGATTTTCTATGGGTTTTGTATTTGGCTAATCAATCCGACATGCCGAGTTTCATAAGGATCGGCCGACTATATCCTATAGCTTCCATATAACTGATTGATCGGAAATGCCATAACTTTGGTGTTTGTAAAGTTAGAATGTTGGGATTTTCTATGGGTTTTATATTTGGCTAATCAATCCGAAATGCCGAATTTCATAAGGATCGGCCAACTATATCCTATAGCTGCCATACAACTGATTGATCGGAAATGCCATAACTTTGGTGTTTGTAAAGTTAGGAAGTTGGCATTTTCTATGGGTGTTATATTTGGCCAGCCAATCCGACCTACCAAATTTCATAAGGATCGGCCGACTATATCCTATAGCTGCCATATAACTGAACGATTGGAAATGTCATAACTTAGGTGTTTTTAAAGTTAGGAAGTTGGGATTTTTTATGAGTATTAAGAATGCATCATATGAATAATTTTGGAGAATATAATTTACAGAGTATTCTGCAAGGGTATATCAACTTCGGCTCCGCCCGAAGTTAGCTTTCCTTTCTTGTTATATTTTTTTTTGTGCATACGTGAACGTTTTATGCAAAAAATTAAGTTTTTGGTCGCTATAATTCTTACAAAAGTATCTATTTCGGTGAAATAAAAATTTTTGCATAAATAATCGATCGTTCAAATACACACAAAATTCATTACGAACATTTAAAAAAAATTTGAAGAAAATCGGTTCAGTAGTTTTTCGGCAATCCATATCACCGCAAAGTCACTTTTCAAAAAACATCATTTCGAGATATTTGCTTATAAGGTTTTAAGTTTGGGTTTTGGGTTTTAACACATCCCAAGAGTGCCATTATATACAAATTTGACCCAGAAAATACTATTAACTCAAAATTGTTTAATGACCAACATAAAATATAATTTGTCAAGACAAATATTTTGAAAATACACCAACTATTGAAAAAGCTGGCAAGGACTGAATGGTATTTCCTTTTTTGTGTGCCAAAAGTAAAATTCATACGTATGTATGCATCAATAATTTAACCGTAGCTTTAAAAAAAGTCAGAAATACTTAAGTGTGATAAATCAACTTTTTTATGTGATAAAACTTTCACATTGCTATACTATACTATCAGGTGGCTCCATCTGTTGGAACTCTGCGGCACTTGTAAAACGTTTTTAAACAAAGCATACTTTTAAACAAAAATGCTAAAGGCTCAAATACATTTGGAAACTCGGCTAAGCGAATACGCCAACCTTTATAATGTTTTAAAAGCTATCAAATTATGTTAAACTTAAGATTAACTTAACATATTATTTTTTTAATGTTCTTAACAAATCTGTCTTATGTCCTGCAGAAAATAAACGCGGAGTTTAAAATTGCTTAAAATAAACAAAGTCCGAGGGAAGAAAAGAAACCCAAAAAACCGAAAAATCAGCAGTGGCTATGGCTTTAAGCAAGACCATCAAATCAAAAGCTGGCGCCAAAGACGAACAAAACGAACTGGTGAGTGCTAGATGGCCCCCCTTAACCCACCCACTGCCCCTTAACCCACAAAAGCAGTCCACCACACGAAACTAACATTCACATTACATATAGTTGCGGTCAAAATTATAGTGGTATCTACATAAGATAGGAGAAACAATTTTCAATTATATTCCAAAAAATATCATTTTTGCTTTTATTAATTGCATAGTATAGTTGTTTTTTATTTATATTTTTTTTTAGTTTTCATATATGTATACCCGTTCATGTAAAGTAAAAGGGTAAATATATTCATTTTAAAGTATGCATGGTCTTGATTTGGATTAGCATCCGTGTCAATCTATCAAAGCTCTTTTTTTTGTCCGTCATGTCCGTATAACCATCGAGAGTATCGTCCCTAGATCTTGATATTCCTTAGAAAAAAATATGTTCATGGTAGAGAGAAGTGTTTATTGTTTATTAAGTCGATATATGTATCGACACACCGAAAATTGTATTTTAATATTTTTAGTTGGTTAGTCAAGGCACTAAACTATTGCGTTACTTCTTGTCTTCTTTCTATTCAACATTTCATAACATTTATCTTTAAAAACATAGCAGAATAAATATCCATCGAAATGTTGGCATACATTAGCTGTATCTATATTAATACCTTTCTCACTTTTTTCTGAAAAATCCGCTGGCTCAGTGTTTAGCAGCCACTGATACATCATTGATCAGTGATCATGTGGTTGTGATGCTGGACTTGTTCATTAGAATTGGGGATTCCAAATAAATTATAGCATAATTCAGGGCACTTTCACAAGTGATTTTAAACATCCAGTGATTTATTTGACAACCCTGACAAGTTAAAACAATTGAAGTAGTAGCCTCCTGCATGATTTTAAAGTACCACTACCATTATTTTGACCGCAACTGTACCCCCTCTCCTCCCGTTGGCTAAAAATGTACTCACATTCGGGCCACGTTAATCGCGTAAGGTGGCTCAGGTAAAGTAAAGCTCGTCGAGCGGGCAAAAACAATGAATGGCTGCCAGCGTCAACGTCGACGGCGGCAGAGGCAGAGGCAGCGACTGCGGCCGAAAAAAAGGCAAACAGTTTTTCAGCTCAGGTGTAACAAACTAACGGTGCAGTTACCGACGGCCAGCAGTCGCAGACGCGCCATCGAACACGCCGCTCGCGATCGCGCTCTCATTCGGTTTTCCGATTTCAGTTTTCCAGCTTTTCAGTTTTCCAGCTTCTCGCAGCTATTTAGATTTCCCGTGTCGGTTTTTCAGCTTACTCGCTTTTTTGGCCCGATCGTTTTCCGTTTCGGTTTCCATTTCGTTGGCGCTTCATTTAACACAACCGCTTAAATTGAAAACCCCCCAATCGATCTAAATTTAATTGTATTTTTGGTTTGTTAATTGTCGCGCTGCACTTGATTTTTTTCTTCGTGTGGTTTTTACGCTAATTGCCTGAATGGCAAAGGCAAAGTGCAAAGTGTGACAGTGCAAGAGATAAAGAGCAAGAGAGAGAGAGAGAGCGGGAGAGAAGGGTGAGCGGGGGCAATTACACTAAGAAAAAATGAGTGAAAAGAACTAGTCCTTACATTGCAATTTCTCGCACTAAAAAATGCGAACTTTCCAATTATAATAAAGCCAAATGAACAGGATCTTGAGATATAATGGCTCAAAATATTTTAACTAATGTATGCAGTATGCAGTTTTTATCTAAAACAGTTACACAATAGAAAAATAGATTAGGTAGGTGACAATGTGCGAGAATTTATGTCTTGCAGGTGATCTTTTGAACATTTGATGTTCTAGATCTATAAGGTAAGAAGCTATACTGGCATTTTAAATAAAAGGCAGACACCTACAGACTAAAAAGGGGGTCAAAAAGAAATGGGCCAATAAGTGCAAAAATAAACTTGGGAAAATACCTCAGCAATTCTACTTTTATGCATAGAATTTCTCTCGGTGAGTGCCGCATACAAAAGTTATATTTTTTGTGCTGTGCAGAATTGGAGATATATTTTTATGCGACCCATTCCCGTTGCCAGATCGCGGCCCAAGTGGCGTATACGTGCAAAAAATTAATCATTAACTCGGGCTTTTTGCACTCACTCTTCGCCGTTCGTTTCGTATATTTTTGCTTCGTTTTGCTGCTCTATTCGTTGTCGTGACATTTGTTGTTGTTGTTCGGCTGCATATTTGCCAAACAATTTAGTTTGTACTTCTATTTTGTTGCCATTTTGTTGATCTTTGCGTGTTGCATCACCCAACCCACATGGGCCATTGCGCATACGCAATGTTGGCCCAGCAAATTAGTTCTAGTATTGGCGCAATATTGCAAGTTTGTCGGATAACAGCCCCCTGCATCGCTTCACCCCCTCCCCTTTCAACGAGCCTCGAACATATTTTCCCACCATTAAGAGGCCCCCAAAGTCCGAGAGATCAGGCAATATAACAACAAGGCCTGAGAAACACTCACATATAACAACAAATCAAAGCCTGCACACAAAGTGTTGGACACTGCACAGCAAAAAAGTGATATACTGTTTAATATTATATATTAATGTTTATTTTTGACTTCATGGTTAGTTCCATGTCAATGTTAAAATATTATTTACAGATATATAAATGGAAACATGTTAAAAGTAGTATGAAAATGTATGTTTATATATCAAAAAATAAAAAATTCCCATTAAAATTGAAATATTTTTTATTTCTCCCTCACCCTTTTGAAATAAATACTATTTAAATAAATAAAATGGTTAAAGTTAAATGAAATATATTTGACCATTCTCTTAATTACTTCAAAATAAAACTTCCAGTAAAAAGTATAAAGTTATACATTATAATTGTATTAAATGTTTGTTTAATACCATTTATTAAAATCTTGTAAATGTTTGCATGGTTTTATTATTAATTACCTTAAAACCTAAACAATTTTAACGGAAAACTAATTTTAAATTCTTAAGCCCATAAAAGTTTTCAATAATAATACAATTCACGTAGTATTCGATTTAAGATCACTTTTTTCACTGTATGAAGTTAAAAAGGGGGTTGAGTGAAGTGTGGGATGCGGGTGGGGGTTTTTCACTAGCACCCACAACTAATGCAGTTGTTGTTGTTGTTTTCTCTGTTGCTATTGTTGTTGTTGCTGGCGGTTAGTTGCTGGTTATGTGTGGCTGCTTTTTTGAAAGAGTTTTGTTGTCTCGTTGTTTATTGTTGTTTTTAGTCGTGTTCAACTTGTTTGTCCGTTGTGGTTGTTGTGGGTGAACTATTTAAGATTTTTTCCCGCTCTTCTAAAAGGAAAACTCTTTTGGCCTGCCTTGCGTTTTTTGGACAGCAGCCACAATTCAATGTCTTTGTATGGCCAAAAGGCGTGAATTAAATGCAACTACAACATGCCAGTGGGAAAAGAGGCCTGGGAAGGGGTTTTTGGGGGATTGGCTGGGAGTCGGATTCAGATACCTATTCGTCGTTGACCAGTGCGTGACTTGTGGGCTCGGCTGCAACTTGGCTGTTGCAGCTCAGATCGCTCAGCTTAAGGCCTTCATACATATGTACATTCATGAAGTGGCTGCCGTCGCACACGAAAAACTTGGAGTACTCTGGCAGTTTGTAATGGTTAAACATATAAATTATTCAAATTTATTTTTATTTTATACATAAATTGTTTTGATACGTTTCACCTTCCCTAGAACCAAACAATAATGAATTTCACTTATTTATGAGCAACTTAAATAAGCAGTTAGGAGCTTGTGGGTATCTACTTTAATGTATACATATTAAAAAGAATATATATATATATGAATGATAAATATTATAAATCCGTAACAGTAAAGAAAATAAAATTTTAACTCTCTTAAGTTGCGATCTTCTTGGTTTTTCTCCCAGTGTTTTGCTGCCGTTGCTTTTGGGTCAAGTAAAAGGCTTTGCGATTGCAATAGGAATTGTCAAAGTTTGCTAATGCTGAAACTCCAAACTCGCAACTCTGAACTTCAGCTCCCCCGAAAACAAGCGAGATTTTTCAATGCATGACTCATGGTTGGGCGTGACTACTCCCTCTTCATCAAAGAGATACCCCTTTTCAGTTTTTAGCCATGTAACACTGTGACAAAAGAGGAGGCATCGGCATCGGCATCGGCATCGGCATCGCCTTAAGCGGCACTCAGACGAACCGAACACAGAAGCTTCTTTACCATATTTCTACACCTTTTTGTTTGCGGTGGCTTCCATCGATTCCCTTTTGCAAAGCAACAAATCAATTTGACCGGAAGCAATTACAAAAATGGCCAAATTGCAGTCACAATTAAGTGTGCGTTGTTGTGGCGGACTGACGTCATCGCACGATCGGTGAAAACCGAAAATAGCAAATCAGCCAGCCGAGAACACGGGCGAAATTTATTGCCCGTTTGCCTAATTATCGATTCAAGAATCGTTTTCCCGCACCAACGAATTGGTGGCCTCTGTGGGAGAGATGTTTCGCGCTTGGCCACATCCGTTTGAGCCATCTGAAATTTGGCCAAAAGCTGGTCAGCGATCTCGAAATGATGGTTCACCGGCAATTGGAGAGCTTGCAGATCGATGCTTTGGGCAACTCAGTTGTTATATAAGAATAGGAAATTGGGGTTTGCTTAGCAAGAGATCTTTTCCATATCTTTTTAGCTTTAATGGCAAACTAAAAGAAACCGAGAACTTTAAAAAGGTAGTACTTAAAAATAAGTAAAAGATGAAAAGGCTTACATCTAAGAAAGATTTAAAGGGAGGAACAAGTAACGATTAGAAAAATACATTGAAAAGGTTATTGTGAGTATTATAAAAGAAATGAAACACCAATAGATTTTCAATTCAGAATCTTAGGTGTTCAAACTGTTGGCACATATAAATCTATATAAAAATCCCTTTTAATACTATATTATTTATGCATAAAACTTTAAATAAATGTAAAGGCCTGCTCCATACCCTAATTCCCATTTAAATCCAGCCAGATGTGTTCGTGAATATTCGAATATTCCCTAATACAGAAACAGCAGTCAGAGGGCAACATTTTCACAGAGCTTGTTGTTGTTGTTGCCGCTGCCGTGGGTCTGGTGATCTGACCTTTGGCCGCTTTTTGAGCCCAGTTAAGTTGGACTGAGCGCAAAAGTTTGTTTTGTCCGAATTTCCACTTCCATTTTCCATTTCACCGCCTTGAACTGTGCACGATGCCCTTTTGGGTTTCGGCCTGTATTTCATTTTGTTGGCCGAAAAGATGGGGGAGGGCTTTGAGCCGTACTGAGGGAGATATGGAGTATCTAATACCGCACCCACTGCCAGATCCATTTATGGCCCTTGGCCGCAGCTTAATGAGCTCGCAGCACCGTATTAAACTTAACGCTTGGCGAATTTAACGCCCATTGCAAAAAGGGAGGTGTACTTACCATGGTTATCACTTGGATGAATATGAATTAAAAACGCAGGGAAACAAAAGTTCTCTACAGGTTTTATCGTATTTCATTTGGATAATGAAGGCTATTCGAGTTATTTAAAATATACGAAAACCTTAATTTGTTTGTTTACTCTATTATTAGGAATGGTTTTGAATTTGTTTTTCTAAGTTACATTTTAGAGACATCGTGCTCTATATTATTTTTGCAGTTCTATTTTTAATTCTTTTAGCCAAATCCACAAAGCCTCAAGTTCGTGTTTCTTGTTGCATACATTTTATTGATTGGGACATTGAAAAAATAATTAGAAATAGGAAACTATGAAGAAACTCTTATTTGCTAAAATTTAAAAAGTATTTGCTTTGATTATAGTACAAGATCACAATTAATTGAATTGTCAGTTTTTTCATTCAGTAAAGAAAGAAGGTGTAAGATTAGATTAAAACATAACGATTTGGGAATCGAAGGGTTAGCCATGGGTCGATTTCTCCTACCTTCTCTTTATCTCTCATTCTCTTCTTGGCTTGGTGGCCCAATGCACATCCGATTCGGCTTGGTTTGGCACAGACTCCGGGCCCAATCTTCGCAAGCTGAACCCGTAAATCGCGCTCTGCGATGTGGTGCGAGCTCTGGACTTGCCGCCGAGCAACACCACAATCTGGAGCGGGAAGTGCGACTGGAACGGGATCGGGATCGGGATCGGGAACGGAACCGGAAAGTTGGCGGAGAACTGGAGGGCAGGGACAGTGGGGCGAGCAGATGTAGTCGGCAGTTAGAGCACAGCCACCGTTGCCACCGCCACCGTCAGATGATCGAATGGTGGTGATCCTCCTACTGTCGCCATGCACTTGCAGCCGCAGCAGCAGCAGCAGCCACGCCCATGCCCATGCCCACGCCCACGCCCACGCCCACGATCCCGCCCACGCAACGCCCAAGCACCACCAAGAAGCACAACCAGCACCACCGGCCAAAAGTGGAGATTCCCGGAGCAGCAATGAATCTTCCTCGGCATCCACGGGCGACACAGCCATTCCGGCTGGATATCTGCAGCTGCACCACCAGAAACAGAAGGAGCAACAGCAGTTGCACCACCAACAGAACCAGCACAATCCGGAGCAACACCCCCACCAACCTAGTCATAGTCATAGCACAACACCACTGCCCGTTTTCGGCCACGGAAGATGGCTGCCCCTGCAACCACCGAACGCCGTGCCCAAGCCACCGCGCACCCATGGCATCCATTGGCCACCCAGTGTCTATCCTGCCCCACCCAACCACCAACCGATCATCTTCCGCGTACAATCATCACTGCCCAACGGGAGCTTTACTAACGCAACCACCACCACAACCACCACCACTGACTACGTGCGTCACGTGACCCGCGTTAACTTCTACGACATTGATACTTCGCAGGTCGAATTCGAGCCCAAAGATGACGAGGAGAGCAACGAGGCCACGGCAGGCAATTGCGATACAGAAGCTATTACCAAAGAAGGTGAGTTGGTCTATATATGTACTGTATACCCTGGGATTAACTGGGGGTTAGAGTAAGTAACCAGTGGGTAAGTAACCCTGGGATTAACTGGGGGTTAGAGTAAGTAACCAGGGGCTTATAGAATGGTAGGACTGCGTAAGTGATCAAGGGTTAGGCGGAATCAACTCAATTTTAATTGATTAGTTATATCAGGAGATATATTGTATGAAAGTAATGGATAAGTAAGTACTGGTTAAGATTAATCATGATATACAGGTTAACTTGTACTTAGCTATTTTTTGTCCCACCATTACTCATTAGTACATCTTCACTTATACCTTGTTTTTATGAGAATAAGTGTAACATAATATTTAAATTAAGTGCAACTTGTTCAGTCTAAGATTCTGAATATGGTTAGCTCAAACTTTAGAAATGACCTTAAGTTAAGATTAGGAAAGTGTGATAACTTTTTCACAATATACCTCAAAAACAAAACTTGTCTTAAGAATAAAAACCAATATTTATGAATTCTTAATGGAAACAAATCAGAAAATTAATAAAAACTTATTAATAATTAGAGAAAGCTACATATATAAACAGAGAACGAGGTATTTAATTCATAAGAATAAAGGCAATCAATACTCACTGCGATCTCCAGTGACGAATTGGGTTCCTGAGTTCATGTCAAGACACTGATCAACGTTCTGATCTTGATTGTTTGCTCCGGTCGTGGGTGAGCCAATCAAGTGACATCATCACCATTGGCATGTCCTACCCTTCAAACATCAGCCAACAAATTGCCGTCAGCGTGAGATCACAGTAAGTGAGGAGAACATCGAGATATTGATGGATATATACCAGTGGATTGACATAGTCACTGGATTACTCACTCGATTATCGATGGCGGGTTGGTTATGCAACAGTAGAGGGGGCAAAACTAGTAGTACATTTATACTATGCAGTATAACATAATAGAATTGGCATTCTCATTGACATAAAGTTGAAATGCAGACGTTGAAAATGGGAAAAACACAAGAACAAAACTGAGCTAAGCTCCCACACATTAAGCATACAACCCGGTGGCCTTTTGAAGATGAGAAACGAAAGTGAAAACTTTGAATGCGATTCCAATACATTTCCATATTCATAATTCGACTACTAATCCCAAATTCCTTTCGCTCCCTGCTTTTCCAATTATATACATACATATTCCACCCGCGGAAATCATAGAAAGTTTTGATTTAATTATGTGATTAACATAACACAAAGGCGCCACTGCCAGCAGCAACTTGCAACCAACAACTAGCAACTAGCAACTTGCAACTGCAACAATAAGTCGATTACTTGCGGCAATCTAAAAAATGTATGCACAACAACCGTAAAAAACGTGTAAAAATTAGAAATAACAAGCGGCTAACAACAAAATGCAAATGCATGGAAGACTGCCAACTGAATCACTGGAAAAATGATCCAAAGAAAATGTGTTGCTGCAGCGGCAAAAGATTTCCCACGTTAGCGAATCATTAAAAATCAACTCGCGAGGCAACCTGACAAGCCATATGCAAAAATGGGAGGAAAAGTGTTGGAAAAATTACAATAATTGGTGCACCACTTCGCGACACAACCTCCATGCAACTGCCACCACGCTGCCTTTGGTTTTTATTTTAATTTTGTTGCAAAGGAAGTAGCTGCTTAACAAGACAAAGGAAAACGAGCACATGCATATATATTTATTTCTGATAGTAATATAAGTATCACTAATAAATGAATATTGTAGTTTTTCACAGTAGGGCGGTACAAATTTGTAAGCAAATAAGCTTTTAATTGGACTGCGCATTGGATTCCAGGTTTATTACTCATACGCACCGTATGCCTTTGATAACAGAATTTATTCTAACTGGCAATACGTGACGTATGAGTAATTTTCATGGACTTAGACTTTAAATAAATTTGATTGGTTTCCGAAAACATTTATTGCCCACAAAAATCTATCACATTAAACGGTGAGCGTAAGATTTTTTTTGAAGCACATTAATGTCAATTTTCAACAACATTTTTCAAGTTCTGTTAAGAGAAACGCAACAGCAAAATTTAAATATAGTCACTTGTTTTAGTATCGCACCATAATTTTGTAATAACACAAAATGTATTTGGGAATTTCCTTTGGTTCTAAACACGAAAGTATACCTTAAGACGCAATACTAAAGTAAAAATTTGAAGTGCAGTTTTACCTACAGTATATGAAAATAAATATATAATTAAAATTTGTCCAATTAATACTCCAATTCATGTTAATAAAATTACTGTAACTAATATAGATCAAAATAATACTTGATTTAAAGGATAAAATTGGATTCCTCGGAATTTTCTTAAATTATAAAATGGTAAAATTATTAAAATTGCAATTGATAAAACTAATGCAATAACTCCTCCTAATTTATTAGGAATAGATCGTAAAATAGCATAAGCAAATAAAAACAAGAAAGGAAAGCTAACTTCGGGCGGAGCCGAAGTTGATATACCCTTGCAGAATGTAAATTATATTCTCCAAAATTATTCATAAGATGCATTCTTAATACTCATAAAAAATCCGAACTTCCTAACTTTAACAACAACAAAGTTATGGCATTTCCAATCGTTCAGTTATATGGCAGCTATAGGATATAGTCGGCCGATCCTTATGAAATTTGATAGGTCGGATTGATTGGCCAAAAATAAAATCCATAGAAAATCCCAACTTCCTAACTTTACAAACACCAAAGTTATGGCATTTCCGATCAATCAGTTATATGGCAGCTATAGGATATAGTCGGCCGATCCTTATGAAATTTGGTAGGTCGGATTGATTGTCCAAAAATAAAATCCATAGAAAATCCCAACTTCCTAACTTAACAAACACCAAAGTTATGGCATTTCCGATCAATCAGTTATATGGCAGCTATAGGATATAGTCGGCCGATCCTTATGAAATTTGGTGGGTCGGATTGATTGGCCAAATATAAAACCCATAGAAAATCCCAACTTTCTAACTTTACAAACACCAAAGTTATGGCATTTCCGATCAATCAGTTATATGGCAGCTATAGGATATAGTCGGCCGATCCTTATGAAATTTGGTAGGTCGGATTGATTGGCCAAATATAAAACCCATAGAAAATCCCAACTTTCTAACTTTACAAACACCAAAGTTATGGCATTTCCGATCAATCAGTTATATGGCAGCTATAGGATATAGTCGGCCGATCCTTATGAAATTTGGTAGGTCGGATTGATTGGCCAAATATAAAACCCATAGAAAATCCCAACTTCCTAACTTTACAAACACGAAAGTTATGGCATTTCCGATCAATCAGTTATATGGCAGCTATAGGATATAGTCGGCCGATCCCGGCCGTTCCGACTTATATACTGCGTGCAAAGGAAAGAAGGGTGTGTGCAAAGTTTCAATCCGATAGCTTTAAAACTGAGAGACTAGTTTGCGTAGAAACAGACAGACGGACAGACGGACAGACGGACAGACGGACATGGCTATATCAACTCAAGAGGTGATCCTGATCAAGAATATATATACTTTATAGGGTCGGAGATGTCTCCTTCACTGCGTTGCACACTTTTGACCAAAATTATAATACCCTCTGCAAGGGTATAAATATCATTCTGGTTGAATATGAGCAGGTGTAACTAATGGATTAGCTGGTATAAAATTTTGTAATAACACAAAATGTATTTTGGAATTTCCTTTGGTTCTAAACACAAAAGTATACCTTAAAACTCAATAATAAAGTAAAAACTTGATGTGCAGTTTTTGGGGAAATGTTTTTACCTCTGTGGACTATTTTCTGGGTGCGGCTGGTGACAAGTGCTTGGGGGCCACAAAATCAGGCGGGCGATGCAAATCGAAATCGCGATCGAGAGGGGAAATCGGTTGACAGGCCATAATCGATACCACAATTAGTCCAAGTGCTGATCGGAGCCAGAGATGTAATGCAATAGCTGGGTGCTGTGGAAAGACCTGCAGACAGATCGGTGGAAATGCGAGGAAATCGGCTGAAATCGGCAGAAATCGCGGCTTGTTAAGTGGGCGTGGCGGGGTAACATAAATTCACATTAGCGTCAAGAGCCCAAGCGCAATCGATTGAAGCGAATCGGTTTTGGTTCGGTTTTTCTGTTTTCGGTTCGAAACAATAGCAAACGAAACCGAGAATGCAATTGCACCCGATATCCAACCTGCTGAAGAGCCCCCCTTGCCCCCCGTTGCCCACAGCCCCTCCCCCATTTTCCTGGCCACATTTTCCTCCGATTTTCCTCTTCGTCTTGTGCCGTTTGTTTGCTTAATTGTGATTGTTGTTGTCGATGTTGTAGTTATTGTTGCTATTTATGAAGTGGTTGACTGCCCTGATGGAAGGGAAAACGGGGGAAATGGGGGAAGGGAAAAACTGAACCAGCATTGCAACAATGCGGATATGTATATAGCATGCGCAAATGATAAAGATAAACAGTCTGGTCAGGCAAATATAGTCGAACAATAGACAAAGGCCTTGGCGCAGTGGCACCTCTTGAATAATGAACAGGTATAAATAATAAGTTCTAAATAGTGTTATTGAGTGTTCGAAATAAGTATTTAAAAACGGCGGTAATTTTTTTGATATTAATTTGTGGAAAATGGACATATTGTTATTCCTATCCGAATTTACGAACAAGTGATTTTCAGAAACATTGCTCTTTGAAACCCGATTCATGGACTTGGCTTTCATTCTACTATGTAAATGTGGTGTAACCCAACTGTATTTGGCCAAGTTAGAATGTTCTAAAAATATGATCAGTAGATCACATATCCTTATTTAATTTTGTGAATATATGAACATATAATAATTAAATTAGGTTAAACAACCCTAATTTAATTCCCAAACAAAGCATATATAAAACTACGGTCTAATGCAGTCAGTATTTCATTCAATATAGATTATTTACTTATTGTACTTAATCTTTAAGCTTAATTAATTTTTTAATTAGTCACTTAAAGGGTTCCGTTCAAGTACAGTCACTGTAGGCAATCCTGTCTGTGGTTCGATCAACTGCCCAGCGGACTGCAATTGCGGGCTCGAATTCGAAGCAAGTCGCGGACTTAGATTCGGATTCAGACAGACGCCAGACAACGTTTCGGTTTCTGCCGCTGCCGCTGCAAATGCAGATAGATTATATAAGCGACCTTTAATGGTCCAGCGATCTCAATGCAGCTGAGATTTATATGGGGAAAACAGAGGCGAAGATAGAGATGGAGCCCGGGAGCCACGGAGAAAAACCCTGCCTCGCTTCCACCCAAAAGATGCAAAAAGTAGCAGTGAAATCACGTTGGCCAGTTGTCGGATGTCCGTGCTCGGAGCTCTGCACTCAGAAAATATTGGGTCTAATTGTTTTTTAAATGGCTTGATTCAAAGTAGACAAATGTTTTCTAATGTTAATTTAATTTAATTTTTTTTTAGAAAACATCTTCTATATTAATATTCAAAATTTTTTTGATTTTTTGACAAATTCGACATTATTATCAAACAATTTTCTTTAATTTAGAAAACAATCAGCATGGTTTTTTGTTTTTTGCAGTGTAAGCTCTCATCTCCCAGATCTCTAGACTCTGGGGTTTTGGCTAAGTCTAGTGCAGGTTGCCCAACAAAGGCGTACGTGTTACTATGCTAGATGCTTCTTATAAAAAAAACAATCATTATATATTTTATTTTGAGTTATAGCAATATAACCAAGACATATTTGTAATTTTTATGGATTATTTAAATGTTATAAATAATACTTAACATGAAATGCCACTTAAGATACTATTTTCTAATAAGTGAAATATATCGTAAGTTCGTAAAATTCTCATTTGCCTTTAAACTTATTTTCCGAATCTTTAAGGAATTTATTAATTTTGGAATACCATGTAAAACAAAAGAAAAACCTAAAAGCATTAAGGCTGCAATGTAAGTTTTTTTCAATTATAAAAAAACGTGGCAAATCGTACTTTTTTTTCATCGATTTGGTTTTTTTCCTCCCTAACTTAAAAAAAAAACGGACAGCACTAGGCTTAGAGTACAGTTAGCAGAGAGACCAACTTGGTCTGGGTTACGTAATTTGGCGAGCAACTCGAATGCGCTGAAGCGCTTCACGCCCCTCCAACTTTCCGACTTCTTTTGTTAGAAGCGGCGGACTGGATCTCAAAATGGGCATTATCCACATGCAAATGAGGCATCTTGGCCAGTTGGTTCTGTTGCAATTGGTGCCAAAAACTAAAAGCAGCAGCTTGAGAGATATTGGGCAACGTCTTGTCCTGTCTGCAAATCAGTTAACTGTGCAAAAAGCTCGGCCAAGAGCTTTGATTTTGGCCTAAACCCAAGCTTGAAATGGGTAATTAACCAGCCACTTTGGTCTCGTGTTGCCGTCTTTTAGGATGAAGCGCAAAATAAGAGTATTTGGGAAAGCTTTGAAAAACATCAATAGTCTGGTAGTTAAATATAAACTGAATATTTAAATCTTAAATCAAGTACTTACGTATGTTTATCTATCCTACCTATGATCTATCCTACAATCAACAAAGTTTAATTGTTATTTTCTTAAAATACTCTTTCCATCCGTAAACCCATTTCAGAGGAGTGGATAACGAAGCGCAAGACAGAACTCACAACTACCAGACAGATCGAAACGAGGGTGAAGCGACAGGTGAAGCTGCAGGATGGCAAGGTGATCGAGGACTCCGGTCCCATTGTCTCTACAAACACAACCGAAGACACCGATAAGCAGGAGACGGAAACCACTGAGGTGAGTTGTACCAATAGATTGGGTAATTTTAAGGAGTATTTTTTAATAAACTTCTAGGAACAATTGTTATCCATTTAATTGCATTTTTTATACATTTTGCATACAGAAAACACTTTTCTTATGTAAATGCATTATTACTAGGTAAAATAAGTGAGCTTTTTTTTTTTAAATAAATTTTAGAAACGGGACCTTGACCTGCCGGATGACCTCGATGGCAATGCCCAACTGATCGACGTGGCCGCCCTGCAGGCGGGCGCCGAGAATGAGACGCAGTTGGCCCAAATTCAAGAGGTCTTTGGACCGGCGGACGGAGCAGGAAAGCTGGTCAAGCGAATGGTTCCACGTCCGGTGGACGGACTAGTGCGACAAACGGACGACAAGCGGGTAATCTCACACGAGGAGATCAAAGATTACCACGAAACGGAGGACGTCAAGCACCACGGCGACTTCACAGATCAGGTGGGTCCAAAACTCATTTCCTACCACTGCTTATGACCTCGAAGTTCTGAATTGATTGTTGATTTATATTTTTAGACAAAGATTCTTATCCTTTAATTTACATTTAATACTTGTATTAACTTTATAAGTGAATTGTTCTGAATATCTTTTACCGTTTCCCCTTCTAATATTATTAAATCATTTTTATCGGGCTACAAAAAGTTGTAAAAACGATCAGAACAAATTAGCTAACAAAGATTTTTTTAAAAATGGATTTTGCTAAGATTATAGACATTTTTATTACATTTACTTTATAATAGTTATCTCTGACCTTATAGGTTATTATTATTATAGGTTACATTAAAATAATTTAATATACTGTGGATTCTGTGGAAAATGGTTTCAAAACGATCGCCACTTAGCGATGCTTTTGGTGGGGGAAAGCTCCAATTTGTTTTAGAATAGGCCTGATGGACTTAACCTCCACTTGGTCGTGGAACCAGCTACCACTCCCGACCTCCGACCCCCCGCTATGAAACGTTATTCATCTTCGGTTCAAGCTTAAGCTTTATTTTCATCTCCATCTCCATCACGAGTGGCACCGCTCTCTGCTCCGACCAAGAAGACCGGTTGGGTTAAACGAAATCGGGAGCGGTTCAGGCCAAGCAATGGTTTAATGACAAAAATTGAACTAAACAGATCCTTATGTTTTTATCTGGAGTAGTCAGATTAAAGCCAATAAGTATTAGTTATTAAATTAAATATATTATGAGACGAATCTATCTGTTCAATAGTGAAATCACAGAGGGGCAATAAAATGTCTTACTCAAAATTGAATAGTGTTCCTTGACACCAATTGCAGACGGCATTTAGTTGGTCAAGATTTATGAAATGATGATTTGTAAATATGATTTGTATACAAAGGATATACTAAATTTTCCTATAATTTTTTATTTATGCTTGTTATTATTGTCTCCAGAAATATTTTGAAATTGTAAAACCAAAAATATTACTTATTTATTTTATATTTTTCCGAGTGTTTGCCTGTGTAATCGGAGACAGGACTGCGGACAGGCTGAGCCGAAAATTGGCGTAAATAACTGAAAATCAATTCGGCGTGAAAAGCAACAATGTAGCAGTACTGGATGGTTTGCTTTTTTTTATTGTTCTACAGTAAACGCTCAATGCAGTGAACCAATGAAATACTAGTTTTCTCGATATTTGTTGTGTTGTTTCCCAAAACAATAGCTTTGTAATTGGAATAATTATTATTAATCGAACTTTAGTTATTGGACACTCGTTAAAGGTCCTTTGAAAGACGTTTAGAAATGATAAAAATAGCTATTCAAAAATCTAAATTACAGACACTCATGAGAGTGTTAACTGTATTTTTTTCTTTTATTTTTCTTTTAGCCGTTGTTGTTTTTGTTGCTTTTAAGCTCATTCGAAAGTTATTGGTGTTGTTGTTGGAGCTGCATCCCGCTGTCGTCGCAGTCGCTGTCTCAGTTGGCGTCGCAGTCGCTGCCTTACCTAGCGTCGCTGCCACCGCTGTGCCTCTACCGATTACTTTGCGTTTTGAGCAGTTGGACGATCAGTTGCCGTTCGGCGAGCGAAGAGAATACAACTCGCTTTGCATTTCGCGTTTCGTCTCGTTTCGCTTTGATATACTGTTATTTTTTTTTATAGTTATCTGTTATTTATCTTCGCCGAAAAGAAAAGACAATCGGTGGAAAAAGCACGTTAATCGTTAATCAGCTATCGGTATCGTCACTCTCTCTCTTCGGCAGTGCCTTGTTATTGTTGGTTTTTTGTTTACAAAAACAAACTACACTCTCTCTTAATATTAGTGAATGTTTTTGTGTGTGGTGTGTGAGTGCGGCTTAGGTTTTGTTTTAATTTAGTTGTTAGTGCGTGGGCTTTTTGGCCAAGTTGGTAGATGGTGCAACAGAGATTAGAGCATCGATAATTTTGTGAAGAAGTAGGCGGAAGAGCTGAGTGGAAGAAGAAACAAAAGAAGAGGAGGAGCAACACAACCCCAATTTGCATAATTATCAAGGTGCGATATGTTCCAATACTTAATGTTATAATTAAGGCCATAAGCTACCCGAAATGTCCTCCCCTAAAACAAATTTCTCGACGGGGTCTTCGGGACCCAAAAGACCAACTTAAACCGGTAGTTGGCAATTAACCAAGCCAAAAAGGTAATGCCATTGAAGATGTGTTGGGGCTCTTGTTGTGGTCGTTATACGCGGACACTTACAAGGCATCAGAGTTGTCTGTCGAGGCTAGTTTACTTTAAATATATAAAAGATTCTAATTCCTAAAAAATTTTAATGTTTCTATTCCTATTCATAAGAACCCAACTTAATATGCTCAGGCTGTTATTTTTTCTGTAATAAACAAAGTGATATTTGATATTTAAGCAATACTATTTTCTATGATTTCATGATTATATTTTTTTGATTTAATTAAGATGTTATTGTTCTTGTTTATTCCCGAACTCTTATGAGAAATTGAGCAACGTATCTATTACCAATAATAGACACGACAATAAATATAAATGACAACGTTTTTCACATTCAATTTTAAATATTTTATTCTTAGCCACCAAAAAAATATATAAAAGTTATTAAGATTTGTGGGCAAATTATTGATCTTACATTTTTAGATTATAATATTTGAAATCTAAATAGTATCTTTCACTAAGATGCTATAATTCTTAACAGGTTCAAGCTCTGACCGCAAAAAACCTTAGCAGTGGAAGCGAATTTCAAAGGTTGTCCACCTCTTAAAAAATGGTCGTAATAAGCCAAGTGTTTTGCCTTGGCAAGATTACATTTTTAAATGAACCGAATAGATGAACATTTTTAGGGTTAAGTTTATTATTTAATTCAACTAGTCTTTAGTTGGTATTTAGCTCTGTGAAGTCAGCTCTTTGACGGTTAAATTATAGACAACACTGCAAGGCATACACACTGGGATGGTCGAGAGAGACGGTCAGAGGCTGGCAGAAAGAGAGAGGGCGATGGGAGTGCACACTCTCCCGAAGGCGAAACCTCAGAAACCTCTGAAAAAACCCAGAGCAGCTGGCTTTGGGCCCGGGGCAGACCTGTTCTGAGCCAAGTTTAATCAATAGCCAAAGTGCGCGGCGCGGCTACTGCTGCTGCCGTTGCTCCTGCTTGGCTTTCTTGGATTCTAGGCGTGTCTGCGGCAGGTCCATGAACCTAAGATACAGATATACACAAGCACCAACCAGCCAAACACACACCGACCGAGCTGCGAAATCGGTGCGAGATATACATAAGTACATAGCACATTAAATTCGTCCATGCCACATTCAGAGAAGTTTTGTGGAAAGCGACCACAAAAAGTGTTTGGAATTTGAATTTAAATTTTGTATCTGTACTTCTTTGTCTCAGCCGCAGTCTCCAGGTGTATCTATGTGACCACGTACCGCTGTATGAGTGGGTACTTTGCTGGCCGAAAACTCGTTTCGAGTCAGTCTAGGTGCCCCCACATGCTAAACCAATCCAATCCAGCCCAAACGACTCTAATCAGCAAATGCCAATCAGCAGCAGCAGTCGGGCAGAGGTTCAAGGGGTCTAAAGGGGGCCCAAGGCGGTTTAAAGGGGGCTTAGACTTAACCATTCACGCAACGGAAGCGATAAACCGAGTCTGAGGCCCACAGACCCCAAACCTAGACCAAATATCTTTCCTTGGTCGCTGGCCACTGCACAACTCCAGCTTCGAGTTCAACTTCAACTCCAGCTTCAGCTCTCCAACCCCATAAACAAAAGCAGCAACAATCTTTTACACTGGCGAAAATAATAATGTTAATTACAACTGTTCAAATCTCTAGAAATAATAACAATACGGAGTCTTTATTAAGGACCTAGCTTCCTACGATGTTTATCTCTTAGACCATACTATCATTAGTTTTGTATCGAGCAGTACACTAATAAAAACGGATAATAGAGATGAGCTACCGTCGCGAAACTTTATCTTGTGTACATAATTACTTCTGCGGACTTGGTCCTGAAATTCTTTAAAAACAATTTTTCTTTCCCTTTTTAATATCCTTCGAAGCAAACGTCGTGAAGTCGATGTTTATATACCCTTGCACTCTAATATAAATTAAATATTCTATATTTTGATTTCGATGCTTAAAAACATTGAAGCTACGTCGATTTTCCAATGCATTTTTCGATTGTTTCTTTGGCAGCTATATGATATAGTCGTGCGATTTTTATAAAACTATATGCGTTGCCAAAAAATACTACATCTCCGAATGTATTTTTGTGTTTTATTTAGTTTTTCTCAATGTGTGTTTAACAAAAAATGAAAAATTTGCTGCCAGTCATTTATGATCATTGTGACTAAAGATAAAGCTTAAAGCAAGTCAGTTTTTTTCGACCCACACAGATGACCTTTGACGCTATCTTTTGGATCTGTGAAAAGGGAATTGTTTGGTATTTGTTGCCGTGTAGACATCATTATCATATGCAGGCGCGTTGGCGTTGGCCGAACACTAACTGAATTACAATAATAATAATCGATCGAGAGCTCTGCTCCATTCCGCTCCGCTTCGCTCAGCTTCGTTCGGTTTGGCTCAGTTCGGAGAGGTTGAGCAACTCCCAAGGCAAACTGGTCTTGCTTGGTCTTGGTCGCTGGGTCTAAACGATCCACTCCACTGTGTACACAGAAAAAAAGGCTGAAATATTACATTTTGGTACACACACAATGCATGAAAATTATCCAAACCTTAAGGACCTTCCTTTAAACTTAAAAAACCTTGTTTTCAACTTTAGGTTCTAATATTATTACTAGATCGTTTTTGTTATGCAATGATGAATATTTTACTAAAACTTCTGGCTTATACTAATTGATTTTGGTAATAAATCATATGTTTTGAATTAATATATTCAAGCCAGTTAGTATTTTTAAGTTTATAAATCTTTCTTAGAAATAATAGGTGAGTTAAATTAGTTAGGCATACATATGTACTTATGTATATCAGCTTTATATGGCTTTCCTTAACATAGTAATAAATACATATTTTTAGCATCAATTAATATAAAAATAGCAAACATTTACAATTCAGAAATATTTTGTTTTAGATTTTACCTCTAAGACTAGCAATTTTCTTTAATTAAAACGAGTGTTTATAAGTTGTATTGTTAAATAATACATTTTGTCTCTGTGTACTCTGCTCTGATACCAAGACCGATCCACTGCCATCCCGCCCCCTTCAGCTGCCTTTTAAAATTTGCTCATTTCTCTTTTTTCCCATTGCGATTTTGCTTTGTTTTTCATTTATTTTCTGCTGGTTTTGACCACTTGGTATGCCAGACCAGCCAACATGGCCAGCAAAATATCCATTTGAATATGCTGGCCGCAACATGAGTGTGCATACGAAGCAAGCGGTTAAAAAGTACCAGTTCGAGTACGAGTACTTACTCCAGGCCCTCCTGCACCAGGGAAACCCTCTTTTTCTAGCCGCTTTTCGTCGGAATTTAAATTCAGTTTTGGGTTTCGGCCAGGTGAAGGCAATAAACCGAATCAAGATAAATCCCAACATGCGGGAAAAGTTGTCAACGCACATGGGGTTGTCCAGGATTTTGGGGTGGGGCTGGGTTGGCCTGGAATATTGTTTCTAGCTACGTACTCTGAACGAATTTGATTCAATAATTAAACACTTTTAAAAATAGTATTGATAATAGTATGGTTACTAGGTATAATAAATGTCCTTTCTCAAGACTGTTATTATATTTATGTTATAAGTTTTTCTATCCATTCAAATAAAAACTAGCAGTTTTTAAAAAATATATATTTTCAAAATGCAATAAAATAATAAAATCATAAATTGAGAAACAATACGAGAAAGATTAATCAGAGACAGAATCACTTGTCAAACCAATATGCTCAATATTCAAAAAATATTGCCCCCAAGGTGATTACGGTATTTTTGGTCAATGACAAATAACTTGACAATGCCGAATTCGTCGACAGGGGGATAAAGTTGAGGGCATAAAGGTAAAGGGGCAAGGTGGCGGAGAAGTGATTTGTCCCCGCCTCAAAAGATCGAACTCTGCGTCAGCAGCAACGTCATCGGCTGATATTAATCACCGATCCAACTCTCCTCTCCTCACCCCATTGTTTTTTGATCAATCATTGAAGCTAGCAGCGCAGAAATAAAACTAAAACTTGAATAACCCCAAACTTATAAGCATGTGTGCTTGGAAATTTCGTGTCCAATAGGTTTTTGGAAAAAAAAGATGGGATTAGTGGCTTTGGGGAGGGAGGATGGGTATATAAATATGGCTTAGAGGCTTGACTGACCATCAAGTTTGAAGCTGAAAGCGAGAGAGATGGACAAAAGCAACTAGCTAAGCAACAACAAAACACTTTCTACGCGCGTTACCGTTAACGCAAGGTCGTCGAAAAACAACAAAAACAACAGGTTTAGAGCGGGGGGCAGGAGGGGTATCGGCTTCGAATGACGAAGAGATATAACTCTTCAGCTCTTTATCCGCCGGCCAGCGTCACCCAGGCGTGCCATCTGCTCGTCATCCAAGAAGTACAAGTTGCGATACCCATTGCTATTCGACCTTGAGCTGTCCATGCCGAAGCGATCCCTTCTGCAATCCCCTTACAGAGAAAGAAAATCATACGTTAAAAGTAGAAGATAAGCTTATCCATATATAAGCAAAGAAATAAAAAGATATAAAGCCAGAGAAAAATAAATCAGAGCCTTTAAGCCCTATGCGATTGAATCATTTTAAATATTAATTATTATTATAAATTGCTATATAAATTAAAAATAAAAAGACTTATAAGACTTATTGATTTTAGATATCATTTAATCAAGTTGTAAATCCTAATTTATTTAAATATAAAAATATACCTAAATAATTTAGGATAAATTTATAAAAATCATACATTCATAAAAATCAAAAAGAAAAAACTTTTATATCAATGATATCCATAAACTATATATTCGATTAAATTTCAATGCACTGAGAAAAGGGAAGGGTATCTTATTTACCTTATTTTCCATATAGAAATCGTAAATCGGTAGGATTGGTATCCAAGTAAAAAATCGAAATTTAATTATACCCTTGCAGAGGGTATTATAATTTCAGTCAAAAGTTTGCAACGCAGTGAAGGAGACATTTCCGACCCTATAAAGTATATATATTCTTGATCAGGATCACCTCCTGAGTTGATATAGCCATGTCCGTCTGTCCGTCCGTCCGTCCGTTTCTACGCAAACTAGTCCCTCAGTTTTAAAGCTATCTGCTTGAAACTTTCCCAAAAGTTGTCTTTCTATTGCAGGTAGTATATAAGTCGGAACGAGCCGGATCGGACGACTATATCCTATAGCCGCCATATAACTGATTGATCGGAAATGCCATAACTTGGGTGTTTGTAAAGTTAGGAAGTTGGGATTTTCTATGGGTTTTATTTTTGGCCAATCAATCCGACCTACCAAATTTCATAAGGATCGGCTGACTATATCCTATAGCTGCCATATTACTGAACGATTGGAAAAGCCATAACTTTGGTATTTTTAAAGTTAGGAAGTTGGGACATTTTATGAGTATTAAGAATACATCATATGAATAATTTTGAAGAATATAATTTACAGAATATTCTGCAAGGGTATATCAACTTCGGCTCCGTCCGAAGTTAGCTTTCCTTTCTTGTTTAGTTGTGAAACTCTTTTAATAATACGGAGCTCAATTAAAAAGTAGTCTATATTTATTTTATCGACTCAGCCCATTTACCATATTGAAAGAATTATAATTACAGTTTAATACCCTAATAATAATAATATTTGAAGGTTAATTTATACTAAGCTCCACGGTATAGGAATTTTTCATTGTGTACCCAGATTGCTCCTCCTCTCCCCACCCCATTTTTCCTCCATTCTTGAGTCGCATTCTTTACTTTTACCGTTACCTCAATGACGTTGCCCCATCCGCGTTAGCAGCTCGAAAAGTAAGTGGATTGTGGATTTGTTTTGTGGTTTTTCGCTGTCTTGCTCTGAATACTTAAGTAAGGAAGGGGTTAAGGAAGGGGTGCTGCATAGGGGGTTTGGGAGGGATAGGAGGCATGTGCAGTGACTGCATCGGAGAAAAAGTGATGCAACCCTTCATGGAGGAGTGGGGAATGGGCCACAGATAATATGGATTACCAATTGGACATCCGTTAAATAAATCAGGGATTATATGCTAAGATTAATAATATTTGGTAGGGGAGGGTGGTGCGAAACAACTCGAAGTAGTAATGGCCATAAATTTGGTTATAAATTAACGTTTTAAAATAACTAAAAAGCTTAAGACTTTCTCCTACATAGAATATTTTAAAAATTGAACGCAACGTTATCGATGTTTATTCCAAATTTATTTGTACTTTTTAATAACAATTATTTGTTGGGTCTCGAACACGAACAAGTTTTAAAATACAAAAATATTATGTTTTCCAATTTTGTTAGTTAATCAAAAATGTTTTTTATTAGCCGTCTTAGTCAAAATTCAAATTTGCAGACAGATATCGGTTAGTTAATGTTGTGTTGAATATATTAACGGCCATATTGTAGATCCGAAAACTTTGCAAATCAACACTTAAAAAGAAACTATTTGTGGTTATCTCCTCTTTAATCAAAACTGTTGTCACAACCCTTTTGCAGACCTACGTGAACGCAGTGCGCGACGGAGTTGAGGACCTCGAAGCCCTGCTCTGTTCGCCGGAGAGCCAGCGCCAGTTGGTGCCGCTCGGGCCTCAGGTGGTGGCCAACAGGAGCAAGTCCCGGAAGACGATCGACTCGGAGGACACGCAGAAGCGCTGTCTGGCCCAGGAGGACGGCACCCTGGTCACCGAGAGCCGACGCACCACCGAGCACGAGCTGATCGTCGACGACGAGCTGCCCGATCCGCCCGCCGCCGCCTCAGATGATCGCAACCTGCAGCTCCAGGTGGGCGAGCAGGTGACCACCACGGCGGCCAACCAGCGCTATTTCCGGCAACGGGACGAGCAGCATGTGGACTTGCTAGCCAACGGCCGGCTCCACTCCACCGAGATGCGCTACGCCGCCGAGACCACTCAAATGGACAAGGACGGGCCTGCCGAACTGGAGCGTCCGGGCGACTGGGACAGCCTCTCCGACCGGATGCGCAAGTTGCGCCGCTCCCAGCAGCAGCAGCAGAAGGGTGAGTCTATCTTCAAATGCTATAGAAAACAGACGGGCAGACCGACATGGCTATATGAACTCGGCTAGTAATGCTAATCAAGAATACACATTATATATACATTATAGGGTCGGAAATGTTTCCTTTACTGCGGTATAAGCTTCTGACCAAAATTTAAATGTCTATACATCTTTCTTAGGACTTTTTTGAAAAATATTTCTGCCAAAATCCGGGAAAAATTAACTCGATTTTTAGGTTTTTTAATCAAAACCTTGGGTAATAGTGGTTGAATTTTCGAATGTCCTACCTTGTTGAATTCGTTACTAAATTTCCAAGAAAGTGGCATTTCCAAAAAAAAAAATATGAAAAAAATTGCTCGGAATAAAATCATGATTAAAACCCTATAAAAAATATTTCGGTCACATTTTCCGTTTTTTAGTCGAAACCCTGGGAAATAGTGGTCGAATGTTGGAATGTCATACCTCTTAGAATTCGTTACAAAATATATCATTTATAATTTTCTTGTTGGCTAAATTGGAACAGTCCTTATAAATTCTTTTGATATGGCCAAAATTAAAATTAAAAATTGTTTTCGTTTTTTGATCAAAACCCTGCCAAATAATCATCTGCAAGGGAATGCAAATACACTTAATTTTTTTGGGTATTACTTACATTCGCTTTTCTATAACTGCAGAGGTGGCCCTCCTGGCAGATCGCAAAGATGCGCTGACCAAGCGACCCCTGGACTTCGATCGCGAGGAGGAGACGCGCAAGGGCGAGACGATGAAGTGGCTGGAGTCGCACTTTGGAAGCGAATCCACCGCCTCCAACGATTCCCGCGACGACGAAGCCGATGCGGAGGTGGAGCCCACCAAGAAGAGCTATTTCAATGTGACGATCAAGTCGCAGAGCCAACCCCAGACGCACATCCATGCCCAATCCCACCTGGCCACCCAACAGCATCCGCACCCGCAGCACACGCATGCCCATCATCCGCAAACTCTGCCCAGGAGCGCTGAGCGGGAGAGGGAGAGGGAGAGGGAAAGGGAGCGCGAGAGGGAAAGGGATCGTCATCCGTTGACCATGACCACATCCGCCACTCTGGAGCGGAAGCAACAGCCCAGTTCGGCAGCCGGGCGCTCCAAGTACTTCCAGGGCATATCGAACTGGTCGGAACGCAAGGATCCTGGACCTCCGGTCAATCACTTCTCGTCGCAGGCCTTTCGCGAGGACCTGCAGGAGACCATCCGGCGGAATGGTCTCAAAAAGAAAGTCAGCGGTCACGGCTCCAGTCAGGGATCTGGTCTGGCCCAGGAGACGACGGGCCAGCCCAAGGATAGCTATGTCAGCCGCGAGGATATTCTACAGCAGAAGCGTCAGAGCTTGTCCTCGCAGTTCTTGGCCCGTTCGACGCGGGGCTCTCGCGATACTCTGGACGACCTGGAGGCCATACCGGGACCAGGACCAGGACCAGGTCCATCTACGATATCACCCCGTGCCGAAGAGCCCTCGCACAAACGAGTGGCCTACGGTCATCGTGGAAGCCACAGTAGCAACAACATCAATGGCCATGCGGTAAATGGAGCTGCACCCGTTTTGGTGAACGGGCGGGGCAAGAGCTATGAACCAATTGCTCCTCCGCCCGCTGCCAGTGGGGGAATACTGGAGTTTGGCGGGAACAGTGGCAGTGGCAGCCAGCTGGGTCTCAATCCGCGACCCACCGTCCCGCAGCGACGACGTGCCATCGAAAAGAAGCTGGGCGAGCACAGCCACACATCTCATACACTGCATACGGCCCATCTGGCGGTCAAGTCGCAGGCGCCGTTGCCCTCGCAGGTTAGTCAACTGGAGCCACCGCCGGACTACTCGCCGCCGCCCAGGAGTCGCAGTCGGTCGTCCTCGCCGCAGGTGGACTACCTGATGACCAGGTGGGCTAAGAGAACACACAGCTGTGTTCGAAATAAGAGTGGTTTTCCGGGTTTTTAATAGATCAAACGAAAATGTAATTCCCAACGAAAGACATACTTCAACAAAAACTGTTCGATATTGTGTTGGTTGTTCAACAAAAAATCAAAATGAAACTATTGCCACAAGTGCACTTGCTAAAGTATGAATGTAAATGATTTTAAACATGCACTTTTGCCAAAATCAATATAGTATTATTATCCAAATCAAGGAATAGCTTTCCTTATGGATCCATTGTTTTTGTGTAATTTGTTTTTTAAACACATGCCGAAACCACAATTTATTTAATCTGGTTAAACCGATAATTAACAACTGTTCTCCCCACAGAGAGGTGCCTGCCAGCACAATGACCCTCAGCCGGAAGCAGCAGCAGCGCACGCGATTCGCACCCACATCCAGCTATCCGCCAGCAACTGGAGGAGCTGGTAACCTCCGGCCGCAGGGCGCCACCTCCGCCTCCACATCGAATCTCTCGGCCATGAGCGGTGGCGGCGGCGGCGGCGGAGGCAGTACCTCCAAGTCGAGCCGCATGGGCCAGGTTATTGGCAATTCGCTGCGGAAGCTGGTCAGCAAAATCCGTTCGGCCAGTGCGGAGCGCAAGTTCCGCATGAAATCGGCGGCCAGCAAGTCGCGCGAACAGTCACCCAGTCCAGGACACGATCCCCGAGGAGTTGGTCCTCCGGTGACCACCTACCAGCAGTACAATGTGATCGATGGGCACATAGGTAGCCACGATTCGGAGGATTCCAATAGCGATAATCAGCGGCGCAGGGAGAGGGAGAGGGAGCGGGAAAGAGAGCGGGAGAGGGAGCGGGAACGGGAACGGGATCGAGATCGGGAACGTGATCCTCCCAAACAGGAGACACAAGCCCGTCAGAATTTCAAACGCGCCGAGTCCGCGGATCCACAGCTGCAGCACCTGGAGCAGGCCATAAGTCCAAGGCAAAGGTACTATCTGGGCGAGGATCCCTACTCCAGTACACTCTACGGCAAGGAGAACCTATACGAACGACGGCCACGTCAGCGGTAAGGATAACCGATATTAATATCTTAATCATTAAAAAATAACTACCTCCACATTGAAAATTAATATTTTAAAATGTAACTTGCCAATACTTCAGAAATTATTTAGTTGTAATATAATAGCAATAATATTTTTGCTATGGTACTTATGGTATATTTAATTTTTAGCAGTAACTTGGATCGCCCGGATGAGCGATTGGAGCGCTTGGAGCGACTAGAACGGGAGGATGACTACTACGAATCCAGGGCTCCGCCGCCAGTGACAGCTGCCCACACGTTGGGTCGCTACCAGAAGCATGGCCAGCGTTTCAGCGGCTCTACGCCCAATCTGCACCAGCAGCAGCAGGATTACCGTTCGGCCCAGACACTGCCGCGCAAGTTGCACGAGCAGCGTACGCAGAGATTTGGTAATGCCATGGAGAAACAGCCGCCTCCGGGAAGGGGCAATTACCTCCCGGCGACTGGACAACAACAGCAGCCACGGGGGATTTCTCAGAATCAGAATCAGAATCTGAGTCCTAACCCTAACCCCAACCCAAATCCAAGCCAGATACAGCCGCAGGGACCGGCGAAGCCGGCTCGCACCTATGCAAAGGTCCTGAATCGCAGCAAGAGCTTCAATGTGCACGGCATGAATGGCAGCAACGATCCTAGTCCCATCTACATCGAGAAGCTGACCCGGAACAACTATCAGCCCCGGCAGGAGCCGAACTTTGGATATGGGTTGGGCCAGGGACCGAACGCCAACTACAAGTCCAATCCGCACCTCTTCTCCGGCAAGGACAACTCACTGAAGAGCGGCCTCAAGAGTCCATCGATTGTGAATCTTATTAGTCGCAGCCAGAAGGATCTGACCAAGATCGCTGGTAACGAAGAGGATGAAGGCAACTACCCGGAGCAGGACAAGAAGCAGCTGTATCTGCGGGGCTTGCACCAGCAGGCACCGGATCTGTACCGGGTGATCCATGGCGACGAGGAGTACGGGTCAAGGAAGTATCCGCTGCAGGCCAAGTATTCTCTGGACTCGCGTTCGCCGCCGTCCGTGGAGCTAAACAAAGATACGGCCAGCATTGTGCGTCGCGGCAGCGAGGTGGACCATCAGCAGAGCCACCACCACCACCAGCAGCATCAGCACCACCAGCAGCATCTCCACCACATCCAGAGCCACCAGCAGCAGAACTTGCGACGTGGTTCGGGAGCCACCATCATTGAGCTGCGCACCGCCGCCGGCGGCCATCGCAAGTGATCTGCCATTCTTCCAGAACCATAAGATCCCGTTCTCCTTTATTTTAAAACCGAAGTCGAACTTCCCTAATGATAAATCCCCCAAGTCGAACTATACATATTTAAACTTTCCAGCTCCTTTTGTTTAAATCACAACCAATATTGTTCCATAAAACGTATTTGTCCTTTTCTTTTTAAATACATTCAATCTTTAGAAGTGAACTAAAATAGTCGGAAATCTTTCAAATTTTTTCTGAATCATAGCATATATAAATATCCCTATGAACAAATTTGTAAATTTGAATGAGAGCCATGTTCACTTTTCAAAAATAATTCGACACAATGAAATTAATTTCGTTAAACTTTTATAACTATTAATATTCTGTTAACTTGCATTGGGAAAGTTCGACTTTATATTCCTGCCAGGACCCCTAATCCCTAACTATTTGCTAACAAATGCTCGGCCTTGGGCTTTAGTTTCATTTGACAAGCAGCAAATAAAAATAAAAGGCCAATCAACCAATTGATTGTTAAATGGGTAATAAAAGCTACAAAGTTGATGGTGAACAGAAAGCGAATTACACAATTAATGTTAAATAAAAATCGATAAATAAGAAAACAAAATCTATATGTAACGTGGAAGCCATTCCCACTGTCCTGCCACGCCTCTTCCAATCGTAATTTGATAATACTATAACGCCTACGTCTAATTACATTACCTATTTTATCATTTTTGTTTTTTTTTTTAACTACTAATATTAACGTTTGTTGTATAGATACCGTAAAATGGATAAACTAAAAAACTAATATTAATTCGATATTATTGTACAATTTTGATTTATAAACAAACTGCAGTTAAAATTAAAATAAAGTGCCAAAATAAACAACATCTTGGGTTCGATTGCCTTGCACTACTTTGATATGCAAACAAATTTAGGTAGCATTCTCTTGCTGGAAGAATTGCATACTTTCGGGCAGCCAATCGTTGCGATTTCAGTAATCAAAACATATTGATAATGATAAAGACCTGACTACGCCCCTGTTTAAGATGGAAAAATTAAGCTTATGTTTACCTGGTGTTTGAAATGGAATTTGGCCGTCAAAATGGACGAACAAGCTCGGCGTTCTTAGCAAGTTGATATAGCCGTCTGATTCTATACCGAACTAGAGAGTTTCTTTGAGTTTTTGTCTAATATAAAAATCATTATTTTGGACCAGTATCTTGAGTTTTATCAAAAATATAAATAATAATATATCATCAACAAGAAAGGAAAGCTAACTTCGGACGGAGCCGAAGTTGATATACCCTTGCAGAATATTCTGTAAATTATATTCTTCAAAATTATTCATATGGTGTATTCTTAATACTCATAAAATGCAATAGTAAGACAACTTTTGGGAAAGTTTCAAGCAGATAGCTTTAAAACTGAGAGACTAGTTTGCGTGGAAACAGACAGACGGACAGACGGACATGGCTAGATCGACTCTCCTGGTGATGTTGATCAAGAATATATATACTTTATAGGGTCGGAAATGTCTCCTTCACTGCGTTGCAAACTTTTGACTGAAATTATAATACCCTCTGCAAGGGTATAAAAATATAATATTAATATGTCATACTGGCCGTATGGATATATGAAGTTTACTTGCGCAGTGCAAAACCTATCAAGATAATATTTTCCAAACCGTAGTTTTTATGTGTACACTGATCATGCTTTTAAATATTGACGATCGAACTATATCCTACAAAGAATTACGCAAATATCATGCCTAATATGAGGGTTTTAATTCGTTTCGAATCCATCTCTTGAATTGACTAAAGCCTCTAGCTTTCATTTATGTAAGCGCAGTGCAAATTTGGTATGACTTCCGTCCTCGTTTTCACTTATTCCGTGTTCTGATTGTTGTTGCAGTTTTGAGGCTTATTGGGATACCTGTACCGGGTAAACCTCAGTCGAGAAGTCCAACACCTTGGCATTCGCTTTAACTACACAACAAGCACAAGTCTAGCCCAGATATGACCATAAAACGATTGTTCGGATCGTAAAGAGCGTCACGGATCATTTGGGGCTCAATCAGCGGGGGTTATGTGGGTCGCCTAGACTTACCTTCATCCCAGACACCGGAATAGTTGTGCGACGTCTGTCGTGGAGCACTCAGGTGATCTGTCCAATCCACCGATCGGTATCATGCTCATCGCTTTGCTCCTCATCCCAATAATCGCTGTGCTCGGCGATGGCGGAAAATGTGAATCGAAATCCCTACTCATGGACCTGCTCGAGATGGTTCCCCGACATCAGAACAGCACACTGTCCAAGTGCGAGGAGCAGCTTATGGAACTGAGAAAAGCCTGGCAGGATCAGCAGTCCTGGGCGCTGAAGGGTGAGTGTGGGAGGTTTAGACATATTGATACCCGTGCAGAGGGTTTATAATTTCAGTCAAAAGTTTGCAACGCAGTGAGGGAGGCAATTCCGACACTATAAAGTATATATATTCTTGATCAGTATCACCAGGAGAGTCGATCTTGTCATGTCCGTCCGTTTCTACGCAAACCCCTCAGTTTTAAAGCTATCCGCTTGAAACGTTCCCAAATGTTGTCTTTCTATTGCATACTACATGCAATAATTAAGATGGGACATCTATATCATATAGCTCCCATAGAAAAATCGAAAAATGAGAAAAAAACAATGAACAAAAATTTGTATTTTGCTGATTTTCTGTTTATCTAAATATTCCTTTGAGATACAGTAATTATTTACTACTATATCAGATTTACGCTTTTAGTTTTGTCAAAATCGGACAACAATATGATATAGCTGCAAAATGCAGAGAAAAATCAATATAGCATTGTTTTTAGTAAATCGAAATGACGTTTTGTAATAACTACAAGGGTATATAAACTTTGGCTTGCCAAAGTTTGCTTACTTTCTTGTTTCAAAACATGTTGAAAGCTAAAAATATATAACTTAGTTTTTTTTTTACAAAGGTTAATATTTTGTACTCAGTAAGAAATTTAACTCGTTTAAAGGTTTTGCAAACGTTGACTCTATTTTCTGTTTAATTATAATATTTGAAAACTATGATTCTAAATGGTTACTTGCCTGCATCAGCTCTGGATGCCTCCGGTGAGGGCTTCTCCAACTTCATGATGGGGCAGAGCACCTGGCTGGGCAACCGCTTCACCTGCCGCGCCGTCCACGAGCCGGTGCTCCAGGACATGACCAACTCCAATTCGCGCCTGCTGCGCGATGTGTCGCCGATTGCCTTCGACTACGTGGTGGCCTACATTGAGTCCAATTCGCCGTGGCAGCTGCAGGTGTCCATCAAGAAGAATCCCCTGCTGCACATTGGCCTCTGTCTGCCCAGGAGCTGTGACATCCCGGAGGTGGAGCAGCTCATCCGAAGATCCCTCGTCTCGGGCAATTCCTTTCGGTGCTGGGATATGGATGCCAAGTTGGCTTATGCCAAGAAACCGACACTAAGACCCCATTTCTTTGAGAGTGGAGCTGTGCAAATGCTATTTCTAGTGGTGGGTGGAACCCTTCTGCTAACCGTTGTGGCCTCGAGGGGTCTGGGCCAGCACTCCCGCATCCTGGGCTGCTTCGATCTGGCCAGCAACTGGGAGCTGGCCTGGAAGCCAGTGAATCCCAGCCAGGAGAATAGAACCATTAACGGCCTGAGGGTGTTCACCGCCTTCTCGTTGATCGGCGTGCACGTGGTCTGGTACAAGTACTTCTCTGTGGACCACTCGCTGGAGATGCTCGGCAAGGTGGTGTCGATGACCATGCGGCACACCTACTGGCCCAGCATGGTGGAGATCTTCTTCGTGGTCAGGTAAGGATACCAAATTACTGTTCAAGTTGTTAGGCCTTGAGATGAAAAAAGGGTTAATATGCCTTTTAAGGGGACCCCCCTTTCTCGATTTCAAATTTTGGCGATTTTCAATGGGCTGGTAAATGAACATATATTATTTTTTAGGCTTGTAACTTTGCATACATTTATTTGAAGTCTTAAAAAAGAAGAAAAAATGTAATATCTTGTTTTTTTTTTTTTTTTGTCATTAAACAAAAGCCCTTCTTTTCGGCGGTGCATGGGATTTCCGATCACTGGAACATCTGAAACCAAAAATTCCAACGGGATTAGGAAGAGTGCATGTACTAGGATTATTAAATTCGCACAAAAATTAACAAAATAGCGGACCTTTGAACATTTATTTTTGAAAAAGCCTTCTTTTCAGCCACAAATCAAGTTGAAAAGTAAAGAAGACCTTCACCGATTTGATTTATCCTAGTTTATGCTATAGCTATATATGTATAGAATAACGTATTAAAATTTGAAACCTATTGAATTAATAGTTTTTGAGTAAACGCGTTTAAAGTTTTGAGAAGCTCTGGCCGTCGTCTGACGCTTCCACCATAAATCGACTATATCTTCCAAGGTTTTTGAAATTTTCACTTGAAATTTTAAAGGAACATTCTTTAATAGTTATTGGAAATAAATAAAAAAAATCGATTTTTTGAAACGGAGAATGGAGGGTCCCCTTAAGTTTATATTGAAGTATTTAAATCTCTCTTGCTGCCTTAAAAATACAATAACTAAACTCCAATCTTAATCTTTGAGAACCAAAAGATTTGCCAGCATGTAGTATTTAAAAACTCGAGTAATTGTTTTTTTGAATCCTAATCTATCCAGTTTGAATAAAAATCTTAATTTTTGAGAACCAAAAGATTTGCCAGCATGTAGGCGTAGTATTCAAAAACTCGAGTAATTGTTTTTTTGAATCCTAATCTATCCAGTTTGAATAAAAAATGGTTGAAAATGGTTTAGCCCTAAATCCAAATAATCTTGAATCTCTATATGCAGTGGCTACTTGACGGTCTTGAATTTCCTGAAGGACGAGCAGCTGCAGCAGGAAATCGCCAGCGATGGACTCTGCCGTAATGGGCGTCGCTACTTGGGGCAGTTCATCCATCGCTACTGCCGACTAGCTCCGCTGCAATTCGTGGTTATACTGGCGGGTGTGGTCATGATGGAGTACCAGCGCCAGGTGTCTGTGCTGCACATAACCGATCCGCAGGACGAACTGTGTCGGCGATACTCCATACGCAACCTGTTGTTCATCCAGAATCTGTATCCCATCAGGGACATGTGCGGATCGTGGACCTGGTCGCTGGGCTGCGACATGCAGCTCCACATGCTGGCCATGCTGCTGCTCTTCGGCCACACCAAGCATCCCAAGATGGTCAGATGGATTACACAGGCGCTATTGGTGGTCAGCGCCCTGCAGTCGATCGTGATGATGGAGGTGAAGGAGGTGGGTGCCAATTTCGAGGCGTTGTATCACACCAACGAGTGGTCCTACATGAGTCCCTCGATCCGCATGCTGGCCTACATAGTGGGTGGCTCCTATGCGTTCACCCATGTGAAGGGCTTGGCCACGCCCTTTGACCTGGTGATGCCCAATCGCTGGGTGAGATTGGGAGCCGTTGTGTTGATTGGCTGGCTGGCGAAACAGGTGACAATGGATCGACTGCCGGCAACCAGTATTATCCACACCTTCATGATCACCCTGCGGGTGCTGGTCACCGCGCTGGCCAGTCATCTCATAGTCTGTGGCACCAAGCCGGACACCAGCGATTCCTATGCTCCCACACGCTGGCTCCTGGCTATCCTGCAGTCCGAGCAAGTGCAGCGGATCAGCCGGTTCACCTACGCCATCTACCTTTTGAACCCCATTGTCATCATTTACTTTTACCACTCCTTCAGCAATGAAGTGAAACCGGACAACACCATGATAGTAAGTTGTTTAAAATATCATATTTCGACAGTCGTAGCTTATGTTCTTTGAAAACAATTGAGTTTCATCCTACTGAATACCTTAATTAGAATACCCTCTGCTAGGGTATAAAATCTCAAGGCACAGCGTTTAATATGAGAAATACACGTTCAGTTTTATCAAAATAGGAAATCTCTATTGACTTATGTATACCCTTTTGTTACAACTGAAAGGGTATAAAACTTGTTCAACATAATTCAAAATGCATTATTCAGCGAGCATGTCATATTCCATCAGTTAAGCCATTAATCATTTAGAATGAAACATATTATAATCAACCATATTATAATCCTTCCAGCTCCTATTTACGATTGCCTGTTCGGCGATCTGCTACGCAATGGCCATTGTTGTGACGCTGCTCTTCGAGATTCCCTACAACCGGATGACCAATCTGCTGATTAAGTCCAGATCCTTCAAGAAGAAGAATCTGTAGATGCCACTGGTTTACGGATATCCCAGGATGTGCCTTACGAAACGGAAATGTTTGCCCAAATCTATGTTTAATTGGTTAACTTAAGCTGGCTAATTGCAATCACGAAACCTCCAGAATAAATTGAACTTTGGTTGCCGAGAACGAGAGCGGTAATTAAGCAATTCGTCGGCAATTGGTGTACTTTAAAGGAATATTTCGTTTATTTATCGAATACATTGAAATGCATACACGAGTTGGTTTCCTCAAATTTTTTGTTTGTTTTTTGTATTTTTTTTATCTTTATATTACTTTGTATTTGTTTAAATAAATAAGATACATACGTTTAATCATAATAGCAGTATTTATCGTGCAAATTTGATAAGCATAATAATTGTTTACGTTTTGCTCGTTTTGCAAGTTTTTGTCGGTTTTTGTTTTTTTCTCATTACGAAATAAATTTAAATATATGAAAAAAAAATATATATTTGCTTCTTCTTAATTTTTGCTGTATAATTTTTGTCGTTTTGTATTATCATTTCTCATCATCTTTTTTGTTTTGTTTTAATTAGCTGCTCTTGCTTATGGTTGCGTTACGGGTGTGTTAGTTTACTTTTTCTTTAAAGTAAAAAACGATCTGCGCTTTGGTTCGTCCTTTTGTGAGGTGGCGGGCAGAGTCTGGGATCTGCTGGCGGCCACCGCTGTCGAATCGCTCTGTGCTTTCAGGGAGGTCACCCACTGGGACATCTCGGTGTCGTCATGGGCCTGCAGCAAGAACAAGGCGCCGTTGGCGAGCCTGTAAATTGTGGAAAACACATTTTATAGGTATATTATCATACAAGAAGTACAGCATTATTGAACTCACTTGACTCGCAGTACGTGCTTCTTCTTGGTATAATCACTGGCAATTTCAATGGCAGCGTTTTGCAGATCGTAGCTGGGCTCGCCGCGGAAGGTCAATTCGGGATTACTCTTGTAACCCTTCTGATCTTTGTAGAACGAAATGCGTCCGGCCCTGGCAGCCATGTATACCTAAAAAGGAGACATCGGTGAATAAATATAAAGCTTTGTGGGTAGTCTTCTCAAATTATAAGGATACAAACATTTATAAAACGCATATACATGAGGGGTATTTCTTAGACTTTTTTTGTTAAGTTTACCTTGTCCCAAGATCGGTTGGAGGCCTTCTTGGTGGTCGAGTCCCACTCGTGCTTTCGTGTCACATAGCCCTCGTGACCCTCGCCAGCGCCTGGTGTTGCACCTCGTTCTAAGAAACAGGCAAGAAACAGATTAGTTTGCAGTTCTATGGCCAATGATATCCAACCATAAAAATAAACACAAACGGAATGAGTAACATCCATGGGACTACTTATGCTATATGTCATGGATCTGCGCCTAGCTAATGATCGTTTATACCTGTTTGGATCTCGACAACGCGCTCGAACTCGACGGCCGTGTCTTTGGCGGCTTCACGGGTTTAAGTTGATTGGTTAGTTGGTTAATCCGTGGCAGGGTGAGTTTTGATTGAGTTTGTTTTAGTAAGCATGAGTGAATGACAGAGAACGTTTAGAGATAAATTGGCTTATTTGGTAAGACGAGGTTTGGAGCGGGATCTTGAGTGCTATCTTGACGGGGACGTTGGCAGTGCGGCTGGGATGGATGTGGATATGGATGTGGGTTTGGATGCGGATCTGGAGGAGGGCTGGACCGTGTTATAGGGTCGTTGAAAATACATCTCAATACAAATATACGTAAATATTTTTATTGTATTTGTTTTAAAATATATGACGGTAGAAATAAATAACTTCTGTGAATTTGTATGCTATAAACGTATATTTCTCTATTTTCAACAATCCTTTGAATCCTACAAAGTAGATTATAATTCATACCTGAATCATCGTGCGAAGCTCCAACATCCACGTCATCGCGTCGCTCAGCCTCTCGTTTGGCCTGTTCCGCCGCCTCCGAGGCGGCCTTGGCCTCCTGCTCCTCCTTAATGCGTTGTCGCTCAGCCTCCTCCGCCAGCTCCTGGCGCCTCTTCATTTCCTTAAGCTCAAACTGGAAGATAAAATGGTCATATATCTGTTTGCTATATTCACTCCGACCAAACACCCACTGTTGTCAAACGCTCGAGAGCACTGAAGCGCTCCTCTTGGGCGGCGGCAGATTTTTCAAAGGCTTCGTGTTTCTTGATCAGGTTCTCCACCTCGTCGATTGTGTGGCCCAGCTCTGAGGAGAGCAGGTAGGGCTCCTGGGCAATCAGCCAGGCCTCGGCCACGGCAGCATCTCTGGCGAACTGGTAAACCTCCAGGACTACCCAAAATAAATGCGAATCCAGTGATTAACAAGGGAGGGACAGTTTAACTATTAGGTTTACTTACTCAGCTGGAGATTCTCCCAGCGCTCCTCCCAGCGGCGGAGCAGGGCGTTGCGGCTGTTGCTCAGCGACATCAGGCGATCTTTGATGTCAGCGGAGGCGTAGTGGTTGCGGGTAAGCAGCTCCTTGCCCAACGAGATACACGCACCGAAGTTGTCCTCCCGCGTGTCGATCTCGGCTTTAAGGCTCTGGTGGTTGTTCATCAGCAGCTCCACGCCAGACACGTCGCGCGGCTTCTCCGAAGTGTTCATTTGGCGGACGAGGTCCTCCATCCAGATCATCAGGATGCGCACCATGTTGAAGAAGCGGAACAGATCGCCCGTATCGGCCAGTTTCTGTTTGCGGGCATCGCACATCGCCTGCAGATTGTCCCAGGCATGGAGCACCTCCTGTTCCCGATTGGTAATCTCCTTGGCCTTTTCACCGGCATAGGCGTCCTGCAGCTTGGCCGACTCATCCTGGATCTGCTGGACCTGTGAGTATAGGGTGGTGAGGTCCTGCAGGAAGTTGTAGTGCTTGCGCTGCAGCGTCGACACGGAGCCGGCATCGCGTCCGAGCTCATCGGACACGCCGTGCTGCTTCTCGAGGATGCGACCCAACACATCCTTGCAGTCGTGGAAGAATTTGTGCAGCTCCCGGGAAGCGGCCAGCATTTGGGTGCGGGTTTCGATCAGCTCCAGCAGGTCCTGCCACGATTCGTTCAGGTTGTCCTTCCATTCGGCAATCGTGGCGGAGTCGGAGTGCCCGGCCTGGATGAGATTGTCGGCAATGCCGTTCACCTTGGCCACTCGCTCGCCTCCAACGGCCTCTGTGTCGCGGGCAAACTCATTGAAGCGCTCCGACAGCAGGGTGACGTGGTCAAAGTCCTGGCCAAGTTCCTGGGAACCGGCCACCACCTCGCGATCGGTGATCCATTGCTCCAGATCGTCCACCTCGCGACTCAGCATGAACAGTTGCAGAGCCTCGTTGAGGCGGGCCCTCCTCTCGCCGGCCAGATCCTTGAGCCCGGCATAGAGTTTGTCCAGCTGCGATTGCTTGACGGCCACGGCATCGCCCGAGGAGATGTCATCCCCGCCGAACTGACGCGCCACCTCTCCCAGCTGGCGAATGGTGTTGGCATAGTCCTCCACCGACTGCTCGAGGTTCTCGTGCTTCTTCATCAGGTTCTGGGCGCTGATCTCGTCCTTGCCGCGATCCTCGACCATCATGTAGAGCTCCTGCTCGCTCATCCAGGACTCCGCCTCCTGGGCGTCGAAGAAGTACTGCTGCACCTTCTCGGACTCCAGCAGGTGCTTCCGCCGGTTCTCGATGGCATCCTTAAGCTCCTGCCACTTCTGGGTCAGATCGCTGATCAGCGCCTCGAACTTCTTGGCATCCTCGTGGCCCTCGTCGATCAGCTTGCGTCCGTTGTTACAGATGGCATTGATGCGCGGCTCGTGGTTGTCGATCTCGGTGGCCAGCGACTGGTTCTTCTTCTTGAGAACATGCACATTGAAGAGTGAGTTGCCGTAGTCCGGTGAGTTGGCCACCGGCAGCTTCTCGTCGATCCAGAGCTTCTCGTCCTCGACATCGCGGCAGAACTGGAATGCCTCCTTCTTCTTCTCCAGCGCCTTTTGACGCTCCAGCAGCGGAGCCTTGATCTTCTCAAATCGCTCGAGCACAGCCGTCTTCTTCACCACAATCGGTTCGATCTTCTCCTCGGGCACCGTCTTCTGCAAATATTCGGTCTGCTTGTCGATCTCCTCCACTTGGCGAGCCTTCACCGCCATCTGGGTCTGGATGACCTGCTGCTTCTGCATCAGGATGTTCACGGATGTCAGATCGTTGGCAGTGTCTCCGCTGACAATCTGCTTCTCCAGATCGGTGATGTAGGAGTCGATGTCGTCGCAAGTCTGCTGGACAAGCACCTCGCGGTTAGCGTCGAACAGCATGGCGCCCTTCTCCTTGGTGTGCACCTCCAAGTCTTCGAACTGCTTGGCCAGCTCCTTGAGCTTGGGCTCAATCACATCCTTGAACTCGGGCTTCTCCTTGGACAGCTCCTGGGCGGACTTCTCCGCCTCGAACAGACGCTCCTTGTTGGCGGCAATTTCCGCCTCGAAGGCCTGGTGGCGCGTCCACTTGGAGTGGATGGTCTTGGCGCTCCTGTACGACTCATCCTGGGAGGTGGCGTACTTCTCCTGCACCCACTCGGCAAGCTCCTCGAGGTCCTGCAGGAATTCGTGCAGTTTCACCTGGTTCTTGAGCTTCTCGTGCTGATCCAGGGCGCGCTGACGGTTGTCGTCCCGACGTCCGGTGATGTTCTCCGCCCGCTTGCCAATCTTATCCGCATCGAAGTGATCCTTCTCGACCAGAGTGTCGGCCACCTGCAGCAGCGTGTTGATTTTGTCATCGTTGGCCTCCATGGTGGTGAGGAAGGCCTCGTGGCGCTTAAGCTGGTTCTCGGCCTGCTCCAGGTTGACTGGAGTGTCGTCCTTGCTAAGGAAGTGCTCCTGTTGGCTAAGCAGCACTTCCGTCTGGCGGGCATCACGGTTGAACAGCTGCTGGTCCAAGCTCTGCGACAACAGAACCTGTCGGTTCTCCCACATCTGGTGCAGCTCCTCCCAGCCATCCTTCAGGGCGTTCAATCGCTCCCTCAGGAACATGTACTGCGGATCGTCCGAAGTGCTGCCTTCTGAGGTCAGCCGCTCGCCGTACTCCATCATGTTCTTGTAGTCCTCCGTGTAGTTGTCAATCTCCTCGCGGATCGATTGGTGCTGGTTCAGCAGCTTCTCAGCCTCCGGCAAGGAAGTGGGCGTGTCCTCGGAGGCCACGTCCGTCTGGGTCTTGGTCAACCAAGTCTGGAAGTGATCGAGGTCACGCAGGAAACGGTGAAGATCGCCAGCCTCCTCCAGCTTCGAGTCGCGCTCCTTAAGCATCTGGGTGAGCTGCTCCCAAATCTGCTCGATCTGGGCAATGCGCTCGCGGATGATCTTGGCTTCCTCCGGATGCTCATCCTCGATGCTGTTGGCCTCGCGTTCCAAGCTCGAGAGCTTGGCCTGAATGGCGGCCAAATCGCGGTCCATGCCGCTGAGGCGACGCTGCAGAGTCATCACACCGGTGAGATCCATCTCCAGGCTGTCGGTTTCGGTAAGGATGCGCTTCTTGTCCTCGATCCACGAGATCGTCTCGCGGCACTCGATGTAGAAGGTCTGGACGCCGTGGGCGGACTTCAGATCATCCATC